ACTCCCCTTCTCTCAGGCTAAAAGGGGGGGGGGGGGGCTGCTTGAGAGGCTTTTAAAATAGGTAGAGTCGCGCGTGACTTAATATTGCGGGCTGGGTTCCGAATGTGAAGCGATTTCTAGAAGAATTGAGTGAAGCCATTGCTAGCCGTGAAGTGCTTCGGTAGGTAGGTAGAGAGATGCCGATGTTGATATTGAGGGTTTATTTGTGGGCGAGGGTTATTGTCCTCCTGGGCATCGCGCAAAATACACCCTCATGGTAAATCAGATTATATACTAGGTATATTTTTGCCCCTTGCTGACAATTTCCGAATCTTTCATTGGGCACGGAGAAGACTCCTGGGGTTGAATTAGGAGCATCCTGCGCCTGCAGTGAATGAATACCTATTCAGATTTGAGGTATCATCCTGGTCGAGATATAACACCCGCTCTTACGTGAAGCAGTGGGACACGTACGTACGACGCGCTTAGATATAGGTAGCTTCATCGCAGGACCCTCGCCTACAGTCGATATCCACAGAATGGAGGCTTTAGATCGTACCTGTCTCACGCTCATATGTACATTGTTCTTGGTTGGAAGTTCCTAGCCGACTTATACCCAATTCTCGGTGGAATTGGCCACCACAAGACCCGTCGTTGATTGAAGTACTACCCATTTAACGACACAGCAAAATAGCTACTGCGTCTGGTCATGACGTGTGCGTTCCAATAAATGGCTTGCATCAGCGTGGATGGAACCGCAGTGTCCTGTTCTGTCCCCTACAACAGTGGTCCTGTGCAGGACAGGGGGTAAATAGGGGGTGTATTAAACATTTACGTGGAAGTTTTCGAGAATTCTCCGCCCGCGATTCACTAGGTAGCAGCGGGTGTTATGACTCTATGAAACACATAACGTAGGACAATGGGGATTTCGATCTCGTGCTCCTGCACCCCGCGTTTTAATCTGCCGTCTATCATCGAATCGAATAAGGGCCGGTTCGGCCTTTTTCTGAAAAGAAGCTGTGGGTGCTCGAGTGGTAATGTGATGACGTTCTGTGCGATACTACACTGTATGGGTATGACTTGCCCGTGAATAGCCTACCTACCTAGGTAGGTACTGTAGCGATTACGACCCTTTGGTTCCGAGATTAGCTGAGAGGCCCATAGGTTAGTATCTACCTAGTACCCAGGTAGATTCTAATGCAGCTTCTCACAGCTGGTGGATAGAGGGCATCGTGGAGATTACGTCGTAACCCATCATCCTACGATCTCTAACCTGGGGTTTGTACGAAGCTGCTAGCCTGTGTACACCTCCACGGGAAATCTGGTTGAACTCAGAGGCAAAGCAAACATCTTCCCCCCTCGAGTATCATTACCGCAGCCTAAAAATAATGGATCGAAGCCGATGCTGTGGAACTGAAACTTGGTTTCTAGGACACCAGTATGAAAAGTAAGACATACAGTAAGGAAAGGGGGGTGTTTTACTTAACGCCCACCGCCTACACACATTCACAGGAGTTACTTCATATCAGGGGTAAACTATGCCCGTATCGCGAGGTAAAATCTAGAAGACGCAAAACAGTATCGCTGTTGCACGTGGATCTCTATCGTCTTCTCGGAGACTACAAGGGCTACAAACACATGTTATACATGAAGCCCTTTTTTTCCAGCTAGCCCCTAGGTACCTACTTAGGTTAGGTAAGTAGCCTTCTCTAGAGTCTAGTCCCCGGGTAGACCCTTGACAACCCCTTTCACTACTCCTAAGGTAGCACATAGTACATCTGTATCTCTTATATTGATCTTGCATCCATGATCGATTCTACCTCGCACTATAAATGGAGCGGTCGAGGCTGATATACCCTCAAAACGCACCTAAATAGTTGGTTATAAGACCTGTGAAACTGGCGGTGTTGAGGCTCTACGTCGAAACGGGTTTATATCACGAGATCAAACTAAGACATGGACACACACACACAGCTCTATTTCTGGGATCTACAACCCTATCTAAAGCTACCTACATGTACTTAGATAAGTAGGCAGGTACCGATACAAGTGAGACATTTGACCGTTATAAATAAATCAATCTTCCACCAGACTAAATCTCATCCGAAGCCCCCCCCCCCCCCCTTGATCCCAGGGGCGAAACGAGGAACCGAGGCTTCGACTGGAGCCGGAGCTCTAGTCCGAGATTTTTCTCACCCACCACCACGATTATCAAACCGTTGGTACCTTTTTCTTGTTGGTTTTTTTTTTTTACCGACGGTATGGTTCGCGCTAGCTAGATCATGCCGTTGCGATATGGTTTGTCTGACGTTCGAATGAATGACTCTGGTGGAACCAACGACTCTGTGTAAGAGAAAGAGACCCGACTGAGATGAGACAACCGAAGCCTATGAAAGCAGACAGCATATCTGGATTCAATTTAACTGTCCTGGAAGATACTGCGACTATCTAGTTCATTTCCATGAGATTACTCTTAAATACCTAATTAGGTGCTGCTGTGTTAGTGATAGCCTGGGAAGCATCTGATCCTAGCTATCATGGTTTTGGATCGTTTTCGTACCTACCCTATCAATAGAAGCCTTATAGTTATCGTCTTGTTGCTACCCACCTTGTAGGTAACAAGTACCTATGTTTGCTTGGGTATGTAGACGGAAAAGGACCGGAGCTATTTGGTGGATGAGAGATTATATATGGAACTATTGAGGCTTGAGTCATTGCTGGGTAGTAGGTACTAGCTGATGAGGCGACCCAAGGAGTGCCAAGGACTCGAAATGCTTGATTCTTAAATTGATTCTTGATGTTGATCTCACATGACAATAATTATCGTCTATTCTTTTTTTTTTCCTTCGCGTATTCTTATTGAGGAAATTATCCTATCCTATTCTGAACATGAACTCTTAGTTGGTGTTAGATCAGATCTACTATGCACCTACCTAGGTAAAGCTACCAGGCTACTTAGCTGATCATCAAGTGGCTAATAATATCATTTTTTGGCGATCGAGTCGTCCGTCCCAGTAGCATGGGTATATCGCCGCATGTTCTTGGCAACCGGGTTTCTAGAATGTGACAAACATTGAAAACAACGGCCAAATGTTTCAATTTGTTCATTTCCTAGAACGTTAGATGGACTAGCACAACTTACTGGAACTACCTAACCTAATAGATAACTGCACTACAATAATACAGCCTCATAAGGATTTCTGACATGTGATAAGGCGGCATGTGGTGGGACGAGGGACATCCTATGTTAGGCTATGTACTTTTTCAGTGGGGTTGACAGGAAATTCTCGATGAGTTACCCACGATAATTATGGAATCGACAAGGGATATAACTGGCTGTGTCGGTATTGCGACAACCTTCGAGGTTCTATCGATATTAATCCAGTTCCTTAATCGCCCGACACTAAACTCGGTGAGCATGGGCTTCTGCCCTATTATGCCGTAATTTTTGCTTTTTGCTCTCTTGATTTTTGAGACGGAAGCCCGAGGACCAAGGGAGTCAGTCACACATGTGGCGACTGAATTGGAAGTGGCTTCGTCGTCTTCGACCGAGGTTGTTCGATATAATTATGTAATTAGGGTAAAAAAATCGTGTGCCTTGCTAAATTATATGGATGCTTGTTTCCTATCGCAACTTGGATTTGCCGAATATCGTAGAGTCTGGATTGAGGCTTGTTCGTCTTTGTAGGTAGCAAGAATAGGTAGCAAGATAACGCTGCCGAATTGTCCGAATCTGTCTCGGGAATTTACTTGGAGGCTTCGATTTGGAGTACATAACATCTACTCCATGCATACCTAGTGTTACTACATACACGTATAAGTATACCTATTATATAGTATATATAACAGATCAATGGTATTGCAGATAAGCAGTTCCTATTAGGTACCAGCCTGCCTAGTGGCTTGCTGGGTGCATGCAGTGGGCGGGTACTGGATAGACACTGAACATTATGACGAAGACCTGATGACAGGCTGATGTAGGTGATGTGCTCGGCTGCGCTTCGAAGCTCGTTTATAACTCGTGTCAATCTTGGAGTACATTGAATCAAACACAAGTTTTCCTGTTGACTTTGGGTCGACACATTATGAGTATCGAATCGAATCAGATACAGAATCATAATGAGTGTGATTATTAATTCGTAGGAGGTTAGGTTAGATGGATATATATATAGATTAGTGAGCTAAAGAAGAACGGTTAGGTTAATAGGGACTCATTAGGGAGAATGTAAATCGAGAGTTGAGTGGAGGGGTACAGAAGAGAGAGACATCTGAACCTGGAAAGTTCCGAAATTCCGGTGGTTGTACCCAAGTACCAATTGATAGTTATCTTTCACATGCCAAAGATAGGGGTAGAGACAGCCCTGGCTATGTAGGAAGCACAAAAGCACGGGCCTTTGCGCGTCGATTTCTCCACCCCTGTAGTCGATTTGTGGCTTCTAGCAGTGACATGCCGTACCTCCCGGGTTTGACTAACAGATAGGAAACGCGCGTAGGTACTGTATGTACAATGTACTAGGTAGGTACATACCTAGGTGGCGAGATAACATTGAACTGTCTAAGGTTAGGCATGTAGCTGTGTGAATTTGGTTTTTTACCGTTTCAATATTCTTGCAGAATTTGAATCCATATTAACAGTCAAACTGCCCTTTCTTCATACATATATCATATGAAGACATTCATCATAGAATTCATCATAGAATACATTATACATAGTTAACTATGTATATTATTCAGCATGAAGCGGATCTACAGCAAGCATCAAAGTACCCGAAGCTACGATAAGGTAACGGCTAGTGGCCCCACCATAGCATGGCGGCACCAGAGAGCTTTCTGCGCCAGTGACCTCATTGGTTACAAGAGGACGTGGAATGCATAAACATGGGTTACAAAGAATGGGCGTGATTCTGCACCCAACACGAACATCTTATGCGACATGCACAGGAAATAGCGCCAGGTACATTTGTGTATTGGGTAGCTGGGTAAAGCCAAGGCTGTGGCACTGGTATAAGTAACTAACCCTAAGGTACATTAAGTGACATTAACTATGTACGAGAACCACATGTGCAGAGTACATAAGAGAAGGCCCAGTAAAAGCGGAAAAGGGAAGAAAGGCGAATAAGAAAAAGGAAGGGCACTGGGAAGGGGGGGAAAAGCACATGCTAAAAAGAAATATTTTGCGCCGGATAACTAGGATGCTACTAACCTAGCATTTCTATGATTTATATTTCAGAAGCAACCCATCTCATCTGAAAATTGCCTTGAGTTCTTTTTGTTCCATTCCTCAATTTTACCTTTTACCTTTAACGGACCTCGTCTTTAAAGTTATCAGTTGCTAACATCCTCAACCTTGAATTGACCCGGTTCTATCCATCTCTTCCCCCTTCCACCTCAATACTACCATCCACACCACCGGACGCCGACAAGCCTCCCCCCTTCATCTTTTATCCCCCTCAAATTACCAACGTCACTTGACCACTTACCTATACTCCTGCTCGCTCTGAGCTCCTACGTTTATATCCTTTACATCTAAGGATTACTACATAAGCACTTTATTACTAAATAGCTCCCTCAGCCCTACGATGGCTGCCCAAGTCAACGGCGAAGTCCATCCGTCCTCTGCGACACTGTCGGTAAGTTTTAACTTTTTAATATTGACGAAACCGAAAGCCCACGAGATGACTAACATCGTAATAGCACATCACAGGATACCCTGTCGTTAGCGATAGCATCGCCTACATCAAAGGAAACCCCTACGGCCAAAAGTCGATAGAGCTAGGCGACTCTGCCTACAAGACCTTCGCCAAGCCCGTCATCCCCTACCTCTCCAAGCCGTACGAATATGTCTCACCCTACGTCAAGAGGGCCGACTCGATCGGCGACGATACGCTCTCCAAGATCGATCAACGCATCCCCGCTCTCAAGAAATCCACCGGCGAGCTATTTACCGACGGAAAGAACCTGTTCTTCCTCCCCCTGCGCAAAGGTCTAGAGACCAAGGACCACGTTTTCGATGTCTACGGCAACGAGTACAAGAAGGTTGGCGGTGACGGCCTAGTGACATCTGGCAAGGCCCTCGTTTCCACAGGCCTTGTCGTCACCAGCGAGGCTCTTACTTGGATCGGAGACTTCCTAAGGGCTAGCAAAGTGCAAGCTAAGGAAACTAGCAACGACATCGCCCGACAAATCAACCACTGAAAGTCAGAAATAATAATATGAAAGTAAAGGAGGTTGGTTACGTTGGTGGGCTTCGGGGCAGTTTTCTTCATGCGATACCATGCATCGTCATTCTGCATCTCCTCTCATCGGCCTATTGATTGAATGGAAGTATTCTGGGAAATTTGTGTTTTTATCGTCATTTTTCCAGCGCCTCATATTCTGGAAAAGACTGGCTGCGTCAAGGGGATTATACGTCATGGCCTGGCCTATCCTGGCCTCTAGGCACTCACTTTCGCTTCTTAGCCTCACGCCTGTGTTCTGAAGGAAACCTGGATGGTGGCGAGCAAGGCGTATTTGCCAGAGATTGTAGAGTTTCGATTCATTTGGCCTTTTACGATCACGATTTCCACCCTAGCCTGATCATGAGTTTTGCTCATGACTGAAAAAAAAACATAAGGGGGACAAGGGGGGGTTGGTGTACACTTAGGACTGAAGGGGAAAAGGCATGGGCAAAAATCGGTTCATAGTCAAGTTGCGTGTCCTTAATGACCTATATGAGAAGATAATAGATATTTTTTGGAACTTGTTAAGATGGCTTTATTTGATATCCAGCGCTTTACTTTTGCGGTGTTGGTTCTGCCTTGGTTTTCATGATGAACCAAGCTAAGTGCTTACTTTGTACGATTATCTGCCAAATAAGGTATTTACCGTTGACTTAGGTAATATATACCTACTAGGACGCCGTTGTGTAAATTCTTCTTCCTAGGAGCTATATCAAAACACCTAGGTAGACATGAGGCAATGTAGATGCTGTCAAGATTGTACAACGAACCCAGACTCGGATAACGGATGCACGTGACTAACAGCAAGGGATGTGTACTGCATAGTACCTGGATACATGCGGAGTACATAATCATAAATGATAAGGCTGATCAGGAATGAACCCGAGAAGCGCACGGGCCATATAAATCAAAAAATTCTTAGCCATGCCAGCTGTCAAAATCAACGGTGCATAACCAAGTTTGTTTGCTTGACCCACAACTATCACGTGGTTACGCATTTATTGACCTGGCAACGAAAACATTATCGCTGATAAACATTGCTACTCTTTTTTTGATGATTTCCTATCATCCTATCACCCTATCACCTATCATCAATCATTAGATTGCTTTAACTGCCTCCACTCCAATGCATTGCAGGAATTTCTAAGACAACACATCAATCAATTCATCAAGTCGCATAACTACAAATTACAAACGGTCTTCCAATTAACTGCTAGATGCTGCACATATTCCACCATACTGGAATTCGTTCTTATTTTGTCGCTTTGCAAGCTAGCTAACATCGTCGCAAATTATACACAAATAAACAAATGTTTAGCGTTGAAGGTTCATCTAGCCTGTCAGGTTCGCCTGGCGCGGCGCCACTTCAACCAATGTCTCCCGACCGAGTCAATCAACAACGAGAGAATATCATGCACTCTCCTGTTCGATCAGAGAATGGTCGCGATAGTGAGGTACACGACAAAATTCGACGCTTCAACGATTTGGCGCATACCGGCCCAGCTTCCATGTCTAGACAGCTTGAGCGGAAGACGGCCGATGCCGCCTTGAAGCGAGCTATGCTAGGACGTGAGGAAGCCGAGGGTGAAATGCGCCGCTATCGCGACGAGGCGAGGGCCCTGCGCCGACAGGTCGAGGAAAGCCGCGGCAGAGAACGTAAAGTTGGCGAGAGACTAGAGGATGTCATGGTCAGCATTACTCACTTGGAGCGCGATTTTTATCACGTTTTCCAACTTAAAATTTACTAACGCAATAGTTTGACAGGAAAAATACGGACAAGCAAAGGAGACACTCCAACACAGTAAAACTATATGGGAGAAGGAAGTTCGACACGCACGCAAAGAGGTTTTCAAAACACAATCGTCGATCGTAAAATTACAAGAAGAACTCAAGACAGTGCGAAGTGCCAACAAGTCTGCCGAGGAAGCCATCGCAAGAGAGAAGGAACGTAGCAAGACCAGAGAACAAGAGGCTTTCGCCACGCGCTATCGCCTTGCAGAAATACAGGAACAGCTGGAAAAGGCACTTGAGCGCATCACGTTTGTCGAAGAAGAGCGTGATGCATACAAGGCTGCGGCCAAGAAGGAAGAAATCGCTAGAATCGCTATGGAAGGTCGCCTGCCCTTGCCCCCAGAGGACCCGGACAGCGAATTCGCGTCACCTAAGAAGTCACGCGTATCCCTTTCAACGGCCGACATCGTATCCTCTGCCTCGAGCGAAACTGAAATTGAAGATTTGACGCGCCTATGGCAATGGGAGAAGCAGAGAGCCGATCGCACCCAAGAGCATCTCGAATTCGTACAAGCCGAATGCCAACTAAAATGTTGCTCCTGCGCCAAAGCTCGTTCACGGCGAAGTGGCCACCGGGCTTCAACACGTCCAGAACGTCTCAGTCTAGTCACAATCCTTGACCCAGCAGATCGTCAGATTCTAGGTCGAGAGTCAGAACCAGAGTCTACCACCCCGACTGACCCTCCCAAGATAGACCAAATGCAAGCCGAAGATCAAGCGCCTCTGCAACGAGTAAGGACGCAATCCCCGGCAGAAGATATCGTGCCAAAGAAGGAGCCAAGACAAAAGAAGGAACCTAGGCGCAGTACGATATTCGTCCCGTCTGAGGGTATCTTCAGAACCATTTCCCAACAAGACCTCCGAGCAACAAAGGAGGCCGACGAACCTGTTACTACCATGGGACCGCCACCACCCCCAGTTGAGCCCAGGTCGCACCGATTCCACCATTCTCGGACACCATCCGTAGACCCTCCCACATTTGCCTTAATGGCACAAGAGCGTACTTCGCTACTTTCACTCCTCAACGCTCCCCACGAAAACGACTCTCATGGCGCCATTCTTAATATTCCGAGAAGATCAGCGGACGAAGACGAGGATGAGGATGAGGATACACCAGGCCCACACTCCCACCCGGAACCCGAGCAGGACGACAGCACGCGACCGCACACCTCGGCCGCCTTCTACCAGGTGACGACGACCACAACGACCGTTCCCGTCCGAGACACCACCAAGATCGAGAGCCGCACCCCATCTTTCGACGCCAATAACCCGGCCATGACGCCAACGATGACGCGCGAGCAGGCGCTGGCACAGATCAAGGAGCGCCGCGGTAGGGCTAGGAGCGCTGCGCAGGGCCTCGCGACCCCGAGGCGCCAGATGATGTCTGTCTCCAGCGAGCGCAGAGACGCGAGCGCGCCGGCGGTACGAGCGGCTAAGGGACGTTCTGCCTAGATGATACGACACGCTTACGGAGGACGCGACTTTCGTACATACATATGTACATACCTACACACACAAACACGTACACGCTAATCATCGCCATCATCGTCATTCATCATCGTCATACCCATGGGTTAATATCGGACTAATATTTGTCGTCGGGGGTGGAATGGACGAAGGAAGATGGATGGATGGGAGGCGCGGCAACGCCGAGGAATAGGATATAGGGCGAGGCATTGGTACAGGCGTTCGGCGAGCGTTGTTATCATAAGTCACGGACCTTGTAGCATTTCCAACCGGCGTTTTTTTCTTTTTGTGTTTTCCCTATGTGGAACCGGAGTGGGGGGGCTGGATAAAGGATGGATAGGTGGTTGGTTACCTACCTAGTCATTAGGTGGTAGATAGGACGGTTATGAGGCGTTGGATGTGACTTTTCCCTCTCTCTTACATTTTGCATACATACCTACACACATAGCTACTTTGATAGACTGTGTGTGTGTGTGTGTGGCTCGCGCTCTCGTACTCTCTTACTCTACATACTCTCGCTTTATACCGACTAGCCTACCTACCTATGTAGGTACTTACTTATCTGCCTAATACTTCAATGTTAACTACCAACTACATACACTTCATACACGCACGTGGGGCTATGGGTACACATCCTCCTCTCTATGATTGATCTTTCTCTCATCCACGTCCGGGGGTTTTCTGGTCATGGTGTGGTGTACTGGGCACGACGTAGATGTAGATGTAGATGAAAATTGTCGGCGTTGATGGGGGAGTAGCGGATTGACTGACTAACTGACTGACTGACTGGATAAGTGAATAGTAGCCCGCGTGCCTCCATACCTACCTACCTGCCTTCCTTCCTACTAAGCATACTTATTATCTTGGTGGGTACACAGTAGTCGATTTTCTTTACGTTCTTACGGAATGGGATAATATGAAAATACCTTGTTTCCATTGAAGTCTGTGTAACGGGATGCGAGGGCATTCGTTGACATTATGTGCTGCGTAGGTAAGTACCTCGGTAGGCAGGTAGGTCGTGAGTATTTGCTTCGTCTTCATCGTGTGAACCGAGGATATCGACGCTGTGGTCTAATTGTTTCAAGCTTTCTTTACATGTTGACCTACCTACCTACCTACCTACCTACCTAACCTACATGATTAGGATAGGGACTAAGCTTCAGGGTAGTCTGCGTACTACGTAGCTAGGTAGCTATATACTCGCCCAACTGTTTTTTAAGTGCCTATGCTCCATGTTTTGAATGGGCTTAGACTGGGACTTGGACTACCGATCTTTGAACAGATATATTGGGTATACATATAAGAATCGACAGTATATAGGAGTGACAATGAGTGTGAGGAGGATACCAAGTATAAAAATAAAATAAAATATTGTAACCTTCTCTATCCGGCTAAGCCCCTTTTATCTCGGTGCTTACTCGGGGATAGCATCAGCCACGTACTACTAGTAGTATTAGCCACCATTTCAGTCCATTATGCAGGGGCTGAAGATTCAATAAATATGTGTTACATACATATGTACTACTACTAGGTTAGTCTACTAACCTAGTCTACTACATGCATAACTTATAATGTATTGATTTGCAAATGCTTGCAAATCTCTGTTTAAATACGCTACCTATTACATAGTTAACCTACAGAGGTTACATACCTAACCTTAGTACTGCCAAGCTCAGCTACATAATTTCAATTTACAACTCATGAGAAACGAATCTACAGCCATACCTGAATCGCGAATTCGACTTAAAACCACTCCAGATTTCCCCGGATTGTCGTCAAATCAAATGTATCAAATCTTGTTCAATCTATAATGGTGCCCGTCACATGCTCGGTTGTTCCCGAAAGGATGAATGCAAGCCTGCGGCCATGTTTGTGTTTGCCGTAGATTATACAGAATATATATACGTATAGTATACGAGTATACGGTACAAACTGGATCATCAACAATGAGCACCTCTACCAGCTTGAATGATACCACCAGGGGACGCGATGGCGGTTTCCATCTTCCACCCTCCGATCCCGAATTAATCTCTAAAATCCCCAGAATCCTGCCGCATGAGCGTGTTTTTCCTATTCAGATAGGATCTGAACTCTTTAAACTCTCCGGGGCCTCGATCTCTTCTGATGGTGCGTATACATGATAATGCTCATAACAATGATAATAACAATAATATCAACTTCATGTCAGCCCAATTAAAAAAATTGCGTCAATTCTGACTCTAGCTAACTTAGCTATACAGCCCCATCATATTTCTCTCAGTATTTTCAGTGTCAAATTAAAAAGGCTGAAGAAGCTGGCGAAGACATATCAACCGCCATAAGGACTCTTTACATTGATCGCGACCCTGGAACCTTTAGGGACATCTCTCTTCATCTGCAAGGTTATCATGTCTCTCCACGTGACGGTACACACTTCGTGCGCCTTTTCGCTGACGCCCAATTCTACACCTTGCCCAAACTGATGTCGCAGCTTTATGAGGACTCAATATTCATTTCTATTGGGCATCACGAGTTTCAGATTCCACGCGACATCTTCACTGGGCCTGGCAACTCACCAAATTTCTTCTCCCTAGGTTTTGGTGTTTTCTTCTCATCACGCGATGAGATTTTCCCTGGCCTGGAACGTGAAAATCTTATCCGACCTCCTTCTATCATGCCGCCATCTGTTCCGAACAGGTCAGCCGATATCTTTAGTGAACTCTTACAATTACTACGCGGTTATCCGCTAAATATCCGTGATGAGAACCACCGCGCCTCCCTACTCCGCGACTGTCGGTATTTCAACTTCAAGGGTGTAGAGCAAAAGTTGATCCCTCATCATATAAATTATAACTTATCTCGGCGAAGATTTGAAATAACCCTCAGGCTCGAGGATATTCTCAAGTCAGGTATCTCAATTGCCACTGATGCTATGACTCCTACCAGCGGTGCGGAATCCATCTCGGGATGGGTCAATTATATGCGGCCATTCGAGGATGACAAGCAACATGAGCTCATCCTAGAAATTGGGGGCGAGAATACAAAATTACATCTCAACTCCATGCGAGCAGAGTTCTTCGGTCAAGTCAAGGCGCGCGTGGCGAGACTATTCGAAGTCATCGCTACGAAACTTAACCTTCCCCCAACAACTCAGCCATTGGGACTCTTGATGGCATCGGGAGGAGCGAGCAGCCAACCGCCGACGCCGGGAAATACCCCATTGAGCGAGGACCTGGTTCGAGTAGTACTTGAACCTGAGTCGTATATTATCCTAGATGGGAAACCATACAACAATTTTACGGAAAGCGACGAGGCGGCAGTGCCCATGTCGGCGACATCCTCGATGGGACACGGCGGAGGACAGGACTCGCCACTCTCTAGCATAGGTGGATTCTTTGGGCCTCCGAGGAAAAGGAGGCGAGTAGACTTATCGGGCCATGTGCCAGATGAGTGGATAGTCCGCACGGGACAATGGAGACTTCGAATTCAAAGCTCAAGGAATGGAAAGAACGCCATCGAGTGTGTGCTTGTAGCCGTCAAGTTAGATGCCTACAGTAGTGAGCAGGCGAAAAATGCCCAGCGAGCGTTCTTGAAGGGTTGACGACGAAGAAACGAAGAAACGAAGAAACCCATGACAGGGTGAAGGTACAGTGTGATGAGTTGAATATTACTTACTGGTTCTAGCTTGATCTTTATGTTTCGAATTTTAAAATGTACTCACAATATACTCACTATAATACAATACACTATACTAATTCCAACCTACCGATCTTCTAATGCTGGTAGCTCGGCGCCCGGCAGTCGTTAGGGCAAGCTGTTTTGAAACAGGCAACCGGCATTTAATGACAACTAATACGACTTAATGCCGATTTCAACACTTTTCGGTATTGGCGATCAATCGCAACCCCTCAGCCCCCGCGAAAGAGACAACCTCGGGGTATACTACTAGGTTAGTAAACAACCTTGAAAATCATGATTTATGATTTCCCCCAGTCGCATGGAAAGTCCCGCAGGTTCAAGTTGAATACTATATAGTATTTATATATACCTACGCTTCATGACCATTGAAATCCATATACAGTCCTTTACACCTGAGCCTAGTTTGTATATATATTTTTCTTCACAGCTCTATACCCAAGACTATACTTATCTAGTATTTATCTAGTATCTGCCTAGTGCCTATTACTTACCTACCCGCCTACCTAACCTAAGCACCTAGCCATCTACAACTCTATCACCATGGCGGCGGCTTCATCACCCCCATCCATCCCCATCCCCACCCAAATGAAAGCCATCCAAGTGGTAGCCTTCAACGAGCCCTACCAAATAAACACCATCCCCGTCCCCACCATCGGCCCCCACGACCTCCTCGTCAAAGTCGCCGTCGCCGGCTACTGCCACACCGACGCCATGGTCGCCGCCGGCATCTTCCCCAACCTTCCTCCCATGACCGCCTCGCACGAAGGCGCCGGCACGGTCGCCGCCGTCGGCGCCCAGGTCACCGACTTCCGCCCCGGCGACCGCGTCATGTGCGGCATCCAGCTCGGCCCCTGCAACGCCTGCGCCGACTGCGCCGGCAGCGCGCACCCCCAGTACTGCGACCGCTTCGCCGGCCACGTCGGCATCATCGGCGCCCACGGCTGCTTCGCCGACTTCGTCCGCGTCGACTCGCGCTCCTCCACCAAGCTGCCCCCGCAAGTCGGCTTTCTCGCAGCGGCACCGCTCGCGTGCGCGGGCCGCACGGTCTGGCGCGCTATCCTGCAGGCGGGGGTCGTCGCCGGCGAGTGGCTTGTTATCTTTGGCTCTGGAGGCGGGCTGGGGCATCTGGGGATACAGTTCGCGCGCGCGAAGGGGATCAAGATCGTGGGCGTCGATGCGCGCGACGCGGGGCTCGCGGTGTCGCGGGAGAGCGGCGCGGACGTCGTCGTCGACGCGCGGCTAGGGAAGGAGGCGGTGGTCGCGGCCGTGCAGGAGGCGACGGGCGGCCTCGGCGCGCACGCGGCGGTGGTGGTGTCTGACGCGCCGGACGCGGCGGGGTGGGCGGCGGCGGCGACGCGGATGCACGGGACGCTGGTGCAGATCGCGCAGCCGCAGACGGTCGTGATCCCGTTCCGCGAGCTGATCTTCAGGGACATCAGGGTCAGGGGCAGCCTGGGGTGCTCGCCGGCGGAGAGCGCGGAGATGGTGCGGTTCATTGCGGAACATAATGGTGGTGGTGGAAAGGGGGGTGCTATTAGGGTTGAGACGGTGAGGTTTGAGGGGTTGGAGAGGATTGGCGAGTTGATGGAGCTGGTGGAGAGTGGGGGGTTGAGGGGAAAGGCGGTTGTTGTGGTGGATCCGGTGCAGGTTGAGGCGGATGGGGGGAGGTGAGGGGGGAGGGTGAAAGAGGGGGGAACCTCTCGTCACCCAGTGTGGGATCGGTTGAAGGATACAATGCGGTTTAGATTTGTGTATTGAGTCTAGATATTAGCGGTGGTGATGGTTGTTTTGCGGGTTTCTCTGGACGACTTCTGAGAAGGTGGGTTAGGTTTTGAAGCCTTAGGATCGGAAGGGGGCTACGTCTGTGTGCGGCTACGAGTTTGCTATTTATTTTCTTGGTCAGGGGGCTGGGTGTATTGGACATGTGACATTTTTTTTCCTAAAGTATCTATCTAACCTACCCAAGTTGTATTATATTTTCAAAGCTCTTACTTACTCAGAATGACTTAACTACTGCACAAATTTACAGAATTACCGCAAACACTCACATGTGCCGGTGACCCGATAATGATTGAGCGTTACTTTGGGATCCATTGGACAGTATCGGAATGTTTTGATATATGTTGATATAAAGGATATAATATCGATCAAAGGGATAGCGCGTGAATACCTAGATGTATTGATGGGAAGGAGGGAAAGGAGGCAATAGCGATGGAGGTATAATAAACAGAGAAGCTCTTCGAGGGCTACACTGTGAACAGATTTGGCCTCTCTTCTGCCCATTGAATCGACGAACCAGGAACTTCATGAAAAGGCAGCACCACGCTGAAAGAGGCGGTAATCCCCCAGCGAAGATAACTCAGTGACTGACACGAAAAGTCATACGCAGGCCTAATGATGCGAAAGCGATTTTCGCGAGCAATGAAAAGGAGGATCACTCAGGGGCTGTCGGTGATTGGGGTAGTATATCCTTGAAGGATACACAAGTAGAAGTCCTGGCCCGGAGGGGTTAGGTATATGAAAAGCTGTATATCTGGTCGCCCATGGGGACCTCATGGTGTTACAAGTAGGCGGTAGTTAGACCTAGTCTACTGGATGAAGTAGCCGGTATTGTCTTCGTTGGCGTTTTCTTTGAATAGGGGGATAATGGCTCTCAAGACCTCAACAATGTCTTGTGGAAAGATCCAAAGGTTGGAGCCGGGAACAGATAAGTGAGTGGTCCAAATCTCTAAACCGTTCGAAGAAAAAGAGACTTTGGGCCTGATATAGTCCCGCTTCTCTTGTGGTGATATTAGCAACTGGATATTTAGGTTGAGAATATCGTGATTGTGGGCTTTACCATCTTTACCTATATAGGTACTGTAATGGCATAAAACTGTGGGTTTGGGCGAAAAAAGACATTCACGAAAGCTAGAGGAACAAGAGTCACGTATGCGGATAATGGAAAACAGCAATACATTGGACGCGCATTATGAAGCATTATGCACTATAGACACGCACAAGAGCCCGAGTTGGCTAGCTAAGTTGGAAAGTATTGCCATTCATACTGAGGACCTGGATATCTTAGGTATGTAGTTATATGTTTACACTCAGATTTGTCTAACGCAGAGCCTCTGTGCCAGTTATTTCTGAGATGGCAGCTTGTCTTTTTCTACAGTTACATGGCTTATTGAAGAAACTGGCGATTCTCATGCTTAATATACTTGAGCTACACTGAGCGAGGACATTCGTTACAGTGATTTGGCAAAATCGTTTGATCCCGAGATCGAGTTCTAATGGAAAGTCAAGCGGAGTGATGACTAGACAGTCTAGACCAAGATGGCACATAAGACCCTTAGCTAGGTACGATAATCTGGACGATGTCTACCTTCCGAGATAGAACGTCGAACGTAACCGTTATACACTAAGAAAGCCTGCTGTGTTTGAACGAAGCCCCGGACGAGAGCTGAGAGCGTAGAGTTCTCTTTGTTTGTATCTTCGTCACGCATCTCGGATAGCCTAGCCGTTGGCGTCGTTGAGTGAGGCATTTGCCATTGGCCGAGCGATCTATTTACCTAGGTGGAGTGCGGCCACAAGCGGTAATGATTTATGATAATATTCCTTAGCTCTCTTGGTATATAGGAGCTATCGCCGCCTCACACTCGCAGAGGGCTTTGCGGAGCGTAGTCGGGGTAGTCCCATTAATTACTATTTATCTACTTCGGAGAATTTTTGGCGAGTTGGCCATTCTCTCGGCCTCTAGTTTGACCCAAAATGCACTGACTTTGTCATTACTAGTAGATCGAGGGCGTCGGAATATTATTTGGCACTTGATATCTCTATCTATCCACTCACAATAGGTACACTTACGTAGCAGGACAGCTTGAGATCGAGACACATAGCAATAACTAGCTAAGATTGAACGGAACGGGGCTGCTAGCATTTGCTGTATTAGCCTCGAGTCTCACTATCAATTTCATGCTAACCTAGTGTAGTGTTGTACGGGTTAAGTCAACCGCTCTCAAGAAAGTCTGGCCTGCATCCACTCACCACGAGCAACGGCCCGGGATGTCAGACTGGTAACCTTGAATGGTCTTGTTTGAGGCGCCTAGCAGCAGCTGTCTAGTCAACAGTTAGACTGCTCATCAACGGGACGGGAATGATGACCGGCAGTAGGTAGTTAGAGGCAGGTACAGTGTTTTTTTTCTTTTTTTTTTTTTTCTGCAAATTGTCTTTGAAACTGACAAAAGCAGTGACTAAGCTTGGGGATCTTGGTTTCAGCGATGAATCATTTTGAATCAATGCTCGCAATGCTCGCGGGGCAAACCGATGCTGTTTGAATATGGGGTCAAGGGGTTTTGATTTCGTACGGTTTTCGTATGTTCTTAATCCCCACACGTTCCATGGGTTTTCTAAAGCTGTCAAGCCCTTTTCGGATTCTAAGATTTGAGATTCTAGTGTAGAGATCTCGGAGTGCACGATGTGTCGAATTTGCTGTCGGGGTCAGGCTCATTGTTCTAAATATGTTCTATTGCAATTTGTTCGCCGTCAATGCGTTTAAAGCATCATCGATTCTCCTCAGGGTCTTGATTTATTTATGGTCGACGCCTTGACATTAATAATATGTAGGCTATGGTTGAACCCTGCCAAGTCCGCCTCGTTTTTGTTTGCCCTGTGTCCTTGACTCGCCTTTTTCCCGCCTCGGGAAGGCCCCGCGAACGTAACCAACCTAGCGCAAATCTGCGGGAAGCGGCGGCGTTGGCATGTCAGCTTCGTTGACGATTTAGAGATATAATTATATTACTAGACAAGCGAATGTCGATGAAAGGCGAACATCAAAAACTGTTGGCATCCTTTGGTGGCCCCTATATTATCTTCGACGCGGTCTTTGTAAACATTTTACGTGAATGGACATATAAGTGACGATCAATAAGGAATACCTAGTTACTGGGTAGCTATTGTAGGCCTTGTAGGGACTGGGGAGGTAGGGACTTAGAATTCGGCATTGGCAGTAAAGAGTAATTCTCGTGGTATTCTAAGTGGGACGCCGCTGACATCTAGTTTGCTACAGTTGCAACGCACAAAATTAAGGGCTTCAAGAATCGACTAAGGTGTCTTTCGCCATTTTAATTGTGGTTTTTTTCTTAATCCTTCAGTTGGAGGCTTTAACCACACCGCAACGTGAACCGTGACCCTGTTAAAAAATAAGGGGCATTGATATTTGGGACCAGTATGTGGATTGAGTGCCGGTTTCAAAGGTCTGAACATCATCACGAGACCCTCTCTGACTGGGCAATGGGCTTTCAAGGATCACGATTGATCTTCTCTGACCCGAATAGATCGGGAGCTCTTTACCACGTGCGGAGTGGGTTTCTATGGAATAACTACAGCTGTTTTCCCCTTTCTTTCTCCATGGTTGGAGAAGCGGATTCTGGATGCAACAAAGGCGATGCGTGATAAATCCATTTAACGAGCTGTGCTGTGCTGAGCTGAACTGGACGTGCTAAAACGCAGTTATTTAACCTAGGTATTCGTAGTTAGTAGGTATGAAGGGTTCCATGGACATAAGAAATACTACACGGGTATGTGGGCAGATATGTAGGGAGGCAAGTATGTACATATATTGGTAAGGTAAACTATGTCTAAAGTACTCTGCCGCGAGGGAAATTCGCGATAGCAACTCTATCCTAAGCGGGAGCAACGCGCGACAGGGAAGAGATCGTAGGCCATCGCTATTTGATTGGTCTTGCGCGACTCCGCCGGCGCTGTAAGGAATGGGTGATGAGGATCGAGCTATGCAGGGAAAGGTAACAATTACTACATTGTTAGGCTTCTTGGTATCGCGTTTGATGGCACATTGACAGGACTCAATCCTGCCCGGATTTCCATCATGGCCAACCACCCCTCTTTCATATCCCTCATCCTTCATATTACTGTCGTCTTTTTTGACATCGAAGTACAACTGTGTAACTTGCCAGTTGAACGGAATAGGTATGTCCCTTGTCACGTACATATGTCATACATAGAATATGTGGTCTAAAAATGGCAGGAGTTTAATGGTGAGAACGATAGGATTGTGTCACATAAATTGAATTTGTCTTGACGAACAAAGTCTTGTACATACAAATTGATACAATAGATGAAAGCCGAATACCTTACCCGGGAACCTAGTAGCTGGGATAGTAGCTGGGTAACTAGTATGATAAGTAGAATATCTGATTCGATGAATTCGTGTCTTACCCCTGGTGATCTCAAAGCCCGAAATCTCAAAATCTCAAAATCTCAAAAGCTTGTGGGTTCAATGACGGTTCATTTAATCACAACAAGCTTAGCCTATTCGTTGACGCACCTTAGTTACGTATATACTAGCAGATATTGATGAAGGTTAACTTATATTAATGATAACTATATGTAGGTGTTGTATCAACTTGTATGTAGCATTCTAATTTAATTGTAGGAGATGAATACTTACCTAGATAGTATCTCCAATAAAAAGGGGGAGATAATAGTTATTAGTTAATATGTATTATGTATTAGTTAGTATGTACCTACTATGGTACTTCGTAGACAGCGTCGACGCTATGCTTCAACATGCATGAAACCACCAAGCAAAATGCATACCAAAGACATCTATATATGATGTCAACCATCCCCAAAAGGCTAGATATACATCATTAGTAGCAAACATGTAATTTCACTTAATTCTTCTTCATTTCTTCTACCTGAAGTTCCTGAGGAAAGACTATTTCTTACACTGGGGTAGAAATCTATACATAGAAACGATGATGAGAACATTGAATGCCCTACCTACTACCTACTAGTAGTACATATGTAGGCCCTACATAGGCCCTATGTAGTAAGTACTAATCATGTGGAAATGTCTCAACTACCACACACTAAAATCACGCGAAACTGGGCTTTCCCAGAAGTAAGTAAATAGGACCATCATCATGAAAAAGTATGGGACGAGATGGATAATGCGAGCCGGGGGGTTTTGACGGATTGGAGTGTTCAATGTTGAACATCAGTTACATCACAAAGTGACTTGTTTAACTCCGGTTGCCCTTCAACGGTTCAACCAAATTCCAAGTTGAAGTATGTACTATTCTAGGTAACGTAGAGGTGACCGGTACCATAAGTCGGACATGTTGGGCACGCACAATAAACATTGAAGATGCCAATTGACGGATTTACTGATAAGATTTGGAGACTTCAAGATTGAAGAGAGGGTAGGTATTGTACAATACAATACAATACAATACATTCAAATGTTGTAGTACGGAGGGAACCCTGCTGCCCTGTCTCAATGACTTGGGTCACTTGGGTCACTCTCCATTGCTGCTACCTACATTTGTACATATGTACTAGATCCCTACTAGGTACTAGGTAACTACATAGTACTGTAGCACATCCATGGATGTAGGATTTCAATGTTATTAAGTACCTAGGGGGTCGAGCCCGGGGGTAGAGGGGGCTAACTAAGACCAACCACAACAAATTGCAGTTGGCCCATGCGTACTAATTGGACGAATAAGAAATATTTCTACGCTAGTATCCTTGTCGTCCCTCTTCCCTGCTTCAAGGTCTGGGCCGGCAAATGGGGCCAGTGCGCCCACTAAGAGAAGCAACGAGCCCTGCGAACGTTGCACCCAAGCGCAAGGAAAGTACATATTATGCTACCGTACTAATCGTAGTATCGTACATACTAGACCAGGACCCAGGTACATACCTAGGGTAGGGTAGACCAGCCTGACCAGGTACCTAAGTAGCCCACATGGGCTGCCTAGGAGAGCTAGAGCCAGAGCCAGAGCCAGTGATCAGTGATACCAGTGACTTTCTGCCATCCAAGCCCTGCCAAACTCTCCTTCTCACCACTCAACTGTCATCGTCCCGTTGTCCAACCGGACCACATCCAATTGACTTTTGTCGCATTCTACCCGCTCCAAAAGGAGACGACTTTCAACCCGTCGCGGCCGGAACCGACATTGGACTCTTGGACGATTGGCAACCGGCGTAATCAACGACACATAACGACACATTGCGGCCTCGAAAATAATCCGATTGATCCTCGAATGCGAACCTGAAGGAAACAGTAGGGAGGAAGGGAGTCATAGAGTGTGCGCGCGTAACACCCACCTAGAGACCTCACAACAAGGCCAATTTTTAATTTCGAATGATTCTTTGAAAGAAGGTCACCAGTTTCCTTCGCTTTCGCTTCTCTTTTGGCTCTAGACCTTTTAACTCGTTTTTTATTCGACCTTCAATGCATTTGTTCGCAGCTAGCCGATTCAGCAGTCATTCATCTGCTGCGTAGTAGAGAGAAATGGAGGTAGATCCTCAGAGAGTACTCTCTCCGTTGCCGAGACGGTCAAATCCTAGTCTCTTCCAATCTTCTCGAGGAAGTTCTTCTTCTTCTAAGAATCCGAAATCGCCCAGGACTGCACCTCGGGAACCTAGGTCAAAAAGGGCGTATGCGCTTAGTCAAATAAGCAAGTTTGGGGTATCTAAAGTGCGCCTACCTGGCTCCAAACCGTTGCTTCCGGCAGGCGAGCGGAGGTCTGGAGGACATGATAAAAACAAGGAGAAAGGGGAGGCCGGCGGTGAAAAGGGCAATAATATAACACCAGATGGAGGCTCAGCTGGTAGAGAGGGGAGGCATTTTACCGTGTCCAACGTGGGAAACAATGGCCAAATATACCTAAGGTGCGTCCTACTCGGATCTGTGTCTGATCATATCATACATACTAATCATAACGACTATCATAGACCTACTGTGCGACCAGCGAACCAGAGATACCCACAGCCCAACTTCGTCTTCCCACTCACGCCGCCGAGTACCGCAGGCATCGAATCTTTGGCCCCAAATAAGGCAGGGCCTGATGAGATTAGCGAGTTGCTCAATGGCCAGTGGACTCCCAGTCCCGCGGCTGATTCTTCATCTTTCGGGGGCGGGGTTGCGAAGAAGAAGAAGAATACATATTTTGATCTGAAAGCACCACCCAAAACTCGAAATCGTCGTGCGTTGTCGGATTCAACAATCCAAGATGTCAGTATTGCGCAGGAAGGGGATGCTGGGGTTTTCAAGGTCGTCATATCGAAACCAAAGGACGAGCTAAGGTCTAAGACAGCTGAAGACGTTGAATCGATCCAAAGCCCGCTCATGCAAATTTCCATACCTTCGTGGAAATTGGGAACACCGAGATTCACCCTTATGGGAACCCCTCTACTCCGAGGCTCCTCATATGCACCGACAGAGGATCCCCGCTCAAGCACCCTTTCATTTTATCGACCGTCGGCGCCGGATCTGAACTCGCTGCACCCCGAGTCTTCAGATACAGCGAAGGAAAGAATAAACTCTACATCTCACATGGATCTTCAGACGCCGGAATTGCTCAGCCCTGCTACGATTATCTCACCACGTACACCACGCTCACCACGCTTTCCTCCTTTCGCTTCACCTCGGTCGACGTATCTCTCGACTCACATAGTCATTGAGCCTGCCATGTTCGATGCACTCACATTTAAACCAGCTTGCGATGATCGATCGATAGTGCGCTATTCTTCCACTACAAATGCTGTGACAGCTGCCACCCCTCCGCGATTAGTCGCCGAAATTACATCTCCTACTTTTCTAGATTATGAACTAATCTCCGACTTCTTTCTCACATTCCGCTCATTCCTCGACACGCAAGACTTGCTTCGTATGCTAATTGCAAGGCTTCGCTGGGCTATATTACGAGATGATGAAACAGGGATGGTGGTTAGAGTGAGGACATTCGTTGCTACGAGGCACTGGATCCTCAATTACTTCGTCGATGACTTTGTCGTAGATTACCACCTGCGCGTGATGTTTTGCAACCTCATAAATGATTTTGTTGAAGAACTTTCTCAAGATGAGCGAGGGAGAAAGGTTCAGTTGAAGATTCTAGCAGAGCTGAAGAAATGTTGGAGAAGAGTATGCTCACAATTCTGGGATGGTCCGGAATTTGACACATCATTGGGTCCCGAGATTCCCATTGCGTCCGGTGGAATCGCTGGCCACCGAGATCCAAGTTTAGATCCTAGCTTTTGGGAATCCGAATCCGATGACTTGCTACAGTTATACGGGGTTCCTTTACACCCGGGGAGTGACATACGCTACGGAAGCAATCCTAACGCAGACCCATCTCAAGGCAACATGGATTCGATTTTACTTGATGGAGTTCGCCCGGGTACACCAGGCGAAGAGCGATCACCAATGGAGATGGAAAGGAGGCAAGCCTCGCCAACTAGTACTGCAAGCTTCGATGTGGTCTCTTGCTCGTTTCCAATTCCATCCAAGGGGTTTCGAATGGGCGATCCGATTGGGAGCTCTACTTACGCGGCTCATCCTGCTGACCCTAGTTCGATATATACCAACGTAGATCCTGTTGCCCCTACCCCACGTACATTGACTGGAAAGCGAGTTAGACCCCATACTTCTCATAGACGCAATACCAGTCTTACGGACTCTCTCAGGGAACATGGTTCGACGACAGAAAAGGTTCTTTACAAGAATGCGGAATTCCTTTTGACGTTGCCATACTCCGGCAGCCTCGTGCGAGGAAACCTATTGCCCCCTGGGCAAGCTTTGGTCGAGGTAAACACTCCAAATCCCTGGAGTACAACACGTCAAACTACCCTTTTCCAACCGAGCCCTATCGAAAGGCCCAAGGAGAAATGTCCAGGATCGGCGATGTCGGGGCAGGGAATGAGGAAGCTGATCGGTAGCGTGCGGAGGGCTCTGAGTACAAGAGGCCAGGGAGTCTCGCCAACGCAAGGAAATTTCATCGACATTGCGCCCATAGGACCTCGAGGCGCCACGATCAACAGACTTCCAGGAACCGCTGTTGTACCGCAAGCACGTCCAACTCGTATGAACGGGGCTCGCGCTCCTGTGCGTATTGACGTCCTCGGTGCAACCATCGCTGAAGACTTCAAGAAGGCTGTGCGAGAGGACAACGTTGCCGAGTCTATCATTGAGGATAGCAATATCGAAGACAACGGAGACCGTATTGCGTACTCTCCCGCTCACCTAGACTCCTCATTTAACCTCAGACCTGTGAGCGATGCCGGGATTACAACTGGAAGCAAGTCTATCGTTATCGTCGATGGAACTTTATCCGGGGGTTACCCAGCAATGGCTAGCCCTTTTACGATAATGAATCCATCCATGGAAGCTTTCGCGGATAGCATGATACGACATGACAATGTCGACCTTACACCACCGAACACGCCGCCTGGGCAGACAGGACGCAGAAACATCCCTAGAAGATCCTCTCATCTCCTCGGCCAGTTTGGCCAATACCTGGCATCTGAGTCTTTGCCGCCGTTTGTTCCTGATATGGATACCCTCGATCCAGGTTCCCCTGAAGGCACCCATGCCCCCGCCAGCCCGTCCAGCCGATCCGTTGAGACGGTGAAGCAGTCCCCTCGCGAAGTCCCAACATCCCCTCGTGAAGCCCCAGTATCCCCCCGTGAAGCCCCAGTGTCCCCCCGTGAGGCCCAAATATCCCCCCGTGAGGCCCCGGCATCTCCCCATGAAATGCCAATATCCCCTCGTGGACCCCCAATAAGTTACATAAGTCGACATCGCCGCCAGAAATCAAGTCGTAGCTATCGAACTAGAAGCTCCATGACGCATCGGCGGTGGGCATCCTTCCAAAGCGGTATCGCAGCGCAATCTACAATTAGGAGTTTTGATGCCACTACCTGCTCAGACGGTTCAAGAATGTCGGAAGTCATGCCTCAGCCACTCAGAGTGCTCCGAAGACGACCAGGTGGAGATCTCAGATGCGCAACTAACGTTCACGATCTAGACGCACCCCTTCATAGATCACGCTCTGTGGGTTCGTTGACGACCTACTCAGAATCTATTAGAAGTTCATATCTACGTAGCCCAGTTAGGGAGTCGACTGGGTATGCTGAAGTCGTCAGCAGCAATTATTCAGAGAGAAAGGCAGAACTTTTCTCTCTGGGAGTTATGACTGAACAGGTTCCGAAACAGCCAGTGACATTGTGTACCACGCATTCGTCGAAGCCAATTATGCGACCATCCTTTGAGGCTGAAGCAGAGAGGCTTGCACGAATACCGGACGATACGGACGACGATGGGGGTGTTGAGTCAGCGCTTTTGAAGCTTGAAGGCAAATTCGAAAGGAGAATTGCTAAGCTGTCGATGGAACCTAAAAAGATATTTCAGAGCGGTCTACAAGATCTCAAAGACAGACCCGTGGCAACACCCGAAGTAGAACTCGTCAAAGGTGAAAAACGAAAACACCGTCGTCAGCATGTCGGCGATGATGACGTTCCTATAGTGTCACCCATCGAGGGAGATCCTGATACGCCGCTAGCCGGAAACAGGCCTTTCCCCCGAGACTCCGAGGTTTCGTTCTTGTCAGAAGATTCGAGAGAGACCTATAACTCGACCCCACTACTTGACCGAGGATTGACAGACGATGGGCATAGTAAGACAACGACTCAAGAATGGGCAGACAATTCAGCTCTGGCGGGGACGGATACACCTCCAGTTACCATAATAGTTGAGAGAGATGATGGCATGACTAATTCCTCATTAAGCCCATCCTTCGAGTTTGTACAAATGACCGAGAGTATCAACAAGATCCAATCAGAGGAAACAGGGGAAACAGGGCCTGATGATTCCGTATATCCCGATAGTGATAACGATTCTGCCTTGTCATCGGAGATATCTGGTGAATTACCGGACCCGGATGACTACATCTTTGGAGAACCACACATGCCAAAGCGGCCTAGTCCTATAGATACTGGATCGAGTCCTAGAGGAACTGGAAACAAACCCCCATCACCTCCGATGACCGTAACCCAGGCTTCTGCGACGTCACCAGAGAGTGCTTATGTTCCCCAGCTTCACGAACACCAGCTATGGGCCCAGAAGCCATTGCCACCCACTCCTGAAACGACCCCCACCACTGCTATATACCATCATGGCTCCCAACCATCCAAGGACCCGACTGGCACCGAACAAGCATTACGCAACGCCCCTGTATTGTCTGGAGAGGAAGGCCAAAAGAACTCTGCTCATTTGCCCTTCATACTTGCCTTTGACTCTGAGATTCTTGCCCAGCAGTTCACACTTATCGAAAAGGATGCCCTAAACGAGGTTGATTGGAAGGAGTTGATCGACATGAGGTGGAAAAACGCCAACAATGACTCCCGGTCATGGGTTGATTTTCTTCGGAATACGGATGCTCAAGGTGTTGAAGTTGTTGTGGCACGTTTCAATATCATGGTCAAATGGGTGATTTCGGAAATCGTTCTCACTCAAGGCCTTGAGGAGCGTGCCCGATGCATCATCAAATTCCTTCATATTGCTGTCCATTGTAGAAGATATCGCAATTTTGCTACAATGAGCCAGATCGCCATCGCGTTGACCTCAAATGAGGTTACAAGACTATCCAGGACTTGGGAGATGGTTACGCCAGCTGACATGCAAACAATGAAGGATCTTGAGACGCTGGTATCACCTACAAAGAACTTCTACAACCTGCGGGCTGAGATGGAGGGTGGCGGCAACGGAACCGACACCGGATGCATCCCGTTCTTTGGCATTTATACCCATGACCTACTCTTCAACTCTCAACGACCATCCGAAATCGCGAGCTCACCGACCACGGCGCCTTTGGTCAATTTCGAGCGGTGCCGTATTGCGGCCGCAGTAGTAAAGACCTTGCTTCGCTTGCTGGAAGCCAGCACACACTACGAATTCCAGCCCATCGAAGGTATCACCGAGCGTTGTCTCTGGATGAGCGCCTTGAGCGACGAGGAAATCAGAAAGCTCTCGGAGAATCTAGAATAGACAACGAAACGTGGTCTACGAATGAGTGGCATCAGGTCGATCTGCTCGTCCATAATTGTTCGACTATTACATTGTATATCATTTATCTGTCGTCGATAATACTACCGTCGCTCGCAAACCCTGTTTCATTTAGTACCAACCATCATCGAACATAGACCGCACGGCCCGCGCAAAAGTCACTAATGTACCAATACCCCCCATTTTATAATTCTTATCATAATACACCAGCTATACGATACCACGATACACTACAAGCCGCCCGACCACAGCATATTAGTACTGAGGACGGGTCGTGCCGTTATGAACTCGCATTTTTGCAACTCGTCACCTGCCCGATCCAGGGCAACTTCTATTATATTTCTTGCATCTAGCATCCTTGTCTTTCTCTACCTACCTATTCTTCTTTTTCTTTTCTAAACAGTGTTCCAAATACAATGGTGATCCTGGGGGAGGGGTAAAACCGCCTGGCTCAAACCAAGCCGCGGGTTGGCGGCAGAATTTAAGGAGTAAGAGAAACAAAGATAGGGACGAAGGGAAGGGTTAATTTTTTTCTATCATTATTACAACTTATCACCTAGCATCGGAGTTCGACGGGCTTCTATTTTGTATTTTATCTATTTGATATCGGTTTTCGAGCCTTTCTAACTAACGCCCAATGAACGAGCCAAACTATTTTCCGCTGAAGGGAAAAGGAGAAGGCAGAATCAATCGGAAGAGAGGATAGAGAAAGGAGAAAGGTGGAGTGGGAGGAGGGAAGAGGAAGAGGAGAGGTGGTATTGTTCGGTTGTAGAAGGAAAAAAAGAAGAAGTAAAGCTTAGTAGGGGGGTGGAAATAGGAGTAGAGTGGATGCGAATCTCTTCTATCCCCCTCAGTAAAATCACAACAACTATACCTACCTACCTACCTCCCTCTTACCTCCCACCCACCTACTTGTGTATTATATATATATATATAAAATAGCCGGAGATTACCTAAGGAAGGGAGTGAGTGAGTGTATGAGAGCAAGAGAGAGAGAGAAGAGAGAAGAGAGTTGTTTCTTGTAGCCGAATTTCTTCAGATACCCCCTTTACTTACCACCCCACCGCCCTCCTATCTAGTTTTTTTTTTTTCCATTGAAGAAAAAAAAAACTGTTACTATAACCTTTTATGTCTGCGTATAATCTGTGTATGCATGTGTCTATCTAGTACTCATAAAGAGCAACTCACTATATAATACTAGGCAGGTTCATAAGTATTAGGTGTAGGAGAGGAAGGGGGAACAGTTGTAGATTTACTTAGGTACTCAATCTATCGTGTGTGTGTGAATCATGTATGCATTTTCATGGGTTTTATTTACATAGTACCAGCTGGATCAGGCTAATTCTATAGTACTCAAGGTACTTAGAGTCAGTTCATCATAATACCATGCATTGTTTCATTAACGACCTTCATGGGCAGATATTCATCACCGAGTTTTCTTTTGCTTGATTCCTTCAGTTTTTTAAATTGAGGAAGCAAAGCTACTGCTGAGGAGAACTAAGGCGGGATAACGATTAAGTCCATCCCTTTGACTGTACAGGGCATTCCCCCAAACTCGTTCCTGGTTTCCACAATGGTATAACCCTTTGGATGGACGGGGCAAGGAAGAAAATAATCAACTACCAATGAAGTTAAGTCAATCAAGTCTTCCACCGAAAACCGAAAAGAATAAACCGTATAAAACCAGGTCCCGAATTTGGATATCTTTCCCTCATTAGTACGGTCAAGTTGACCCGTAATCCTAGGCTACTTGAATTCCAATTAGATCAAATAACGCGGTGGTATAAGGCAAGCAAGTAATGATCTACCACCTAATCATCTTGTGATGAAACATCAGTTCTTTGTAGTCACCGGTAGCTTGTTGCTCACCCTCTTCCTGGGCCGGAGGGGTGCCGTTTGCCTGGGCCTACCAGGTGCTTTCTTTGGCTTCTGTAGCACCCCATTCGCCAGCAGGAGGGGCGTTGGTAGCACCAGCCCACTCATCGGTCTGACCATCCCAGCCACCAGCTTGGGCAGCAGCGAATCCAGCAGGAGCTGCTTCCCATTCGGCGGGGGCAGCGGCAGCGAAGGTACCGCCCTCGATGGCAGCGGCGCCAACCTCCTCGGCACCGGGAACCTTCTCCTCCTCGATCTTCTCCTCGGCCTCAGCCTCAGGGTCACGGTCTGTAGATATATATGTTAGTCTCTATGTTCTTACGATAAGAGTGGGACAGGTAAAGAATATTCAACATACAGAAGTAAAGATCGACCATCACATCCCAAGGAGCCTCACGGTTGGCGATGGTACCACGAATGCGGAGGACCTCACGGGCAAGCATCCACCAAACACAACCAATGGCATGGCGACCCTTGTTGTTGGTAGGGATGGCAACATCAACGTACTCGGTGGGGGAGTCAGTGTCGCAAAGGGCAATGACGGGGATGTTGACGTAAGAAGCCTCCTTGATAGCCTGAGCGTCGGTGCGGGGATCAGTGACGATGATGAGGCGGGGCTCCTTGAAGGATCGGGTGATGTAGTTCGTGAATGAACCGGGGGTGAATCGACCGGCGATGGCAACGGCACCGGTGTGGGCGGCGAACTTGAGGACAGCACGCTGACCATAGGGACGGGCGGAAATGACACAAATGTCGGCGGGGTTGTCTACGGCGGCAATGATGCGGGCAGCCAAGACGATCTTTTCCCTATTACACTTGAATATTAATATCACTGACATTTGATATATAAGTAATTAGCTATTCGAGGTTATTAACATACCAGGTCTTGCCAATGTTCAGAACATTGACACCGTCAGCGCGAGTCTTCCAGAGGTAAGGTTCCATGTGAACCTGGAGATTCTTGGAGCCGAGATGAGACTGCGCGGCCAAGAGCATCTCGATGTCCTGGGACGTCGCGTGCATGGAGGTGGGGAGGTTAGCGGGTGCCATCTTGAATGAATTGGTTTGAATATTTATTAGAGAGGGCGAAGACGAATTCAGAAGTGAAGGAGAGAGGAGGAAGTTATGGCAGAATTGCGTTGCGCGATCGTCTTGTCGAGATGATGAAAATTCCACGAAGCGAAAAAAAAAGTTCGCGGTTCGGATTTGCAGCGCTGCAGTGAATTGTGATTTGGTGCGAGCGAAAGACCTTAGGGTTTAGTAGCCGCTAGCCCCAATTGAGTAAGGTCTAGTTAGCGATAAGGTGAAGACTGATAATGACACACTCTAGCTTAGGTAAGTCAAAGTTAGACGTCCCCACAAACTTTGACACCGGTTATAGCATTAATCCGCTCCGCCAATTCGGAATCGACTGTGCATATCAATGATAGGTGTGGTGGAGCTTGTGGTACCTACAACTTTTGAAGTTCGAATTGGAAAGAATAGAGTGGGGCCATTTGCTAAAAGTTGCACTCATCAACTCCCCAATATATCCCGCCATGCCTCCACGAATACCAGGCGTACAGCGCCTAGGTACCTTCTCACGTACGTATGAGAGATCATGGTATTCCTAAAAACATAGTAAGCCAACTTTGACTAACATTGACTTGTTAGTATGCCTGCGGCCGGCTGTGAAACCGCCCACATCCTCCCTCCTCCCCGTCACCCAAACCGCTTCCCTATCGCAAAAGGAGAAGAAACGCCTAGCAAAGCAGGACCCCTACCGATGGGCGCAGATGCAGCAGCGCAAAGCCGCGCATCTGAAGATACGCGAGAGGATAGACACCGCTAGTGCCACCCAGCGCGGCGATCCCGTGCACGGCATCACCACAGCCTTCATCGAGTCCTTCGATTTCGCCGGCCAGGCGCCGCTGTCCAAACCCGCCGTCGACGACGACGGAAACCCCGTGGGCGACATATATGAGCTGCCCACCTCGCCCCACATCCTCAACTACCTCGTCCACGAAAAGGAGCTCGAGTCCGCCGTCGAGAACGCCTACACCCTGACGCGCCCCGTGCCGTCGGTGGTCGCTCCCCCCGGCTCGGAGGCGCTGCATAAGGCGATCGAGAACCACGAACAGCTTCATGCCAAGGCCATCGAGGCGCTGCGGCGTATCACCCACATGGACAATGGCTCTGCGAAGGACCGGTTGCACGCCAACATCCGACGATGCGTCGAGACCTTTGGACGACACGAGACCGACAACATTCTTCGGCCTAAGGCACTTTCTCGAGGACAGGAGAGGGAAGAGCGGACGGTCCGAGCTGGTCCGGACACGGGGAGCAGCGAGGTGCAGATCGCGATCCTGACGGCCAAGATCCGCGCTCTGGCCCACACGTTGGAGAGGGGGAGAGGCTACAAGGACAAGGTGGGCAAGCGGAATCTGAGGTTGATGCTTCACAGACGGCAGAAGCTGTTGCAGTATATGGACAGGAAGGAAAGGGGAAGCGATAGGTGGACGCACATGATCGAGACTCTCGGCTTGAGCCCCGCAACCTGGAAGGGACAAATCACCACGTAAAAAGAGAGAAAAGAGAAAAGAAAAAGCTGCTTATTGGCCAGGCGGTGTTATATCTGAAGATGTGTCATATAAATGGCCTAGATGCATACTCATATTCTGTAATATCAAGTGCTTATGTACAAATTTCGACAAACGCAACGCAACACAACACCTGAAAAGCAAAGCAGTAAAGCAAGCAACCCTTCGAAAGGGGGAGGGAAGGGGGAGGAGGAGGGAGAGACGTGAGTGCTCTAAAAGTGGTCTGTCCATTCAGCATTCGGCATGTAAGCCCGGCGCCTTTTGATAAAAAGGGAAACGAAAAACAGAAAGAAGTAACTTCCCACGAATAACAAGCACAGCTCTGAATGCAATTCCCTGGTATCCCATCCATTAATTCTACAGAAGTTTTGTTTGAGCACGACGACGACATTATGCGTAGGCAGGTCAAAATGAATCAGAATACACTGATGTAGTTCCCAATCCTCTCCTTCTGGTTCTGCGCTATGCATTCGGCGATCCACGTGATGTTACGGATTTCCTACGTAAACGTTAGAGATGTTGATCTAGATTAGGTTGCAAAGGGGGTGATGGTTAAGCAGTTAAAACTTACTTGCTCCCTTAGTTTCACCCACGCGTATACGATGGCGTATGTGAATTGTCTCGTGAAGGCATTCTTGGAGATCTCCATTTCCTTCTGGTAGAACATATCCTCAAGGCTCCTGTCGTTGCCACCGGCGCCGCCGGCCATGTTACCGGGCCCTGTCGGGCCACCGCCTAGTCCCGCGGCATCGAAGAAACTCTTGTAATCGGAGACACCGTCGACCGCTAACCTGACGCCTTCAAAGTCGTCCGATCTCGATAGCATCAGAGTGCCCTCGGGGTACAGGCGGCCGAAGCTAGGGTAGAGCTTCTTCCGATCGGCCTTGCTCAGCTCGGTGCCGAAGGAGTTGAGGGTGATATTGATGGCGCGGCGGTCGGCCTCAAACTCGAGAATTTCGGTCATGACTTCGGAGGTGGGCGTACCGGCCATGTCAGGGTGAGTGTTGACAAAGTTGTAAAAGTCTTCGAGGTAGTTTTTGTAGAGGGTGTTGCGGACAATCTCAATGTTGAGCTCATCTAAATCCTGATGGCTGAGGCTGCCCTTGAAATAGGGGGCTAGCGGCGTCTCTATCAGCACGCTGTTGTATAGCTCCTCGATGTTGGTAGCAACGCAGAGCACGGGCATGGTCTCGAACCAGCCCAACGGATGGCACCGGTCCAGTAGTTCGCGCGTGTCCCGTTCGTGTAGCGTGCCCGTGATGAGTAGAGCTACATTGTCGATCATGTATCCATACGTCAAGTAGTCGAGGAATTGGGCCAGAGACCCAACGGCATTCGCGCGGACGTAGCGGAATTCGGAGACAAGCTTGTCTGTGGTTTTGGTGGCGAGACTCGAAGTCGAGGGATTCGGGGGGAGGGAGCCGAGGAAATCTCCATAGGCAGGGCCGAGTTGCAGCTTGAGATCTAGTTGGGTATATTAGCAACTCCACCACGCATTACTTATGGATGTAGAGTGTATACCATCAATGGTCTCGCATTGCGTTAGGTTGGTGTAGTTGGCGCCGGTGAGAAGACCATTTCTATATCCGCGTACAATGCCTTCAATGTAACTGTTTGAAAGACTTTAGCTAGCCGTTATCTATTTATCAATAACAGTAAGTAGACTACTTACCCATTGTTGACGTTAAAAAAGAGTCCCTCCATTTTGGCTGATATGTATAGTATGGATGATGGGTATTGTATAGAAAAGAAGCTCTTATGTAAAGGATGATGTTTTGTTGGTTGATACCAACTAGTACGTAGTAGTAGTTAATTAGGTAGTGTTCCAGTTGTTATGCGCTGTAACTCAAACAGACATAACTAGTTAAGCTTCCAAGGTCTCGAATGTTTGAGGTCATATTATAGGGCTTATTTGAATATAACTGATAAACCGATGATAAGAAATAAACTTTCAATTATCAAGATAGTATCTTTTTAGCGAAGTAAGAAAAAAAAAAGAAAAGGTTTTGAGTGGCGCCCACAGTTGATTTCTCCACTTTTATGCAGTAGCTTCCCTCTTCTTTTTTTTTTCTTAGAGGGAAAGTTCGAATAAAATTTTACACAAGTAAAGAAGTAGCAAAGCTTCCACTCTTCTCAACTTTTCTCATAAAAACACAAGCCCATCCGCGCCACGAAGAGAGCTGTGCAGGAACTATTCACAAATACAGTTATTAATTATCCTGCAATAATGCCTCTCTTCGTTCTTGCAGAGACGCCTGCGGGGTGAGTACTTTCTTTCCTGTTCTGATTTTGACTTTGATTCCATACCTAGACCAAACTAACGCGATCATAATAGCTACGGCCTGTTCAAGGCAAAGGACAAGAAGTTGTTGTCGCGAGATGATATTGAGAAGCAGCTATCTACTGCTGAAGCCATCAATTCCATGTAAGTTCATCCCAACTAATTGCTATCCAATGGTCAAGAATAACGCACTCATTCAATTTTACCTAGGCTATCGCTTAAGAAGATGGTTAAGTTCGAAGATTCGGCTCAAGCCTTGGGTGAATACACGGCCCTGACTGAAGGCAAAGTCACCCCGATGCTACAAACACTCTTGGACGACATTAAGGAAGAACGAAAGGCATCGCTTGCTGTCGCTGATCCGAAACTTGGTGCAGCGATCAACTTTTTACCCCAGTTGAACATCACTCCCGTGTCCGATTCATCTACCAATGAACTCTTCCGCGCCATCAAGACTTATCTACCCGAGCTTTTCCCCGAACTGGAAAGTGATTACCTGGGGAACATGGCTCTTGCCTTGTCTCATTCCATCTCTCGCCACAAGCTCAAGTTCTCTCCGGACAAGGTTGATGTCATGATTGTCCAAGCTATTAAACTCCTCGACGATCTAGACAAGGAGTTGAACAACTACGCTATGCGTGTCAAGGAATGGTATGGCTGGCATTTTCCCGAGCTTGATCGCATCGTCCAGGACAACCTTGCCTATGCTCGCATCATCATAACTATGGGACTCAGGGAAAATGCCCCTAACACCGACTTTTCTGAAATCCTACCAGAAGATCTTGAAGCTCGAGTGAAGGCTGCTGCCGAAGTCAGTATGGGTACTGAGATTCTAGATTTTGATCTCGAAAACATCAAGCTCCTTGCCGAGCAAGTCATCAGTTTCACAGAGTACCGACAACAGCTCTCGCAATACTTGACGTCTCGCATGAAGGCCATTGCCCCCAACTTGACAGAGTTAATAGGCGAACTTGTCGGTGCTCGTCTTATCGCGCATACTGGCTCCCTTCTGAAGCTAGCTAAGAGCCCTGGTAGTACAATTCAGATTCTAGGTGCGGAGAAAGCTTTATTCCGCGCCCTGAAAACCAAACATGACACTCCCAAATATGGTCTCATCTACCATTCGTCTCTGGTTGGACAGGCTACTGGCAGGAATAAGGGCAAGATCGCCCGTACGCTATCTGCCAAGGCTGCTCTATGCCTGCGTGTAGACGCACTTTCTGAACTTAGCAACGAGGGCGCCGACGGTGCCGATATCATGGTCGATGACGAGGAAAGAGCCGATATGGGTATTAGACTTCGTGCGGTGCTCGAGGACAAGCTGCGCAAGATGGAAGGCAAGCCATTGATATCCAAGGGTGCAAAGATTGCACCAAATGGCGCAACCCCCTCCAAGTTCCAAGTCTTACCAACACGAAACTACAATGCTGATGCGGACGCTGTACCTACCTCTGTCAAGAAGACACCAAACAAGCCCTTAATACAGGAGGTTGAGGATACTCCGATGGGCGATGCAGAGAGTGAGGAGGAGTCTGATGATGATTCTGACGTCGAAATGAACGGTGCAGAAAGTGGTGAGTAATGTTCTCTTTCAAATGCAAAATACATGAACTAATAAAGGAGTAGCCAAATCAAAGACGACTCCGAAGGAAGCAAAGACATCCGAGAAGAAGCATTCGGCAAAGAAAGAGAAGAGCAAGAAGGGTGCTAATGGGGCCCCCCAAGGAACCCCCTCTAAGCTGTCTGAAGCTGACTACACCCGCCTCGCAGAGGGGGCCGGTATCTCAGTAACCAAGTTCAAGCGCAAGTACGAGCGTGGAGATGTTAAGCTGAATGCCGATGGAACGCCGCAAGTTATCAGCAAGAAGGAGTTGAAGAAACTGAAGAAGGCAGAAGCCAAGGCTTCTGGGTCTGAGGCTGAAAGTTCCAGCAAGAAGCGAAAGCACACTGAGGATGGCTCAGAGAAGAAGAGTAAGAAGTCAAAGAAGGCAAAGTCCTCATAGACATCGTATATGCTTTTTCTTCTACTGTACTATACCAGTAAAAGTGCGATGCTTGGAATCATGGAGGGCGGCGTTCCGGTGGTCATACCAGGGTTTTGATTGGAGTTGTTGGATGGCTTCGTCAAAAATAGCTACTTAGCTTAAGGCTATCATCAAGATGAACTCGGCTGTTTAGTAGTCTGCTATTGATATTTCCGTGTCTTTAACTTGGTGCATTGTCCTTGCTTAGTCTCTTCAAAATAGCTACACCTACCGAAATATTTACCGAAATATCTCGTGATAGAAAGATTTCACTGACTTGGTCGTACATAGTTTTGACTATCGTCGTAGTTGTCAGGATTCAGGATGCACGGTGGCAGTGATCACGATGGACTAAACGTTACCTAATAGGAGTATACGACTGGTAGCCCTAGGTACATAGGTAGATCTCAGATATACATATGTACCTGGACAATACGGCATTATGCATCCCCATAAATCGGGACTCATGTACAAGTACGGCCTAGTACTATGCGGGTCACGGTCCACGGAGGCCGGCTAGGTACATGTACCTACCTAGTTATGCCTTTAAAGTTTACTTATGTAAACTTAAAAGTGTCGTAGTTAATATGACGAGCCAATCACATAGGATCGGTGACTCGGATTATCCTGCTCCGAACACTGACTTGTTCGAGGTTCCGGGATCCCTCGAAAGCCTTCGGTTCCTTTATGCACAAACAACTTCAAGTTCATGGTTCAAGGCTTCCAAGTTTCAACTCCATTGGAAGTTATTACGAGAGGAGAGAATATGCTCGCTTTAAAATACCTCGTTAGATAACACAAATGACGCCAACCTGCTTTCACAAGATATTTCTCACCGCAAAGCTTATTCTAAGCTCTTCGATTCCATACCTACTACTACCCATCTATGTACCATGGTCGTTTTCTTTACGGTATCCCCGAATGTGAGGTCACTGAGGTGCACATATGAAGTACTTGCTTGACCTTCAATGTTCCTCCATTGCAATATTTTACGAGAATCTACTTCTCTTTTCCCACATTTCCGCGGGGTAACCTCCGGATGTCTCTCTCGGCTCCCCTTTCTTCTAGGAAGAGAGGCTTGCTGAAAATAACGGCTGGCAACATGACTCTTGTGTTCAGTAGACACGTGTTCCCAGTCTCATCCTTACTAATGCAGACTTCTCTACAGTAAGACAAATGCCGCGAGCAAGTGCATCAATTGATGTCCTGGCGTGCGCGTTGTGCTGCAGGTACCTGCTATCTACCTATATGTCTACCCTATTGGGATACCGAGTAACAGCCTCGCAGCCCGATGTGTACTACATACCCAAGTCTTATACATACATAGTAGCGTATGCTATACATATCTCCTTGTTACTAGGTTACAAGACAAGGATTGTCAGCCTCAATCATTCAAGCAACAACTTTGGCTAGGCATAGGAGTGATCTCTACTACCCTTTTGAGTGGCCTTCTCTGCAAGTTGCTCGTTTTTTATTCGTCCTAACCTGAGATGGTGGTCAGACACAGGTACTGTCACCGCTAGATGTTCTCCTATTGTTGTCATCTTTATCACTCGCCGTTTATTCTCTATGTAAGATCGAGTCATACTAGTTATTTATCCTATAGTTGTGGTGAAAGAAAGCAAAAGAACACCATCTGTAGACTTGTTACGCCGAGCCTCCTCCCCCCCTCCCCAAGAAAACCCCACCGCCCATAGAAAATGACGGAAGAAATAACGTGCATGAAGGAAAGCCTCATTGGCGAATCAAATGGCTTGGAATCATCAGCGTTGTTGGTGGGGCCTTTGGAAACCCCCTGATTTTCTCTCGAAGACAGTCTCGCTCATAGGTCGAGCTGGGATACCATCGAGGGCCTCGTCTACCAGCATCGCGACGTCTTGAGCACAACCAAATGACAGACTCCAGCCAGCTCCACCGTGCCCATAGGAATGTACGATACGGCTTCCCGTTCGACGAAGCTCGCGCTCAACTCTCACATTATGGCCTCGGAAAGGGCGTAGACCTTGCGCCAGCGGATACTCGGGGTCGAGGCGTGCGTTTTCTAAGCCAGGCAGGAATTTCTCGCACCTCTCCCGCATCCGGCGAATGATAGGCGTGTCTAGTGTCAGGTCCAGATTCCACTCATGCGGCTCGGTTATACCGCCGATCACTGCAGATCAACAGTCAGCGACTCAGATTTCATATCAGATTAGCAATGGACAAAAGAAAATTCGACTCGACGTCAAATCAAGTCTTTCGCCAAATGACTCAAGGCCGTTCCTCGGGTTTAAGCACCATCTCAATAAGAATAGTCATCTCAGACTAAAAGTGGGATGCTTACAGAGAATATTGTCATTCCTAGGTACGAGGAAGATGATTTCGTTAGTGGAGTGAGCCGCGTCTGCCGTGATGGTCAGAGCTGCTTCCACCTTCGGGAAGTCCGACCCGTCGTTGATGACTCGAATGAGACCACCCCTGATGGGATAGACACTCTCGTCGCCGGCGAGTACTTGCCCTTGCATGCCGGTGCAGTTGACGATGACATCGGCTTCAAAGCGGGCCCGTAGTGAGTCCTCGATCTCGACAAGGTCATCCTGGATCGTTTCGGTAACAAGGTTGGCTCCCTTGCTCTCGACGAGCTCCATCAGCCACCCCATGGCCTTGTCGGTATCGATGACCGGGGCCATAAGCTCGTATGCATCAACGGCTCCGTATGATGGGTCAATTCCCCTTTCATCCATTATGTCCGCTCCCCTGTAGAAGCCCTTCACCCCGCTAGCCATGATCTCGGTCATCTTGGTAACTTGGCTCTTGTCGCTGTCTACGGGATCAGGAAAGAAAAAGTCCGATGGCATCATGCGCACGCCGGACGCTTCGCTCAGAGCGGGGATGGACGCAATTCCATCCCAGATGTGGTATGAAGTCATTGACCAATGCTTCGAGTGGGCAAGAGAGATCTTGTCTGTGTGTTGACCGCAAACAGCCGGCGGGAATTCCCAGAGAGCACCGGCTATCTGGGATGTCAAACGTTGTTCGTCGTTGGCCCATGCGCTGCTAACGATGGTAACGCGGTAACCTCGGTCGAGAAGCACCCAAGATCTAAATCACTAAAGTCAGTACACTGCCTTGTAACTCAATAGGTTGGTATGTGTGGTGGGGGCCCCTTGAATGGCTCTGCTTGAAAAAGGGGGTTCAAATTTCGACTTACGATATCAGTCCAGTGACACCTCCACCAACTACCAGCACATGTGGAGATTTGCTAGTAGGTTGTCGAAGGGTTTGGCCAACGGGCGAAATGTCTCTCCAAAGAGTGAGTGGCATTTTGAATAGTGATGATATATAGGAAGTTGTTGGTACGATTTGTTTTCGCGACGAGCGAGTGCTTCGTGAAGGATATGGAATATAGAGCAAGTGTTCTTGTGTTATAATCGAGGCAGAGAAGACAAGTGTCTGAGGGATGAGATTGTTCTGTGGATTGTCTGATCAAACTAGTTCTGATACCTGGGCGTTGAAGCCCCTTATATGTTCCTACCTACCCAGGCAGTGTCCTTTCCGGGCTCCATAGTTGTCTTTACTTGTCTCCGCGAGCACCGCCCCTTTCGGCGTTGAGCAAGGAGCTACAACACCAAAATTCCCGGCCGCGCATGGAAGTCCTTTTCGAACTCTGACTGCATTTCTCCGGATGCCTATTTTCGTATGTACGTATCTACCTAAGTCTCTTTTGATCGGGCGGGGTAAGAAGGAGAACTACTCAGCAAGGCGGACGGCAGTACTGTCTAGTAAAGTGCTGACTGGATCTATGTTGGCTCGTCTAGATCACGCGGAATGGCTATCACTGCATAGGACCCTGCTCCTTATAGAACCCTACTCCAACGAGGACTATAGGTTACACTTCGAACCTCGCAGCTCATCGCCTTGTAGGGCTACAAAGTGGGCCAAGAGATTATTGTCAGCAGACTATACATCCGCCTCTTTCAAGAGCCGCGCCGTTACATCACAGAAGTACACTTCAGCCGAGCCACTACGAAATTACTACCCTGAATCGTTCCACAGGCGTTCTACGGCTGACCGAGAAAAAGAATACACGCCCCCCCCCTGGTTATTCGCCGGCCTTGTACGTAGCAGGGCCAGATACCTATCGTTGTCAAATATTCAGTGAGACCAAGTCGTTCCCTGACCCACTCCTCCGCAGCTTCTCTCACGGCCGCCTCCTCGTCCGTATCACAACCAATGTCTCATAGGCCTTGGTAAAGGATTGCCATAGCGCGATATTGCTCGATAACACCAACTTCGGAAGTGCTCATTGCGCTATTTCACTCTCGAAGAGGATAGAACAAGTTGTTCACTAGCTACGCGATGTATATGATGATGATTACATGTCGTAGGGCATCCGGTTGAGGTCATCGCAGAATGCTCACCGATCCCGGCCACTGGCCTCCATACCTCCGACTCGCCCGCGCTTCTCCGTATTATATAATGCCTATTTTCGAACGCATCACCAAGCTTTGTCATCGGTACCTGCTCGTACGATCGTCATTTTCTCGCGTAAAGCTCGCCCACATTTCAAAATATCATATATCCCCACAAGAGTCATCAGATATGCTTATCGAGCAGAATCTGTCTCGAGGCGGTGAATCATGATTTACACGACATCAGGATCGGCCAGCTGCTACCTCCTTATTCTCCCGAAATGGCGGACATGCTACCGCATATCGGCTGTCACTCTTGGTCGCCGCATGTAGCCATTCCTAACTAGTACTGACAAGCTTCTTCTGCATGTCATACGCTCGCTTAGGCACCGAGTGGTATAACCTGGGCTAGGCACCGCCTGCGCAGAAGGAATGGCGGCGAACGAGGAGCAGGCTTGACTCACTTGCGGTACACAAGTAGTGATTTCCAAACAATAGTATGATTTTATCTGTAAGCTACGGGAATTATTGCTACCGTTACTATCGTTGGTGTCGGGGATGATCTAAAACGATGGCGTTACAAGCTAGCAACTACCTGCATCCAACGGCGAGGCCTAACGGCACAGACTTAGTTCGTCAAAGAGAGCCTCGTTGCGTACATTTGAGCCGCCGGATGGCGCCGATGGCATGTAGCTGTGCAAAAGAGTAATCTTCCAATGCGGGAATAGGCCTGTAATAAGCTACAGGGCCGAAGCCACCGCCATTTGGCGGACAAAAATTCCAGAACCATGGTCGCGGTAGGTTGCTGATGCAAATTATATTGCTGTTCACCTAGGCCCGAATGAAATTGCCTTCTCGTCTCTTCGTCTGGGTGGTGTAGTTGATAGGTTTGTTACTCCTGCGATTCGCATACTCAGGACGCACCGCCTCCACCACTATGAAGCAATAGGTTATCAGTAACCTATCAATCTGCCACAGGAGTCAAGGAGTTTACGACAACTCATGATATGCAGTTAGTTACAATGTCGCATCGACTCAGTTTCACCGAGAGCTACACTTTGCGTGGTCGTCAGTAGCCAAGCCAATAAGATTGTGGCAGATAGCTAATCTCGCCATCATAATCAAACAGAGACTTATCACAAGCTGATATTCGACCACATAGTTTCCAAAGTTCCCCGGCGCGTAGATTGTGGTTTACCTGTACATTTTGCCGTGACTACTAAATCCATCCCACTGCTAGAATTGCTTGGATGCGCTGTACTCCGAGACGGGTCGACATTCAATAAATCCTGAATCAACGCCCGGTGAGGGGACGTGATAAACGGCGTTAAGTGACGAATTTCCGTCGAGGCACCTGCTCACTACCTTGGAGGCCCCGCGTCCCCAGGATTTCGTTGAACCTACGCTTCTGCAGTGCTGGAATCCTTCGGGTTGGTCAGCCACCACAGAGGCCATGTCCAAGTTGACCGGTATGTTTCGAGCTTGAGCTATGACCTTTGGTAACAGGGTGTGCGGATTAAAGCCCACTCCTCTTACCGTCGTGCTTCGTACCTAGCCAGCTTCCCCGCGAATATCGCGGAGATGAAGCACTGACCTGAGGGTTGGTCGTTCGTCAGGCTTGGTATTGATATGCATGCATGTAATTGTTCGAGGTTGCGCTAGCCTCGTATCGGGAATGACGCCTCACTCGCATCATATTGGCCCAGATTGTTTCGTTGGCAGGTTCCAGGCAGCCTCGAGCTCGATCCCGATATATCCAGATGCAAGGGATGTCTTTCGTATCCCGTGTCCTCCGAAATTATCTAATACAATTGCGTTCTCGTTGCGGGAAACGGTGAACCGCTGAAAATGAAAAGGGGGTTCGTATTCGGACCGGGTGCTCCTGCTAGGGCGTTAACCCCGTGGTCACACACCTGTCCGCGTCGACATATGGTTATCCAGTACCTGCCTACCTTGATGGGGAGGCACTGGCCTAGGAGGTGGGCAGGTAGGGAGGTAAGGAGGTATGCATTCGCCATGTCCTATGCGTATCAGCATTTAGGTATGCAAATCACCGAGGCAAAGGACAATTTCGGTATCTGTAGGGCGGAGTGGCGACATCAACTATCTCATTCGGAATATAGTAGTGCCAAAGTATCACACTAGATTCCAAAATCGTCCACCGAACCCGTCTCTCGTAAGAAGATCAGATCCGCTTCCCTCTTCCCCTTCCCCCCACGGCGGCTCGTCAGCAGCTAGAAATAGAACCCATGTGTTGACGAAATCCTCCTATCATTTTAGGTGAAGGGAGATTCCCGTTTATGGATGATGATTCTCAGATTAAGTGTAGTTCCCGGACGGAAAGAAGTTGTTGGGGTAGTTGAGAGAGATGGGTACCGACCTACACCTACCTACACACACACACACACACACACACACACACATATGTACGGTACCTATAAAAGCAATATCGGAAGTTGGGTGTATGGTGGATTAGTGAACTGAATGGCTACCAGTAAGTCCCTATGTAAGTTGTACCTAAGCTATAAAAGTTCTGGAGCCAATGGAAGGAGTGGAAAGGTTGGAGTCGCTGCCGGAGCCTCCACCACTGACCGATCAAGTCTAACCGTGTTGGGTGGTAAGGCTGCATCTGCATGCATCGTCTACCCTTTCTAGATCTGCCCTATGAGGTTTTTCGGCCGGTTATAGCAGGTCTAATGCTAAACTGCACTACGTACCTAGGTATGCATAGAGGCCACTTCCTATGCCGAGGTAGGCTGGTAAACTGGAATGGGTAGTAAGCGTTGACGCAGGTATAGATGAGCATACGCAAGACATGACTTCATACTGGTATATGGTAGTGGCTTGGGATGCAAAAGGTGGCGCAGCTGAGGACATAGGTAATCACATAATCGACTGACAAAGAGGCCAAGAAATGTGGCAAATGGACCTGTTTGAGGCTTCAGAGGGCCGGAAGGCAACATTCAGCTCACACTAAATAGGTAGGTATATCCACTAGGTAATAGGTATGCCCGCCGCACATTTGATGACGAAAAGAGGGAAAGAAGAAGAAGAAGAAAAGGTGTAAAAAAGGGCAATGAGTAATGAACATGGTTTTATCTTCTCTTTTCACCGACGGACTTGACCTAGACTGGTTTTCTTCTTTTTCGGTATGATTTTATAGTATTTACTAGGTACATATGTAGTTACTGGTTTATAAACTTCCAAGTTCAATGTTACTTATTAGTACATGTACATAGTGCACCTGACTCTGGAGTATAATACCTACATACCTAGTAATGTAGTCGCCAAGTACTTGCACAGCTATCCGCTTAGATCGGCATTGTATGTACTTACATAGTACAATACATAACAGTACATGTGTAATACCAGTCATCCTTCAACTTTCTTACCTACCCCGCCATTCATTTTTCGTCTTATTCCCTTAATTCACTTGATTTCTTAATGCATCCATCCATCTAATCTACACCAAACACACCAAACACACCAAACAAAACTAAACGTCAGCAAACAACGTTACCATAACTACCTACGTCCTAAATCCGAAGAATCATCAATCCATCGTCTCGTAAATCATCCCCTAGATTGAGAGGTCTATCACGGCCAAGGCATACACCATGCCGTCCTCACCTCTAGGATTCAGCAGCTTGCTGCTAGTAGCTGCTATTGTCCTAGTTGTCATGCCCGGAAAGGCTGACGCCTTCGGTGCTGGTAACATCCCTTCCATTGCTCAGGTCGAAGGTCACAATTGGCGTCACGGCGACATCGAGGATACGCTCAAGACCATCGCTTTTCTCCACGGAAAGAAGTGGACCACTTTACTAGTGCAGCGTACCTACTTTGGAAACTGGCTCCGAGATTACTCTCAAGCCATCGACGTCGGTAGCGTCAAAGGAGTGAATGCCGCCACCATCCGTGTCTTAGTTTGGGTTCTCTCTTTCCTCGCCAATGGCTACGCCACGGAGGAGTTTGAGGTCACTGAGGAGCGCCTGGGCGTTTATAGGCCAGAGGAACACATTGACAACCCCCTGGGCTATGCCGATGGTGAAGACGCTAGGACATATGATAAACGGCTTCGTGGGCCTGTCTTGCCGATTGAAACAGAGATTGACCCGCAAACTGGTATGAAAAATTATATCGCCAATGAGCAAGGAAGTTGGGCTACTAGCGCCGGATACCTCCGATTCAGCATCGGCCGGAGTGTGCACTTTGGTAGACTCTACTGCCATGGGTCTCACGGCAGAGGGAAAGAGGAGGATCTCTGCGAAGCTCTAAGATGTCTGGGCCAATCCCTCCACTGCATGGAAGACTTCAGCGCTCACAGCAACTACTGTGAGCTAGCACTACGAGAGCTAGGTTACCACGAAGTCTTCCCCCATTGTGGTACGGATGCTGAGATCAACCTGCGTGGTAAACGGGTCTACCCTATCGTTACGGGAACTTTTGGTGGCGTCGATTTCTTGCATTCCGTCTTGGGCGAGGCCAATGATCACTTCACACAGTCCGAGGTCGACCAATTGGATATTGCTTTGAAGAATTCAGAAAAGAGCTCGAGCTCGGGACCGTCTGGCAGCAGCAGCGGCACGCGCGGGTTTGGAAGTAGCATAGGCGGCGGTTCTGCGGGCGATTTCATCTCCCTAATCGGTCAATTGCCGGGCATTGGAGGTGGAATGGCTTCAGAGGCGCGCGATCTTAGAAGGATGGCCGAGGAGCAGGAGAGGCGGAATGAGCGGGAAGATATGTACTCTGGCACACGCGACAATGCCAATATCGTGCCTGGTATGAGCGAGAATTTTGACCCCGTGAAGGTCTCGAAACAGGTATACCCCATCTTGCAGTTCCGCGACAAGATCGTAAAGTCGATCAATAGGGGCATTGCCAAGATCCCCGGCCTGGAGAGTCTTCTCGAGCACATAAGCGAGACCTTGACCGCATTCGTCCTTGGTCTGCTAGCGCCATTTATTAGGCCCATTATAAATGCCGTCACCAATGCATTGAAGGACGGATCGTCGGGTGTCATTAGTGCAAGCGCGAAGTCACAACTCGAGCCGTGGAAGAACCCCCACTGCACGGATCCAACGCACTCCATGCTCTCCAAGGACCACTTCACCAATGTCCTAAACCCTTGCGCCGGCAGAGTTGCTGCAACAATCCTTAAATATGCCGTACCGTAAGTACCTGTTAACTGCACCTTTTGGTTCTCACTTCTCACTTCAGACTATTTTCTATCTCGTATTGCTGACACCTGACATCTTTTACAGACGCATCCTCTATGCCTGGGATAATCCCGGCATTCCCGTTGACGAGGTTGTGAGTGACGTCTTGCATGCTTTCCACCACCCAGCTCTCCGAAACGAGCGTGTTGAGATTCAACGTGACATGTTCAATACGGTGCGTCAGTGGGCGGACGAGCATCCGCGCCGTCACGAGATCAACCATATTTTAGGGTCTCAATCCGTGAAAAACGGCAAGAACCACATGTTATCGAGTCAGAAGGGCCACTCGCACGGTGGTGGAATCTTTGATGGTGGTTTAGCAGAACAACTAGGCCACGGTAGGCCTACGGGATCACTCTGGTCGCAGTGTGCTACGAGAGATCTCGACGCCATGGGTGGTGGTGAAAAGCTACGACCGACATCCGGTTACGGATCGAGCCGCCCGACCTCATCTCATTCTCCGGGACATCCGGCGCCAAGCCCGGGTTACGGATATACCCCGCACAATCCCCCAGGTGGCGACAGTTATCCGCCGTACGCCGGCTATGGAGCCCAGCCAGATCCTCAGTACCAATCTTACAACCAGCAGGCTTATCCTAATCCTCAGCAAGGATACGGAGCTCAACCTCAGGGTGAAGCTGCGTCCTACTACAGTGCCTCGGGGCCACCTCAGCAAGGTTATCAACAATACGGGGCACCACCCCCTCAGCAAGGAGGATATCCTCCATATGGACACCAGCAGTGGGGAGGTGGTGGGTATGGGAATCCTCCGTATCCCTGAAAAGCATAAGTGGTTTGGTGTCATTCATGGCGTTGAGGAGGGGATTCTTTTTTTGGCCGGGTTACGTGTGTGGTGAAGATTCCTAACATGGACCATGGAGGAGGGGAGTATGATTGAGATTTGCCAGAATTCTCAACTTCAAGCATTTCGGTTGGCTTAGGAGTTGCTCCTGGGTAGGTGCTTAGATAGGTATTCTTACGATAAGTATGATATTAGCAACGTTATGATTGGGTACTTTTGATACAAGCATGGTGAAATAGATAATGCTTAACTTGTATTTTTACGCTATTTTTGTACAATATCTATCTAAATAAAATCACAACCACTTATCCTAATAACCGCCCCCTTTTAAAAGGCTCAATCACCTGAAATTCTAACCTGCGGGGCAGCTCGTCCGGGGCCCAATATATCGTCCCGTGCCGCAGCCAATGCGCATACGTCCCCGGCACATCGTCCGAGCCCTCGTGGCTCCTCCACATCGATCCCAAGGTGCACTCGAACACCTTTAATATGATCCCGTGGGCCAGCTTGAACCCGAAGCTCCGACGCAGACACGTCTCCACGATCTCCCGCGCTAGTTTTTGGTCTGCGCTTTCTTCTTCGCCGGAGTTTGGGAGGGGAAGGGGGAGAGACATGAGCTCGAACGCCCGCCGCCCGTCCCAGTTTGTGAGTTGGTTGATCAGCTGCGAGCCTTCCATGTACTCGATCGCGTACACGTGCGAGGCCATGTAGCGCGGGCCATCCCACCCCCCACCCGAGTCGTCGGAGTCGGAGGTGTCCAGGAGCCCGGCGACGAGAGACATAGCTTGTCCTTGGATGATGTAGTCTGTCAGCTTCGCGCCGGATTCCTGCGCGCTGAACCGTTTTGGCTCTCCTTTTCCTTGCTGCTACTGCTCTTCCTCGCCATCGTCGGTCTCGACGAGCATCGTGAAGGTGCCGCCCATGAGCGGGACGCCGCGCAGGAGCGGGTTGCGGTGCATGCCCTCTGTGCTGGTCTTCGGCTTTCCTTTTTTTTCCCCATCACCGTCACCGTCGCCAACCCCCTCCCACAGCGCAACCAGCAGCCGATGACACCGCTCGAAAAAGGGGTTCCCCGGCAACGCCCCCAGGAAATAATTCGTCAGGTTCCGACCCCCGACCCCGCCGATGTTGTACGAGAGCACCTCGTAGGGGGAGGAGGGGTCGCCGACGGTGGTGCGCCAGAGCAGGTCCAGGTCCCCGATCTGCAGGAGCCCGACGTCGGCGTAGACGCCGCCGTGGCGGAGGAGCAGCGGGAAGCGCACGAGGTCGGAGGTATGCTGGGGCGCGTAGGGGCCCGAAAGGGTGGAGGTTGTGAAGGCGGTTGGGAAGGTTGGAGTGGCAGAGGTAGAGGTAGAGGTAGAGGTGGAGGTGATAGGAGTGCTGGGGTCAAGGAACCGGTACACGTGCGACGCGGACCCCGGGACCAGGTCCAGCACGCGGACGGCCCAGCCGTGCGGAGAAAACCGCCGGTGCCAGGCGCGGATGTTGCGCCGCGTGTATGCGTGCATGGCGAGGTAGCCGCTGTGCCAGAAGAACCAGATGTTTTTGGCGGAGGTGACGGGGGGCGGGTGTGTGATGGCGGCGTCGATGAAAGTGTCTGGGCGGAGGTCGAGTTCTGAGGGGGGGATGGCGTGGACGCCGGGGGGTAGGGGGTATGGGTAGGGTGAGGGGTCCATGGTGGTGGTTTGAGGTTGGGATGTGGTTGTGAGGTTGGGGGGCATGGGAGGAAGTGAGAGCTTGACTGTTTGAGATTGTCTTGCTGGGTGTGGTGTTTTGAGGAGATACCTATGTTAGGTAGATACCTGTTTATGCGAGTCGACCTACTCGGCGCATAGGTAGGTGTGTAGGTAGATAGATATAAGGGTTGTTGGCAGTAGTTAGGGGAATTTCTCAACCATTTTCGCGCGTCTCAAGGGCCATATTTATGCCGCTTGATATCAAAAGCAAATCGCATGAGACCATTATAAGGGCCGTGTACCTTAGGTACGTACCTAGGCGGTGACTCGACGATGAGTCTCTGTATACCTAGATTACTAACCAATCTAGGCACCTGGCACCTGTATAAGAGATAGGTAGGTAACTCAGCTATGTAAGTGGCACTCTCCAACCAACCAGACCCAATAAACGGCCTTGTTAGCTCCGGCCTTACCATACTTCGGGGTTAGCGATGTCTGACAGCTCTTGATTCAGGATGAGCATCATTCACGTGACTGGCGTTTATTTCATCGTCACATCTGTCACGTGACAGTAAGTGACCTAGGTTAGGTACATAGGTACCTAAGGTGACCATATCGCGCGCAGGCCAACCATGAAAGAGACAGCATTCCCGTGTTATAGTAAGCTCTTTCACAGTCGTCGAGGCGCGAGGCATCACGTTCATCGCCTTTGGCCTTGAAATATAACGCCATGAAGGGCTCGCGTTGCGCATTTGGGCACGGAGTAGGACCGAATCTGGATTCATCTCGAATGATCTCAAGGGTTCCCTCCACGGTAGAGAGTTGAGGATCGTCCATCAGTTATATTTTGAATCCGTGTCCTAGGACTCCCATGGTACCGATGGCCTCGACGCCTGTGAGAATATGAGCCGGGATGTTATGAACCGAGTCGGTCTGGAGCGCTAGCCCGGTGTTTCCGATAGCAATGTCGACGAGTTGGGAGAAGTTGCTTTCGCTTGGAGGCTGGGCTAGCTTGCACAAGAGACTGGAATCGACGTCGGAACTACACGATGCCATCAATCGCGGTATGGAGGTTCCAAGTGCCTGCCCACTTTGGCTTCGCACTGGTCATTCGGCCGAAGAGGTCCTCACGGAAATCCATTACCACTTACACAACACCACCTAGAGATCCTCCCAGAGCTCTGCAACCCATTACGCTAGCGACTACGTCTTCGAAGATGGTAACATCGCCCTTGATGACAGTCAAATGCGTAGCGAGGAGAATTACCGGTTCCAAGGTCTTGCTTCTGCGATTGCTTGGTCTCGCATTGCTTGAGGCGAAATTATATCACCGATGACGTGATCTAGAACATCGCGAATATTGATTGTCGATATACTCTACGCGTGAGCAAGCGCGTTCTTGAAAGGATGGAGCACTGTACAAACAGAACATAAAGTGCAGTGAGTAAAAGAAAAAAAAAGAAAAGCTATTCGCCAGCTGAGGAATCGAACCCCAGGACCTAGTGGTGGTTGTAATGGCAACTTGAAATATTTTTTCTATTCTTCAAACACTTCGATTTACCACTAGGCCATACCAATCCGGCTGAAAAATTAACTGCTTATTTGATTTGTATAGTTTGTCTCGGTAAAGGTTGCGGTAGTAATAGGGGTTGCTACATAGGGATAGCTAGTTTGCTTGTTGATATGAAGCTATTCGGAAGCTAAAATCTTGCCGCCCACCCCACATGGGCTGGGATGTCTGGTAAAACTGAAGAGATGGCACTGTATGCTACTGTTCGACTAAAAGGGTCAGGGACGAGAAAGGGGATTTGTCATAAGTAGACTGCAGTCTGCCAACCCGCCCGAGATAAACGCCACGTTTCTTACAGTACCTACTATAACATCAATGAATCAAGACCGGGTTCAAGTGGGAGCGAGTATCCATGAAGCACATGTCAATTCCTGTCTCCTCACTTCCTGTGCAGATCACTTCTTCCCGTTATCCGAGAGCCAGTGTGACCGTCCTGTACCAACGACACCCCTGGCTCCTCAAGTATCTTAATATAGAACGCATCGAGAGAAACAGGTGGAATCTGCAACTGCATCTGCTACGGTATCTATATACTATCATTAGCCAATGAAATGCTCTTCTGTATAGTTGATGGTCACCGGGGATTATATGTTCGGCCAAATTCCATTTCGACCGCTGTCCTCCCGGCACTTGATAACCCGGAAACACCATTTAACCAATTTTAACCGGCGACCCTGCCACGATATCCTCAAACAGAAAAAAGTCTTGGGCTAGATATATAATATCCCGTGATTCCCTTCCCTTGATCTTCTTCCACAAGTCTCCCACTAGGTCCGCAAGTCCATCGTGATAGGTCACTCCACCCCGCGTAGATAAATCAGTATCAGTCGCCCATTTTTCCTAGATCAAAATGCAGTGGAAGGCTCTCTTCCTAGCTGCCGCGGCGATCCCGCAGCAGGTCTCAGCGCAGTATGCCCAGGCAGCCATGATGCGTTTCCAGTGTTCCAGGTACGTTGCTGTGGATAATCAAGTCCTAAAAACTCCCAAAAAAAAACATCAGGCCTCTAAGACGAGAACAGGCTAGTCGTTGAACGGGTCGACCCCCTGGTTTCCCCAGGCCTCATCCAGTCCCCCCACATCCACCAGGTCGTCGGCGGAGACTCCTTTAACGCCACGATGGCCCCCGTCGACTACGACCTCCCCTCTGAATCGACGTGCACGACCTGCTCGTTTAGCGAGGACTTCTCCAACTACTGGACGGCTAACCTGTACTTCAAGGCCCGCAACGGGACGTACAAGCGGGTGAAGCAGATGGTCAACCTGGTATGCGAGCATCCCACCCCTTTGCCAAGTAGGTAGTAAGTTTGTCTAACACTTAGGCCAGGGCCTCCAAGGCGAAGAAGGCATGACCGTATACTACATCCCGCCCTACGATGGGCACACCAAAGTCACCGCCTTCAAGCCCGTAAGTCGAATCAAATGCTCTACCTAGACTAGATATATCCTCATCTAGTGCCTACCTATACCTAGTAGCCTCTAACTGGAGAACTCCAACAGGGCTTCAGAATGCTAGTCGGCGAAGCGACCCTGCGCGCAGCCCAGGGGCAGCAAAAACAGCTCTGCCACCGCTGCTACACCAACGTCGACCAGAGCCCCTTCGGCGGCGCCCCCTGCGCCGACAGCCAGATGGACACCGCCGCGCTGCCCAAGAAGACGTGTGACGGCGGCATCCGCGCCACCATCACATTCCCCACGTAAGTCCTCCCCACCTAACCCTTAACCCTTAACTAGCCGGGCTATGTGCCTAGGCACCTACCTCAGGTACTAGGGATGAAGACTGTGCTGACCAAAACCCTATGTAGGTGCTGGGACGGCAAGAACCTCGACAGCCCCGACCACAAAAGCCACGTCGCCTACCCCTCCAGCGGCTCCTTCGAGGCCTCCTCCCCGTGCCCCTCGACGCACCCCGTGCGCCTGCCGCAGGTGATGTACGAGGTGATGTGGGACACGCGGGAGTTCAACGACCCGTCGCTGTGGCCGGAGGACGGCAGCCAGCCGTTCGTGTACAGCATGGACGACGGCACGGGGTACGGGTGGCACGGGGACTACATGTTCGGGTGGAAGGGGGACGCCCTGCAGCGCGCGCTGGACGCCCGCTGCAGCAACGACCGCTGCGCGCAGCTGCAGACGCAGACGCCCGCCCAGGCGACGGCGTGCAAGAAGGCGCAGACGGTCAGGGAGGATGTCGATGGATGTGAGTGCTTTTTTTTTTTTTTTTCCCAGGCCGTTTATAGGTATTGATACCCCTATTCGCGAGTAATTGCTGACTTTAGGTGAAAATCTGCAGGGCTCACCGAACTGCCAAGCGTGAGTATGTAAGGGTGGACGGTCCATAAATTTGGTTGACGATCTCGTCGGTCACTAGTTATGTTGGGCTATATATAGTACAGGACGTTTAGATATTTAGTAGACCTCTTTCACACCAGGTACCTACCTACGGGATAGTAAATAGAGATTTTTGTTGTAAATAGACTACCAATGATCTATTTACCTCGTGCTATGAGTACCAAGGAGGTTAGGTACTATTAACGTGTCCTTTTCAACATGAAATTAGGGTATAGGACTAAGGAGATCTTGCAAACCAAAAGTAGGTACCTATAAGTGGTAGACAGCAGTATCAAGCTCTCTGCCGAGCCGATAATTTCGCAGGCCCCATGCCCTTGTATGGCATAGTTGCAGTGTCCAAGCAACACCAACGCCGCCATAACCGTTTCCCTAACCTCCATTGCCAGTCATCCATTAACTCCGTGATATACAGTACCAAGCTACCACCTACAGAACTAAACGCGGCCTCGACCCCGACCCCTCCCAGGGGGCCTCCCTCTCCCTTTTCCTCGACCGCGCGATTGAACAAAGGGCTGTCTTTGAGGAATATCCTCCATGTCACTGTCATCACTTGACTCTAGAGACACAGAGTCGGGTGCGCTATCCTCTTCGGAGGAGGAGAATGCCAACCTGACAACTGTAGGTCCATTTGATTTCCGAGTGGGTCGTAGTCGTTGTTCTGGTATTTGACGCTCCGATACGGAGCTAGGTGAAGGGGAATCTTGAGCTTGGTCCCGGGCAGGCTCGAAATCATTGTCAACCAGCTCTTTGCGTCCCCGTTTGGGGCTGGGCCTATTAACCGCGTCGTCGTCATCATCAAATCGCGACAGCGATTTGTTCTTAGGAACTGGGGCTGACGCAGTTGGCGTTTCCCGGGCTGATGAAGTGGCCGAGGCCCCCGTGGCATTGTTTCGGGTCCCGCGCGAGGATATCTTGATCTTTCTACCTCGCATAGCTACTCGCTCTGCCATAGACATAAATCGGCGATCTCGGGTCGGCTCTGGACTGTCGAGTACACGTGTCCTGGGGGCTTGCTCTACACGAGGCCGTCCTGGAGGCCGCCCCCTTTTTCTCACTAAACCCCCGCGAGACGCGGATGGAGATGGCCGTGACTGTTCCTCATCTTCATGCTTCTCGCCAGAATTTGCGTTGCCCAACTCGCGTATAAGCTGTGCTTCAAGTTCATCCAAACTGACATCGTTCTCATCACCGTTCCGAGTATTATCAGCGTCGCTAGCATCAACCATAATAGTGTCCTCGTCATTTTTATTTTCGAGATTGCCCAGTATAGACTTCCTTGGTCGGCCTGGTGGGCGGCCACGCCTTTTGCCCGTGGAAGGAGCCTCAGATGCGACTGGGGCTGGGGTTGGGGTCGAAGTTGCAGTTTTACCGAGCGATGACCGTGGTGGCCGGCCTCGTCTTTTAGCTCCTGGCTTTGGGGTGCTTTGAGCGATGATCGGACTTTCTCCTTCTCCGGGAAGCTGCGTCAGAGCGCGGATTGCATCGGCAGCTAGATCTACAGGGTCCACATCTTCTGGTGCGCTATTATCATTTTCAGATTCGAAAAGCCGCAGAGGTTTAATCATCACACTATCATCGAGGTCTTCAGCAGGCTCTTCGTCTTCAACATAGGATGCTATTGGTTTGGCATGTCGTAAGGTAGGCCGTAAGGGGTCGATAGGTAGAGGTGGCCGTCTCTGTTTCTTCTGTTTGAGGCTGGAACCCGCTTGAGAAGTCTCTCCAACTTGTTCTTCGTCAACGCTATTTTCACCTTGCCGTTCATTGGAGCCGTTCGACGCATCCACTCGGGTTGGTGTAGGCATACTGTCACCCAAAGACCCAAGTAAAGCAGGGTCGAGGTTAACCAACTGATCAAGGTTGCCGGTTTTGGGCTTTTTGCGGTTTCTAGGACCTCTAAAATCGGGATCATTGTCAGTCTCAAGCCTAGCCTTTCTCTTTGCGAGTTGGAGTGTCTTTTTGACAAAATCGGACATTTCTGGTTCATCATTCAGAGTATCGGCATCCGGTTCTTGGAATGGGTCGAATAAGATTCTGTCTGCACTTTCGTCTTGGTCGTAGAATCCCATGCCCATCATTCGCTCTCTACCCGCCATTGACGTGTCGGGATACTGAGATAGATCTGGATAAACTGAGTCCTCTTCTCCATTCTGTATACCAGACACATCGGGATTCTCGACAAAATTTGCCACTTCACTTAACATATGAGCAGTAGATGGCTGATCACCCTGTACGTCACCATTCCTAGCTGTACCAGCGTGGTCCGAGGGGTGATTCTGATCCCCGTCCTCATCCATGACTGCATCTTGGAGAGCAGAGTCCATCTCGTTCGGGGCTTCCTCTGCCGCATTCCATGGGTCTTTGGCTTTTTCGGCGTCTGCCTGCTGCTTCAATCGTTGCATTCGCCTAGTATCTTTACTGCGGTTCTCCTCTCCAGTAGCCTTTAGCCAACTAAAGTTATGCTGACGGAAGTCGACGATCGACTCAACGCTACGATCGTCAGCAATGGGGCGCGTATCATGCCCAAGGAGCGTGTTCTTGGGGACGTAAGGAATCGTATTGCCACTTTGTCTACAACTTCCGCAATTGCAAATGTTGAGACATTTCGGACATTGCCAGTGTTCTTGCTCCATTACTGCCTGTGGCATCATGTCAAACGCCCGCCATAGCACACCGTAGCAGTACGCGTTCTGGCACGACGTGCAAAAGGCGAGTTTATATGTGTAGTCCTTATGACAGCAGACATGGCAACGGTAAACGTCTCCCTTCTTGGCTTTGCGTCGCGACTTTGGCTTTTTCTTGACTCGACCATCGTCATCAACTTCAGGAGCGTCAGATTCCTCGGCTGGAGGGTCAGGAGGCTTCGAGATATCGTTCCAGGGTCGCCTTCGAAGTTGTTCTTGACAGATTTGGGCTACTGATTTCTTGCCTGATTTCTTTCGAGCAACCTCAATGGGCTGAGGAGACGTCTCAAGGTCGATAAACCCATCTTGCTGTATTACCATGGCCCTCCAGGTTTCATGTTTCTCAACAAGATCGGACCATTTCCATTGCTCACACCATTGTAAACCAGAAACACAAAGACACGAGCGACCCATACTGTAACATTCCATGCAAATATCGTAGGTATCCTCATCGCCGTTTATAAGCGGCCGCACACAACATTTGCAAGTCAAGAAGCGGTTGAAGATGTTAGACCGACAGTATGAACACGTGATGTTGGAGTCGAACGGGATAAATTCGACATTGAGTTGCTTATAGCCAAACATTTCGTCGATGAGGATCTCGGTGAAAAGACCAAACAGACGTTTGAAGTCATTGGCCATCTGTTTTATGCGCGGCGAAGTCTGCATCAGCTCCTGGCCGAACCCTAGCAGCCCAACTTCGGCACTCTCCTCGGGGGTTTGTAAATCCTTATAATACTTCTCGAGGGTATAATAGATGATCGCCTTGTTTTTGTATTGCTCATCACGGCACACTAGTCTCGCTTTCGGGAGAGCCTCGTGAAGGGCTAGATCAAGGGTTTCGACTGTGGTCCTATTCCATGCCACTTTCATAGTCCTTGTTCCGCGATTCCAGACCTGATGGGGCGCAAGGGGAGGAATCAAGATAAAGTCGCCCACTTTCTGCTCGACAATGTAGACGGGGAAGTTGGCCTTTTTCCACGCGTTGATTTGTGCGAAATGTTTTTCAATTTCAATGTCGTGACCAAGCATAGAGAGGAAGTACTCCCGGACAACTTCGCGATCCTTCGTCTCCGTCATGAACCAAATCGAACTGCCCGGCTTCTCCCCTTTATTATCCCCCGAGGCTTCGACCATAATGTTCTGGCCTAAACTGGCGCACATCTCTCGATGGGCAGGGGTAAAGGTCCCTTCGTGTCCGATGTAGCACATAAGATTCTGTGCACGCATTTCCTCCGCAAGACTACTCATCAGATCGCCTGCTACTGCGGGTGTCCTCTCCGGCGCACCAAAGATATCATCATTTCGGGCGTCTGCGCTTGGGTTATCGCTAATGTTCTCGTTCATATAGAACACGTTCGGTGGGATCACTCTCTTCAAGTGATTGTACCATTCAGGAGGGCAGTCTATGTCTTTCAAGTAGAGGCGTTGCCGTCGTTCGTCGCGGAAATTAGTCGGGGTCCATTGGTTGGTCAACTGTCGCATCGATCGCAAGTAATGGCCGGTGGTCATTGGGACATCAGTCCGCGCATTTATGTCACGAACATTTTCCTCTGTGGGCTATCATCAGTATACCGATATGTCTTATTTTCTACCAGGTGTCAACTTACGCTTCTTGTCACATGCCTTCTCCAGCCAGGCAGCGCTGAACAACTTTTCCGGGAGAACCCTATTCCATCCTTCTATGACGAGTGGGCGACCCCCTTCGATAACGTGCAGCTGCACCAACTTCTCGAAGCCAGACGGACCGAGGCGCCTAATCTGGGCAGTAGATATGCGAACCACCCAGTCGAAATTGGGGGTTCGATCGACAAGTGCATGGAGGTCGAGGTCTGGAGGTATTGGATCGAATTTAGCTTGAGGATGTAATGTAGGAGGCATCTTGGCGATAGTATGGCTTCGTGTTTCTGAAGTTCCGAGGTTCGAGTGTTATGGAACAGAGTTGTGAAGCTTCAAAAGGACAACTCGCGAAAGCGACAGCGGGGTTCGTGAAAATAGCCAGACCCTCGCCCAACGCGCCTACGTGAAATTCGCGTTTATAATCCCATTTACAATTTTCAATGCATTGTCTGTCATGGCAAGATGGTGTTGAAGACAAATAAGCTTGTCAGTAATATCATCAGGCCTGATTCAAGTTACCTAGGTTAGGGTAGTCAGTGGAGAAGTATGAATGAAAGAGATATCATAATTCACATAAAGCTGAAAGGATGAACATTCATTATTAACAGGCTTCACGAGGTTGGAGCATTCAAAGCTATGACTTTTTAAATTTGGAGAATCGAAAAAGCAAGCACTATAAATCTACAAAGTACATGTAACTACTAGGTACTAGGTACCTTCTGCAGGTACCTAGGTACTTCATGCATTTCACCAATCAAAAGCTAGGATTACAGCTCCAGTTAAGCTTATGCACAGGCCATGCAGATATTTCCACGATAAGATAAGGCTGAAGTTCAAAATAGCTTCAATGGCGCCGAAGTTTGAAACTCAAAAGACACCAAGAACCAAGACAAGACATTGTCTCTGCAAGCATAAGCGGAATGGATGGACTTATGATATAATGATTATAAGCTAGGCATACCTAGTAGATCCAACGGTTTCTTTTCTTTTCCGTTTTCTTGTAAAGGTAGGCCCTCATTTCTATTAACCTTAGCAATATGACAACTCATCTGCAACCCTTCACTCATGAAAAAAATCTGTAAAAAAGCAAAATTGAAAATACAAAGGTTGAGTGGGTAGGTACCTAGGTAGGTAGGTAGGTAATTTTCAACTTTGTGAAATTCATACCACAGGTCAATTTTTGCTTTTCGAATTTATATGAACAATTGATCTCAAACCTCCTCCTCATTGTATACTACCCTAGGTTAGGTAGGTATTTTGGCTAATCCCATGGTAAACCCATCTTATCTAATACGAATATCTTCATTTCTCTCATACATGACACTATACTCTATAATATTACTCACTAGAAACACACAAGCTAACAAGTCTCCAGTTTCACGTTATTAAAATCCAGGCAGGATGCCTCGATTCCAAGTGCCCAGAGGCACAAGATGCTTGCTGGGCCGTAGTCCGGCCTCTCCGAATCCAGGACGGTTAAGGATGCCCAGGCATTTTCACTATATATCTAAATGCACACCTCGGCATCCACAAAATGCATCACCACCATCAACAATAACAACACCAGCTCTAGCCCTCAGCTTCCCTAAAACAAACAACCTAATCCTCTACCGGAACGCCCACACCATCGACTCCCCCTCGTCTTCACCCGCCACCGCCACCGCCACCACCTCACCGGCGCCCTACTCCCCACCCACCACCGGCATCCTCGCCCAGCTCCCACGCTCATGGGTCCCTTACGCAGAACTAATCCGCATCGACAAGCCAACCGGGACCTACTACCTCTTCTTCCCCTGCCTCTTCTCCACTCTCATGGCCGCGCCCCTCGCGTCACCCCTAATCCCGGGCCCCCTCACCGTCGTCGGCACCGCGACGCTCTTCTTCGCCGGCGCCCTCATCATGCGCGGCGCAGGCTGCACCATCAACGACCTCTGGGACCGTAACCTCGACCCGCACGTAACACGGACGCGGGATCGCCCCCTCGCGCGCGGCGCCATCACGCCCTTCCGCGCCCTGACCTACACCGGCGCCCAACTGCTAGCCGGGCTCGCCATACTCCTGCAATTCCCCCTACCATGTCTCTTCTACGGTGTACCCAGCCTCCTCCTCGTCGCCTCGTACCCGCTCGCGAAGCGCGTAACCTACTACCCGCAGTTCGTGCTCGGGTTGACCTTTAGCTGGGGTGCCGTGATGGGCTTTCCCGCGCTCGGCGTCGACCTCCTCGCCAACAGCGCAGCGATGAGCGCCGCGGGTTTGTTGTACGCGAGCAATGTGGCGTGGACGGTGCTGTACGACATGATCTACGCGCACATGGACATCAAGGACGACGCCAAGGCGGGCATCAAGAGCATTGCGCTGAAGCACGACGCCGAGACCAAGAAGGTGCTCACGGGCTTGGCGGTCGTGCAAATCGGGCTGCTGGGTGCGGCGGGTATGGCGGCTGGCGCGGGGCCTGCGTTCTTTGTTGGCAGCTGTGGGGGTGCTGCATTAACGCTGGGGTGGATGATTAAGAGAGTGGATCTGAAGAGCGTCAAGGACTGCTGGTGGTGGTTCGTCAATGGATGTTGGATCACTGGTGGCGTGATCAGTCTCGGGCTAGGGGCCGATTATCTGCTGAGGTATATTGGGAAGCAACCGGTCCAAGAAACGGAGGAAAATTAGAACGGTAAAAAGCAATCTGTACAATTATGTATTTGGGACTGAAAATCTAGAACATCAGGTCCGGGTTAGAGAAGACTTGGGGCAAGTCTGTACAAACTACAGCTCACAACCATAGAATTATGCATCCAACATCACGATGAACAATGAAAATTATTATGAGTGTTTACTTGTTTGGCGACGCAGAATCTCTTTTCGTGGATCTCGTCTACCTATGAATGAATATCAAGGCCCGACCCTATGATGCCGTGATGAAACAAAGCAAGCCGTATCGACTCCGCATGCCCAATGAATCTTCGTTGCGCGTTTTCCCTTTTCCTTGCAAACCCCGAGTTGTTTATGAACGGGGCTTCTCCTTCTTCTCCTTCCATAGAGCCAATAGACCGACACCGGAAACCTTGACGACCTTGAATCGCACACCGGGAATATCACCCTTGGCCTTGCCCTTACGACCGAATCCAGCGAGTAGGACCTCGTCGTTCTCGTCTACGAAGTTGAGGCAACCGTCATTGGGGACTGTAGAGAGTAAAACTGTTAGCTAATTCGGTCTCGAAAAATTCTTCGCATGTAATTGCGAATTCGTTCCCCTCTGCTTCTCCTCTGCTAGAACAAACGGGATTAAAAGGGTAATTCGTACCGAAAGCGGTGACCTTCTTTCCGTTCTTGATAAGTTGTACACGGACACACTTTCGAATGGCGGAGTTGGGCTGTTTGGCTTCGACACCGACCTTCTCGAGGACGATGCCCTTGGCGTGGGAGGAACCACCGAAAGGCGATGACTTGAAAGCGGTACCGAGAGCGCGCTTCTTGTATCCGAGATCAGCCCACTTCTGCTCCTTTCGGTGCAGACGTAGCTTTCTGGCCGCGTTGAGACCACGAGGCTTTCCTTTACCCATGATTGCTGTAGTAGAGGAAGTGCGCAGTCAGTAGATGAATAGTGGAAAGATGGACGACGAATTCGTAATTGATGAATAAGATAATTCCGGTCGACGTGAATTGGGAATTGTTTGTATTGATGAAATTAAAAGAAAAGGAATAGGAATGGAAGATCAACTTACCGATTTGTGTATGGTATCGCTCAGACTTGGGTGTGTGTTGAAGTTGGTTGGATGTGGTGCTTGACTAAGAGATCGTGGATATGAATATTTTCGGTTAATTCTTTTCACAGACTAAATTGAAAAAAATGCGTAAGGGTTTCTTCGCCCTAGTCAACGGTCAAACTGGCTGTGGCTGTGCAGAGGGTGGTGAATTCAATTGAACTTGAATGGCCCACTCTTAAAGTGGCTGATTGATAGTGCGCTCGGGAACCTTGGGACGTCCGGTTTTGAAACATGGTCTGTGCGTTACATTGATCACATGCGCAATCTAATGCAAATGGTCAGGTCCGGAGTACGTACGAAGTACATACGATTCAGGTTGCATACCAAATTCGCAACTCTCAACACGTTTGACCTCGAGCTGGACCTCTCACCAACCAATCACATTCTTCAATCATAAGCATCTCTTTTCAGGCTGACATCTCTAGGTAGCCTATTCAATCTTTAATCTTTAATCTTCTTCAAACCAATTTTCGAAAAAGGGATTATTCGTTTCCGAACACGTCTCTTTCGCAACAAAATGTAGCGATGGCCATGACTATGACCGACCTCAGACTAACTCCGAGCAACTCTAAGGCTCGCGACCCTGCTCCTAGTCTATTCATACATCCCTCTCCAGCCGCTTCCCATGCCTCGCTTCCGGGAATGCTCACAACGGGCCCACCGTTACCCTCTACTATTGCCTCAGCTTCCAATGCCCGCGAAAATGCCAGCGGCGCATCGATGCAACAGTCCCAGGCCCCTCCCTCGCTCGCGCGGACAGGCTCGATGCTAAACCCCCGGAGCCGCGTAGGCGTCACCCGACTTCAAACCGCAGAATCTACCCGCACCGTCGATAGGACCGACGCGCTATGGGCGGAGATGCAGGCGACCTTGGAAGAAGTCGAGCTGTCAGCAAGCGGAGGCACACACATCTTCGGGCCCGAGCACGATCGCAAGCTTGCCGAGCTGCGCGGGGCCCAGATCAAGCTGGCGCAAGCTTGGGCGCGAGGGGAAGCCGACGACTCGATTGAGACTACCGCCGCAAAGAATGAGGCGCCCAACATCATGGAGACATTGGGCGAGATAGGCGTTTCTGCCGCTTCCAAGACAGGCCTCGGTCCCACAAGCTCCGCGGGCGCCGGAAAGGGAGGAGCAGAGGGTACAGAAGGTGGTAAAAGCACAGCCGGGACCGGGAGTGCGCGTCCGGGTAGTAGCGGGACGGGTCGCGAACGGTTAGGCGCTAAGATCGACGAGGAGACAGAAAAGGATATTCTACTCGCGAGAAATAGAAGAGAAGCAAACGATCGTTATTTTTCAAAAATAGACCAGAGTGTCCGGGACGTTGTCGAGAAGCTCGAGGAAGTTGCAGTTGCTATGAGAGCAGTCGAAGAAGAAACGCGCAACGTTTGGGGTGAGGGTGCCACACCGGATAATACGAGGGCTTAATTGGAGGTGTCGACCCTTTTGTATTAGCACGGAAGGCAGGGCGTTTAGGGATTGGATGGCTGGAAGGCTACGGGCATATGATCACTGGGAATGGCTTCACTCATGCATTCACGGATCACTAGGCGTTTAAGGATATTTTTAAGAGGGACAAAGGAGATTGTATTAGCCTGAAGAGGCTGCTAACTCATCTGCAGCAACTCGGTAGTTGTCACACGATGGTCGGGGTATATGAATGGCCCAAGAACAGGTTGGCCAGAAAGTCGAGCATGAATCGTCATGAATCTTCGTAACATCATCCCAACGTTGGTCCACCTCCTTGCGCCAGAAACCGATTGCTCATAACATATTACATGCTTTTGAAGGTTGTGCTCATAACATGTTTCATCATCTATTCCACAACAACGCGCTCAGTCCTCAAGCACGGACTGAGGGCAGTAGTTGTTATCCAACTCCCAAATTCTCTCCCGGGAGTATCGATATGGACAAGATCTGCGTAACCTGATGGTGAATCCAAGCTGCCGCATTCTCGCCCTTCCCAGCATGTCATGCGAGCATGAACGGGCCCTGTGATGACTATTTTCATGGTTAGAACACAAGAGTTGAGCTTATGTAGGAGGGTACCAGGGTATATAAAGCTTGACATACCTTCGCCTCAGCGGTGGCGGAGACATTGACCACAGCGGCCATGATGACAGCGACAATGCAGAAGAACTCCATCTTGACGGCTGACAAGGTAATGCGTAGGAGAGGGGGGGTTTGTTTTGGGGGTATTGATTGGGTAAGGCAATAAAAGCCCTTGGTCCTCTCACAACTCCTCAAGACTGGATCGGGAGGGTCCTGGGGCTTTTATACACGCACGCTCTACACTACAGGTCTCACCTTATTATCTGCAGACGGTGGTTCTAATCCTAATGCAATCATTCGAACTTTCGCAAACAAGCGCATGTGAATCGCCTGCATCTCACCAGACGTCCTAATAGGTTCGGAGGCCACGGCTAGGTCCTTAGTTCGGAGGTTCGAGGTTGGGGTGCAAACGCTTCTCTTTTTATCACCAACGTTAATTGGTTATGCGTCTGTGAGCTTACGCCGCTACTTGTGAAGGGGTGAAGTTGGGGGGGTTGGGACTTGAGCTTTCCCAGCCGTCTGGGCTGGTTGGGCCACTCACCGCCAGGCACCGCCAATTCGAATTCGGAAGAGAACATCAGAACATCGATAGAACCACGGTTGATATGGTTTAGATTTTAGGAACTACGGCCGGTCTAGGCATAGTGACCAATTGCCACGTACTAGATGGGTCTTTGCCCTTCTCCCGATGGAGCGAAAACAGGAGCCCATAGCAACGCTTTTTTCGGCCGGGGATCGTTCAATGTTTGGGGCGGTGGACCTCGATAGCGAGATTCGATGTCTTGGCGGACACACCGCAACCGCATGCACCATTCATTTGTGCATTACAGAATTTGTCTGTCCCATTGCCCAATTGTCTAGGTGCTGGTACCCCCCCTTCTTCCCCCACAGCCATAAAGCTTCCATGCTTGATATGTTTGCACGAGGACTTGCTCGAGAGAAACACCGGGGAAAGTTAAGGTTAATCACGATTTCTTTTCCCGAAGTCTAATTGTGACTTGCATGCATTTACATAAAGTTGATTCATCATCAACCGTGCTGCCATGTCCGTGTATTAATGGAGAGCGAAGCGTCGATCTTTTTCTGTCTCTGTCATTTTCCTTTTTTTGTCTTGTTAACTGGAACAATAAAAGTCCATAGGCTATCTAGGCTTGTATGTACCCAGGTAACTCTCTCCAGGGCTATGTATCTTGAGGCGAAAGTAGTACATAGTAGGGCGAGGCGGCGGTTTATGATAGATCATATCCGAGGAGCCTGGGCATGTATCGGCTCAATCATGAGGCTTACCTTCGTACCAAGCAATTAATTACTTAAGTATCCTACGCAATTGAAATACGAATAATTATCAGATGTTTGCGATATCGTTCGTACTCGGGTGCGGAATAGGTAGGTAGGTAATAAGTAATTAATGGAATGTTCTCAACATTGAAAGGCGAACCATCAAACAGTTCAAACTAGCCCTGTGCCCAAGCACGAATACGGACGACATAGGCTACTACATATGTAGTTACCTCGTGCATGTATTACGTACCTACACAATGTGGTACAGCCGGCTTCCTACGGGACACCATGCGGCGTCCGAGTTAACCCTAATAAATCTTGGCCTGGTTACACAGAACGGCGCCGGCGCCGTCATCTGCTACGTAGATCTGCGCCTCTTCGGACTTCCGCCTCCGGATCCCGACGTCTGAGCCGTTCGGCAAGTATTCCGTATATCGTATTTCAAGTGTCAACCATTAGGGAATTAAATCAAAACACTACTTAGACGAAGATGAAAATCAAAAATTAGTTGATCAGATTTCGGTTCGCTTCATCGCTCTAGTCGTCGATACCGGTTCATGTTGTATGTGTACACTTTCACTATCCTTCAATAATGGAGCGTCTATAATACTGCTTAGGCTGTGTCTACGGGTGATGGCTAGGTATCTATTATATATCCAAATTTATAGACGTCTACGTACCTAAGGTATGCAGAGGCAGTTAAATGTCACTGGAATACGAACAGTCTAGAACCACCAAGGGATCTATATAAACTGCCGATATTCTGTATGTGGAGGCTTTCCGCGCTAAATGTCTGATTTCCAGCTAAGCTGCCAACGCCGTCTCTCAACGCTATAACTTCCCCAGACTTTTAATGCCACTAGTTTAGCTAGGATCGGTGATCACCTCTTCGTGTATATTTACTGGATATGTTTCTTTCTGGAGCTTGCCTGTGAGACTTGTCATATCTAATGTATCTACTTAGCAAGGTAGTATTATATCTCGAAGTCACCGTGATTAGGGAAGACGGCACTGTCAGCCCGGATCTGGCAAAGTTGCGTCCTGTAGCATCACCAATATGCCATTAAATATAGGCATACATACATTGTTAACTACCGCCACGGTAGTTAGTAATCTTCACTCAGCAGTTGGCGATGTTAGCGAGCTGCCCATACCAAGTTCATCCACCAATAGTTAGACTCGGGTTACCAATGTATCCCCGAGATCTGCCCAGCCAAATCGTCATGATAATAGCGTTCCATAGCTGAAGCCTTGAAAACCAGATACACAGCCCAGCGGTGATATTTATAGTTCCGGCGATATTTTTGTAGAGTTGATGTATGGATTAAATTTGGGGAATGTTTCTACTCCACGTATTGAAATTCGTTACATTTTCCCTAAACAAGCTAAAGCTCTCGGGTACATCACGCGGGGGACGGTAGTGTCGTCTCTAGGAAGTCATCCGCTTCGTTAGATGCAATGTACTTGAGTAGGTACGATAGAGATGATGGTAACAATAGTTCTATTTACGCATGATATCTACACGTTTACGCGACGGAAGTTACGGAAGCATCTCCCAAACACCAAGAATTCGAATTCAAGATTATTGCATTCAAGTTAGCGAGAGCAGCAAAAGCCTCGGCTAAGCTCGATCAAGTCTTCTCTAGGTACCGATAATGAAGATGTCTCCGCACCGCCAGGGGGGGTGTCATGCCCCATTATGGATGGCAATGCTACCCCAGATTATGACTTATTTCCCCGCGATTCAAGGGGGTCGAGGAGGAGCCGCGATCTTTGAAACACGCGCGAGATAACGATCGCGAACTTATGCGCATTGCTTTTGTCTGTCTATATACTACGTAGTCCGCTGCACAAGTAAGACAAAGACGACACAACGGTTGTGTAACGGTCATATACTTACCTCCATACCGACCTACATACTTTGCGCCTGCAGATATCAGTCGCATTCTCGTCACCGCTGTGCCTCAAAAACATCATCTTCTACTTTATAAGCCTCAAATTCACTTGGCTTCGTAGGCATTCGGTAACATCAGCGACGAGATGGCTGAGAAAGTAGACGCCCATAGACGGGGCCACCTCATACACAGTCATGCGCACGAGGAAACTATCCCCGGGACCGTGAATCTCAAGGCTGCCGGTACGTTGCCCAGCAACCTCCATTGAGATGACCGACCATCTTTTTCTTGTGCTAACCCGCGTTCATTGCGACTTCTCAGAGGGTGACGACACTGGATATGGTCTCGCACTTTTCCCCGTCCCAGCCGATGACCCAAACGATCCTTTACAAGTTCGTATTCTCCCATCCTCCCCCCTTCCTGATCGAAAGCGGTGAAGAAAAGCAGTAGCAGCAAGGGGAAAGTGTGTGTGCTAACCAACGCGATGACGACGATGATGAACAGTGGTCGAACTTCAAGAAGACGATGATTCTCATCATATGCTCGTTCTACTCCTTCCTGGCCAACGCCGCCCTCATAGGGCCGTCGCCTTACATAGACCTCTGGGCTACGGAATTCGAAATCTCGCCCACGAAGGCGTCGGAACTCATCTCTTATCCGAACTTGGCTTTTGGGTTTGGTAAGTGAGCACTGACGAAAGGGGGGGGGATGAGACACTTCGCAAAAACTGTGGCATGCTAACGTGGTCAAGGCTCCTTGGTGTTCGTGCCGCTTTACTTGAAATTTGGACGTCGGCCGGTCATGCTTTTCTCGCTCCTCAGTGTAAGAACCCCTTCTTTCCCAACCTAGGGGCCTCTTTGGTAAGATGAGATCGTTAACGAAGAAATTAGTTTGCCGTTGGCCTGATAGCCTCATCCCGGTGCACAAGCTTTACTGGGCTTATGGCGGCTCGCGTGGTCCATGGCTTCGGTTCATCGGTATGCGAGGCTATTCCGGTGCAATTAGTTAACGACATCTTCTTTTTGCACGAGCGTGGCAAGCGAATTGGCTATTACACCGGTACTACACACCCGCAACACAGGATATCCCTCCTTACCAAAGTCTGTCGTCTAACTTTTATGCCATCTAGTCTGTCTATGCCTTGGTACTTTTGCGCAACTCCCGGCTGGGTACATGCTTTCGGGCGGGTATGGATGGCGGCTCTTCTTCTACGTCGAGTTCGCGTTTGCCGTCGCGCTGCTCCTCCTAGCGTTTTTCTTCGTCGAGGAGACGTCCTATGACCGGCAAGCATTTGCAGCCGCCGCCGCCTCAGCATCGCCACCGAGTGAGTCGGAGAAGTATGAAGCGCAGGAGGTGGAAGATGGAGTCCAGCAGACGGACCTCGCCGTTCCGCCGCGGAAGAACTTCACCCAGACATTGAGTCTCTCGGGCAGAGTCGACCCCAACGTTCCCTTCTTCGCCACGATTCTAAGATCGTTTACGTATTTCCTGGTGCCGCAGTCTGTCTGGGTCATCACTACGTTTGGAATCAATGGTCAGTCAATCCACAAGAATCTCGAATGATGACCCTCATACCACCTTTACTGGACGCTAGCTAACCTGTCCGCAGTATGTGACGTTACCGTCAACTTTCCTCCTTGCTTTCCCTCCCCCCTCTTGTAAACTTGATAAAAATGAGACTGGGAAAACAACGTAGCAAGGACCAAAAATTCAAGTAAATGATATTAACATGCAAGCAGATTGGCCTATCCGCGCTAGCATTCTCGTACACGTTCCCTATTATCATCACGGCACCCCCCTACAACTGGGCAGTGGTAGGTCGAAATGCAGGATCATGTACTATATGAGTCTCTTACGTACTAACGCGGCCGCAGACCAACTCGGGGCTTTTTGCCCTCGCCGCCCTAGTAGGCTACTCATTGGCTGTTCCTTTTACGTCATCGTCGGACAGGCTCGCGGCCTACCTGACGAAACGCAACGATGGAATCCGCGAGGCCGAGATGCGCCTAGGCGTTATGCTCGGCCCCATGCTCATTGGGCCGGCGGGCACCGTGCTCTACGGGCTGAGCGCGGAGCTCAAGCTGCACTGGATATGCTTCTTCATAGGCGGCGCCATGAACTACTGGGCCGCGTACTTCTACTTCTCCTTCACGCTGGCCTATGCCGTCGACTCCTACTTTGCCAACACATCGGAGATGCTGATTGCCATGAATCTGGGCAAGCAGGCCATCAGCTTTGGCTTTGGGCTGAAGGTGCTGACTTGGGTCATGGAGAGCGGCTACGGCCCTATCATGTCAGGCGTGTTCGGGGGCGTTTTGCTAGCAAACAATCTTGTCCTGCTGGTCTTTATGTTCTGGGGAAAGCAGATTAGGAGATTCATGTCCGAGACATGGCTGGCGAGGTTGCATTCGAAGAGTATTCGGGAGGTTACAACACATTAGTTAGGGATGTTGCAATACTATACTGTATGTATGTATGTGTATGTATGTGTATGTATGCTTGTTATGTTTGCTGACTGGGGAAAAGCTGAATGGGGAAATAAGTGAGATTGACAAGTCGAGACTGGTCTATGAGGATGCTGATCCCTGAATACGAGAAAGTGATGGGGTTTGCCAGACAACTGCTCAGACTTTGCGTATTTATTTTTCTATTATTTTTCTATAACTAACGCTACCTACTTACTGTAGCTAAGGCATTACTATGCCGTAGAAAACTTTTATGTATATATTTAGTTGAGCTTGTTTTTCGAGGTCTAGATTACCCAAGCTTCAAGAGAATATATCGTACGTTTCTAAATTCCGATGTCAAGGATTTTCGTCGTCTGCAAACTAATGTAGCTGATGCGTGCATGCAGCGGATTCGACGGATGTAACACGCGTTCCGCGACCCTGATTTGGACTTCGCCTTCGAACTGGTTGAGTTGGGCATCAGACCGTTGAAGTTGTTGAGCTAAGACTGCGCTGCATGCATAGGTACAGTAGGTACTACATATGTATGAAGGGCCTTATGTGCATTCACTGCATTCACTGCATTGTAGTAGCCTGTGATGAACACATTTAGTTAGAGCAGTAGGAAAATAAAATCAAGGGAAGCTTGCACGTTGCATTCACTAGAAGCTTAGGTAGCTAGTTAGGTTACATAGAAATAACTGGTCATGAAGGGATTCATGCCGCTTAGATTACATCGATATTATTCAGATGGTCTGGGGTGCATTCCTTCGATCGAGACTCAAAATGATTTATTTCAAGACTGCCGATAGCCGAGAAGGCTGCATTCCCGCGCATCGCCCGAGTCCGTATACTATGCAGTAGGTGCCTTACCTTACCTTACCTACCTAGCTAGTCTCCGGGATCTAGTTCAACGTCCCGTTCCATACTTAGACAAGCTTTAGTATTGTGTTTGCACGCGCTTACACGTATCGAGAACGGACCATCGCGGGCTTAGGTACCTACCTCAGTACCTTTTGAGACAGAGTCTGACAGACAGAAGAGGGTCAGAGTCAGACTGACAGGCAAACTGAAACTGAGGAATAAACGAAGAAGTTTCCATAGGAGGTCCACATCCCCATAATCCCACAAATTACCCTAGGTACGGTCCTGGTACGATACCTACCTAGTACCTAGGCACCAACCAGGCACACTTGTAGTTATCCCCTGGTTGATTAGCTAAAGCTGTACCTAGATTAATACAGATCTTCACACAAAAGTAGGTATGTTCTTTGTTCTAGAGTCTATGTTCTATGCATAAAACTATCTCTACTTACCAAAAATGGCCTTTTGCGGGAAGATCGGGCTGATACTACGATAACAACAACAACTGTTTACAAAGACGATCTTCTACCGGTACCTATTCCCCCCAGAGTCTCCTTTCACTCTCTGCCAATGGTAACGCATACTTGGGCTGCAGGAACGAGCAAAACTGATCTTACTCATTTAAACCTAAGACGAATATTCAGTGGTCAGACTTTCATTGACCGACCAGACGGACGAGTTCCGCCAAGCTTTCTGCGGTGTGACCGTTGGCAATTTACACTGGTCATCGAATCAGAGGTTGAGCCTCAAGGCCACCCCCAGCTCTTTGTTCGCCCAGAACAAGTCATCATTGCACATTCATTACGGCATTCGTACTTTGTGATACGTTAAGCTGGGCTGGTATTCTGCGGGGATTGCATTGCATAGCATATTCGGCTTGCTTATGTGGCAGATCATAACTGAGGTACTGCACTTTGTGATATGGTAATTAATGCACTTTGTAGTAAGTTAGCCTGTGTAATAAACATTATATATCGGTGTACTGTAGTTATGTGTAGTTACATATTCTTGAAGAGTTAAAGGCTACCTACAGTGTACCTACGGGTATCTTCGTATACGAGGTCTAAGAGTTCTAGCGGTTTGAAAAGTAGCTTAGCTATTTAGACCGAATCTCGCATCCATCGTGAGCTCCATCTTGAGCGATAACTTCTAACGGCTCTAGAAGAAAGCGAGAAAAGTCGGCGGACCAGTTTAATCCCCGCTTTTCTTTTCAAATGGCATGGACCGTGGAACTGGATAAGAACGAACCAAGAAAGAATCAATTCGATACGATGCTTAGATAGGTTTTAAATGTGGTGCGGTTATTCAGCTACCCCTAATATCAAGGACCCTCGCAGAATAATACTAACTATGTAAAAGTGAAAGACTAACAAGCCAACACAAAAATCATCTGTTTCCATGACTATAGGAATTTTGTAAATTATACTACGTCCTAACCTAGTATTTTCCTTACTATGTAGTTATTTTTGGTATTTTAAAGCAGCGTGTAAAAAATATAATAAAAAAGTCGGTAGTTGATAGGTTTTTACGTCACCTGAAAGCTCTTATATTAAAGACCCAAACTTGAGACCTGACGATTGCAACATCGGGGTAAAGCTGTGTAGTTGTCTCTGATTGGTTCTCTGTCTTGGCTGTTTAAAGTTGCTGCCATAGTAGGAAAAAGACTCTTTAAACTGGGCTTCACATGCCGATCTTCTACTCCATCCAGCAGGTGGACCCGATACTTCAGCCTTCGAAGAAAGCCCCTGTGTCGTGCATTGTTCATTGTCAGCTCCTTGGAAAACACTACGGTCAAGCATCAACCACGTCTGGACGGATTTCATGCCCCGGGCCCGCTATGTACTGTTGTCCCTTGTCGATTCGGCGTATCGTTATGAGGTCTCGATCATGCAAAGGTAATGGCGGTCTTGTTGGGACCGTGTGTAGGCTGACAAGTTGGCAGGTTGGCAGGTTGGCAAGCATGTAGGCAGGCTGGTAAGGTGTATGTAGGTGTCTGAGCTTTTGAGAAGACCAAAAAAGCCCGGAGTCTTCAAGTATAAGAACTCATCTACCATCCTCTCTTGTCCGGGTTTTTTCTTTCCTCCTCACCCCGATCTTCACTCGCAAATCAAGCCTTCGCTACTACATCTTCCACAGCCGTTGCACTCCCACGTTCCAGACAACCCAACCAACCCAAACCATCAAAATGCAGTTGACTACTCTCTTCGTCTCCTTCCTCGCCACTGCTGTCTATGCGGTTGACCAAGGCTATGGTGGTGGTGCCGGTGGTGCTGGTGGCCCCGTCTGCAACCCCGGCCTCTACAGCAACCCCCAGTGCTGCGCTACGGATGTTCTCGGTGTAGCCGATCTTGACTGCAGGAGCCGTAAGTTTTCCCTTCATCAGATCTTATACTTGACGACCAAAACTAACATCACTTTAGCCAACGCCGTCCCCAGCAGCCCTGCCAGCTTCCAGGCTATCTGCGCCCAGGGTGGTCAGCGTGCCCGCTGCTGCGTCCTCCCTGTCGTAAGTAACCCTTCTCATGAGCATCATTACCTACAATATCACTGACAACCATTCTAGCTCGGACAGGACGTTCTCTGCAACACCCCCGTTGGTCTATAAGCGATCAATCTCGATGATCTTAGGAAAAGGGGAAAGCATCGACTCGACTCTAGTCTACCCGGTTTCTAACTCTCGATTCATGCGATGGTGAATTGAGTCACAGCAGCGAGGTGTGAGGATGTAGTTGTGATGGGTGGATCGCTCTTTTCAATTCTCGAAGGCGCCTATAGAAAACTTTGCAGTTAATTCACAATCGATTGAGCGAGGCAATCTTAATTATTCATGCATGCAGTGCCAGTGATGTGAACTTGTTTGTCCCCTTAGTAACTCCTAACAAGGTAAATGACTTATCTGTAAAATATCAACAGTAGAAATCATGTTTGTTCCTGATGATCTATTCTGTTCTCGTTTTCTTGTTGAGTTTTGACGTCCATGCGTAGTAAACACTTCCCGTGTAGTTTTATACGATATATCAAATATTACCTGGTACTGCGGGCTATTATACAACGATCAAGGATGCAAAGGGGAACTTGTGGAAACTCGCCTCGGCAGATGAGTAAAATATTGACAGGCCCTGTGATAAGTTGCGTAAAGAAATCCTGTTATGTTTCAGTTAATCGACTGATCAACGAGTGATGTTGTTGCTCTCTTGTATTAGTTTCTTCGTAGAGCACTGTCGTGTTCGGGTTATCATAATTAGACTGCTAGGTTTACTACACCGAAAGACTGTTTGATATTATACCTCATCCTATCAGAAATAATGATTGTCCGTCTATTCAATGCCTACAGGGAGGCTCAGGTTGGCATTTAGAGCCTCAGGTTTTCAACGAGATACAAATGTAGGTATTATCATCCGGCCATATACCGGCCTATCGCTGCCACTAATCATACGTCTCAACGAAACCAGTCATACTAACCCAATCGCTCAACATATTATGAAAGAACCCCCCCCTTGGACGTTGCTAATGGCCAGGTCAAGGTCCCGTGAGACCTATCGTACGTGTAAGCCAATGCTTAGGTAATCCGACAGCCCCTTTTTCATGGTTACACAGGCTAAAACCTCGTAACCCCCTTAACAATTAAACAATTTAAGTGAACTGTGAGATAGTTAAATCATAAGAAAAATACCCCCAAGGATTCGATTGAACTCCAAAGCCAAGAGATTTTCCCCTTATAATAATTTGGTGACAGGGTTTCTAGTCAGTTGTATCACTGGTGCTCCTTACTCCCTACACCAGACCCCGACTCCATAACTGTCATTCCTACAGGCGTGATCGTCGTGCTTGTTCCCGCCGGCTCGTGTCCCTGATTAGGGGTAGTAGAGGGTTTAGAGTCTATCCCGGGTCTGTTAAGTTAGCAACACGAGCATGTAGCATATAGTTACATCGTATAGTCGTGACTTACTGTGTCCCCGACTGTGAAACACCGACAGCGGACGAGGTCTCGCCCACATCGCCCGATTCATTAGCGGCAAGCTTCCTCTGCAGGTCGTTTGACTCCAGAGCGCTGACGGCGCTGACAGGGGTCCAGTACAGCAGTATAACAGCGACCAGCCAAGTGCCAACGAAAACGGTGGGGATGACGATGACGACCACGGTCGACAGCGCCGCGACGTCCGGGCTCCAGACCACGAACTCGGCAACGCCGTCTAGTACCTGGCCTGAGTCACCTCGTGCCATGTTCCGCACTTGTCTATCCGCCCCCGCGGGATACAGGGTCAGGTCGGTTAGGCAGTTGACGGTGGCTACGTATGCCGCCTGTACCAAGCGCTCGAGGTCGTCGTGGAAGTTGCTGGCAGCGGCGTCGAATACTTGGCCGCTCGCCGTTGTCGTCGATAGAAGAGCTGAGGCTTGAAGGTGCTGGCCGACAATTTGTATCATGGGGCTACCAAGGATCGACAGTAAGATGTTACGAAGACCATCCGACAGATCTAGGCCTGGTAGTGCTTCGCCTGTCAATGCCTCGATGGTGCTATTGCGGCCCTGGTATGACCATACGTCGTCCTGCCAGCATGATAGTGCTGGTCGGGCTGGCATCACTGAGTACTGGGCACCCGTCTGGGTTTCAGGCCCGGGTCCGGTGAGATACCAGGGGTCTGTTCCGGGACTGAAGCTAGTTCTGTTGACGGAAGAGACAATCGCCGCCCAGGTCCCATTGCTGGTTTCAAGTGTGCCTTGGGTGGTGTTTCCCACGTAAAAGGTAGCTACGGGTTGTCTGCCATCGAATAGCGACGCCGTCACTACGCCTCCGAAGACATCGTAAAAGTCGACAGCAACCGCTTCACCGTCGGAGTCGGATATTCGGGTTCCGTTGTACATGTCATAGTCTGTGATGCATGAACCAGCGACGTTGAGGGTCAATTCCGGGAATCGCTGTAGTCCCATGTCTGCCCCAGTGACACGGTACCGGTAGTCGATGCGCATGATATCTTCACCGTCACTAGTTTGCCCTACCGATGTTGCGGCGCTGATGTTAACTTGTTGGCGGAGTTGCCCATCGGCGCCTATGCTGCCCAGCGCGCGAAGAAATCGTGGCACTTCTAAAGGGAAAAGGGTGGCTGACGCAACAAGATCTGACTCTGAACGATCTGGCACGTATATAGCATCTGGATTTACGGGGGCTGTGTTGTTGAGGATAATAAGGGGTGGAACTAAGATTCCGGTCGCTTTCTGTCCGGCCCAGGCTGCGAAGAATAGAAGAAGCAACAATACAATCCCTGGACTCGACCAGTTCTTCTTGGAGGACGTGATCGTTTCTATAATCAAGTCGACCAGATCGGATCGTTTGTTCCAAATAGTAGGAGCTAGAGGGCTGAGTTTGGTGACTTCCATCCTGCGTCTCCGCATGTAGAAGTAGAGCATGAGACCAAAGAGGACAGTCCATACCTGCACCAGTGTCATATCTATGATGAGGGAATACGTAGAGTTAAGCTGGTCGCCAACTACCTTTGGCACGGAAATAGCATCTCTCGGACCATTTTCGCTAGGGAAAGTGAATCGATGCCATAGTCGGTAGGTTGAGCTAGGCTGCCTAGCTGTTGATACAACCATGGTTGCGGAAGTTTTATCAGGTAGGTAATTTAAGATTCGAATCTTTCTTAGGTAGTTGATACAGAAGGGACGTGAACGACGAGTGCTTCAGTACACCATATTAAGAGAAAGAGACATAGTTAAGAATAGATTCTTCACCTCCTTCAGGCTCCCTGCCCTTGCCACTTCACTGGTGGCGAGTGAGATGTTATGTCGGTAGATAATGGATAAGAGCGAGTCCTAGGATACCTCGCCTCGGGCCTTTTCGGCCTTTAGCAGAGCCTCGACATACTTAGTCACTGGCAAGGGAGCCAACTATCACATCAGGTCCCCGAAAGCATACATACACGACTGGCCGGACCTCGGATACTAGAGCAGGCTGGACGGCGATGTGAATATCAGATCAGTTCATGACTTATTGACTATGATATTTATTGGCCAAGACCCGCATCGGTCCTGATGTGCTTTTGACGTGTCGAACCAAAGCCCGTCTATCAAATATGATCCTGCTTCAGCCGCAATGTATCTCAGCGCCAAGACATATATGAAATGGTTGATATCGCCATATCCTAGCTTTGGGTGACGAATAGGAGAACATCACACGCACATAGCTAGATGCTTTTTTGACCTGCATAGCTGCCCTACTGCAACACCTGGCAGGTACATGTATTCAATATTGCAACAGCTGCATAACTCCCTGGCCAGTCAGGTAGACGCTTAACCACGTTTGAATTTACTAGCAGCAGCCTGCATATGACAGAGCCTCTTGAAGAATACGAGCTTTGAGGGATCTTACATAACGCTACTCCTCCTGTCTGGACTCAAATAAAGAGCTCCCCGTGTTTCTTCACGATGGCCTACTTTTCACTGCCCATCACAACACTCGCTTCTAAACTTGTCAAAATACCTCCTAACCCCCCTAGCTCTTAGACACTAGAAAATTTCATCATGTTACTACACCCCCAAGCCATCCTCCTCCTCCTAGCAGGCATCACTTCCCCAGCCGCCTCCCAAACACCTCCAAGCCTAATAAACGCCCTTGTAGCCTCCGGAGCTTCTCAATTTGCCAGCATCATCCAGTCCGACTCGGAGGTTCTTTCGCTGTACCTCTCCGACCGAGTCACCACGGTCTTCGCCCCCATAGACTCATGTGTGGGCGACTCACCACTGCAAGAAAGAGACCTATCCGCGTCACAGCGAAGGGCGGCGGCATTCCAATCAGCTCGGGGGACAACAACCCTGGAAACAGCCAGTCGCTCACTGCCCGGCTCCAGCCTCGAGACTAACGACGAAGCCCCGCTGCTGGATGGCCGCGGACAAAGAATCGTGATCGATACTAGGCCTCTGAACGCAACCTCGCCTACCAAGCGATGGGCCTCGTCTGCTATTCTCCGACGCCAGGTCAACGGAACAGCCCAGTCATTGCTCAGGATCTCGTCGGGCCTGGGCAAGACCACCAATGTCATCAAAGGAGACATCCCCTACGACGGTGGCATAATCCACATCACGGACAGCTACTTCACGATGCCCCAATCCCTCTCCGCGACCTCTCAAGCAACCGGCCAAACCGCCTTCGCACAGCAACTATCCCTTAGCAACACCACCAGCACGCTCGACACCACGCACTCCGTGACCGTCTTCCTGCCCTCCAACGCCGCCTTCTCCTCCTTCCCCAACTCCACCGCGCCCCAGCAGCTGGTCTCCGACCACGTCGTCCCGGGCACCGTCAGCTACCTGCCCGACCTGCGCGACGGGAGCGTCCTGACGACGCAGCGGGGGGAGACGCTCGCGATCAGCGTACGCGCGGGGCGGTACTACGTCAACGGGGGCTTGATCACGCAGGCGAATCTGGTGCTGGAGAACGGCGTCGCGCATGTGGTTGATCGGGTAAGTCTCTGTTTAACTACTACTTACTCGTACTCCATCGCCGCAGTAATCTAGGGAGAGAGCTAACATTGTGCTACTAAAACACAGGTTCTGAAGCCAACGCCGGCGCCGCCGGCCACAGCAGCTGCGTCGTCCGTATCGATGAGCTCGATTGGCTTGCTCGGGGTGTTAGTTTACTATGTTGGAAAGATGGTCCTGGCCTAATTTCCCTGACCTAAATAGGTGGTTGGTACTTGTGAGCGAGAGAATGAGAGAGATGGAGCGTAATAGTTAATTATCCCCACACCATACCATATGGTACATCTCTAGATAGCTTGATTTAAAAATAGCATATATTTGGCGTGATAAGGTACTGTATTTACTCATACTTACTTCGGTATATGTGTACTTTAAGTCTTAAGCCATGAAGTGGCTACGTGAAGTGAGCTGAATGGAATCCTCCGGAGCAGAGAGTTATAAGCGAGCTCGCTTAAAACTAACACCGAAGACAGTACTTGTCAGAAGCCCCTTTTCGAGTGGATTAAAGGTTGGTATCTAACATCAACCACTAACTAACCACCAGACCCTCCGTAGCAGAAACCCACTATTCTCTTTCCCCCCTCCCTCCTCCGCATATGCAGATACCCGCGGTATTGTATTGTACCCAGCAGAGCCGTGGCCATATTGCGGCTCAGGTACCCGATGTACTTTTGATACCCAAAACCTAGGTACCTACCTAACACCTACTACGGTAGCTACCCGGTAGGGGGTAACCAGTATCGCGATTCGTTTTAGCCCCAACCATACGACTACCGAGCCGCGTGCATGCATGTTGCATTCTGCATCACAGATCACTACTTAGCAGAATTATCATCCTGCCTACCTACTATTGGATGATGCCATCAGAATCAATAATTCCATGCAAGAGCTTCGAGCTGAAATATCCCTATTCAGTAAGCTACCCCCGCACTTTTCAGCTTATACAATACCCCGGGCTTAATATAATAATCTCCATTAAAGTGCAGCTTCGTACTATTTATTCTCTGGCGATATCACAGGTCCGGATCTCGATAAGCAACTATGCATCTGAGTACCTACCAGGCAGACACCATAAAATCGAGCAATGTGATATGATCAGAACACCTTACAGCTGTATAGCTGGTCACGTCTTAATTTATACGAAGCGAGTTAGGAACACCAATCACAAAATGCTAAGACTAGCTACTCGGGGAATCATTTCAATATTTCACATTTGTTAGACACTATGAACAACGGGGCCAGGCAGATATTATTGTCAACATGACAATAATCCGACTTCCACCTTCTTACCTACATGTAATAGGTACCTAAACAAGTACCTATGCATGTATGTGCAGAGGACATCAAAATCAGTACCTCGGATAGCTACCTTAATAGGTACCTAGCCAAGCATTTACCAACGCCCCGAGACGCGCGACAAAAATAAAGGGGGGCTGGAGCGACAGCCTTAAAATCGCGTAGTAGAGGAGCATATTGAACAGAGGAAAGGGTGTGTGTGTGTGTGTTGAAAATGGTATCTCAAGTATCAAGAGCCTGCTAAGCCTAGCTGCTGAAAGGCCCCTACCACCTGGCTTTCTACATAGCCACGGCATCGAGGAGTAAAGAGGAAAGTAAATACGTGAATAGAAAAGAAACATCCAACGGCTGACAGTGCAAGTGCAAAGCCATTCCATAAACACATCCTATCTGCAAAGTCGTGTCGCGTCCCATTCAGATCGTTGCTTGTCTGCCGTGGCAGATAGGGTAGGTGATTGATTAAGATTTGAGGAAAAGAGAGGGCCGCGAGGGTATATGATCGATGGCTTCCTTGCCAGTAAAAAACATCGCGGACATCTCATAATATGAAGGATGTGCACAATGCGTGCGACACGAGGACGAAGAGAACGTCAAACTCCTTTAACTCCTTGCCAGATACGCATCGCATGCTTGGATAAGGCCATAAAACAGAGTCCCAAATAGACCATGTGGCGAGGTGGTAATGGAGGGCGGATAAAGCAAACCAACGTAAATACGATTAGGATTAGAAGAGCTGCCGAAAGCATATTACGCCAACCCTGCGACTAGAAGCAGTTGAGGCTGCCCTTCTTCTTTTTCTTGTTATTGATCGCGTTCATACGTTCCTCGAGATGGGTCCTAGCCCTCTCGGCGTCCTGGCGCTTCTTACGCTCCTCCTCGATCTGATGAAGGCTATCGCGCCATCGGTTGTCGTGTTGGGGTTTCTCCTTGAGTTCCTTCACCTCGCCTTCCAACTCCTGCGCACGCTTCCTCCAGGCCTCACAATCGGCCCGGATCTTCTTCGACTGGCTTTCAAGATCGGTCAAGGCTTCTTCTAGCGTGGAAGTGAGTTGCCTCTCAGCCTTGAGATGTCTCTCGATGCTCTGGATGCGATCTTCCTGATCTTTGTGGATCTGAGCATAAGCAAGATCATGACTATTGGGTCGACCACCATTGGCCGTAGACTGCGTTGGAGAGGTTGCACCGGCAGGTGGCAAAGGTGGTAATGGAATTGCCGGAGGTGGAGAGGGCAATGAAGTAACGGACGCCGTTTTGCGGATCTGCGAGCTCGTTGAGTTGGTTCGTTTGGGGCCTTCGGCGGCGACAGTTAGTTCTTCAATGCGAACCTGTGATGTGTTAGTGAAAAGTCGTTTCAAGCAATAAACAATGAGAACTCTTACCTGGAGGGCGACCATTTCTTCTTTAACGGTCTCCAATTCGGTCTGTGCCCGTATTCTAGCAGTGTTCGCCTCCTCAATCTTCGTGTTGCGCTCCGTTTGCAGAGTAGACAATCGGTTGTTAGTGATCTGAGCCTGATCGTAGTTGGTCTGAAGTTGATCTTCCAACTCTTCTACCAAGCGCGAATGCTTCTTGTTCTTGTTCTCGAGATCTGTCATTCTCTTCTTAACGGCTGCAAGCTGCTCCACGACGGAGGGATATGGACTCTTGCTGGACTCGCCGTTAATATGAAGCATCTCATTCAGTGAGGACTTGATGGCTTCAAGATCACGCATGATAGTATTGTTAATGGCCTCTAGCTCGTTAACTTGCGCTTCGAGTTCGGCTGACTTATGCTGCTCGACCCTCAAAGCCTTTTGGTCCGCCACCAAGTCTTCAATGCGCTCGCTGATCTTTTCGATGCTGACTTCGAGGCCTAGCGCTTGAGCTACTTGAGTAGCAACCCTCATAAGTTCATCGCGAGCCTCCGCAACATCACCCTCGAGTAATTTGATATTCTCAGCATGCTCCGATACGAGCATATTGATTTCAGCCTCGTGCTCTTCCGTAGTGCGAGCTCTGGCCGTGTCAAACTCTTTGGCATGATCTTCGTGTATTTTACTCAGAGCTTCTTCGTAGTCTCTATGGGCTGTCTCATGTCTGGCGATTTGCGCTTCAAGCCTCTCCACAAGTTCTTGATAGCCGCTAGACTCAGCAGATGCAATATCTCGCGCCTTAGAAGCTTCTTCGAGCTGTTTCTTTGTAAGAAGATGCGCCTCCTCTAGCTCCGCAACCTTAGCAGCGTTGCTATCAATGGCTGACTTGTATTGGTTGATCTCGTTGCGGAGTGCATCGACGAGATTCTGGTTCTCGACCTCCGCGTCCCTAGATTCATCGTCACTGTTCGCCTGCTCGCGAGATTTGCTAAGCTGGGCGTTGGCCGCCGCAACCTCTGTTTCAAGCTCAGTGATTATCATCTTCATGTGTTGTTCCGTGGTCTGCATAGCTTCCAAAGTCGCTTGATGTTTACCTTCCCAGCTAGAAAGCTCGGCCTCAAGATGCGCAATTTTCTCGTCTTGGGTTGCACGAGAGTCATTTTCGTCCGTGGCGTGATCCCGAGTTTGTGTTACAGAAATCGGGAGAGTCTCGCTGCCCTCGTTGATGGACGCACGCAGCCCCTCCAATTCGGCAACAAGCTCCTCTTCGCGGGTGGCGTGTGCAACTTGCATCTCTTTGAGTTGCTGCTCGTTCCGTTCTAGCTGCACTCTCAAATTGGCAACCATCGAAATATCCATTGGGCTGTTCGTTAAACTGGATCTTTCGCGAGTCAGACCTGCAATGATAGTCATCTTTGTTTCCATTTCTCTTTTGGCGGTGGTAACGTCAGCCTCCAATTCCTGAATACGTTCCGATCTCGCGTGGAGCTCGTGCATAGCGGCGTTAATATTTATTTCGAAACTTTGCATGAGGTCTGGCTGGTTTTCGAAGTTCTCGGCCGCAATATTCCTGAGTGTTGCGAATGACCGGTGTGCTCTGTCAATGATCATCATGTTCTGGCTAGACTTCCGGCGTATAACTGGTGTGGCGGTCCTTGGAGACGGCGGCTCCATGTGGTGCTTCGCCTTTGCGACCTGCGTTTTCAGCTCTTCGACCATATCCAGAGTTTCCATGTGCTTATCCTCTAACTGAGCATACTTCTCGGAAAGCTCTCTCTCCGCAGCCTCCTTCTCGTAAGCTAAAGCCTTGAGCTTTTCTAGTTCAGCTGCTATCTCTTCGTTGTGATCATTACTGAAATTTTCTGGTACCAGAGTCTCCCTAGATTCGTAAGGCCTCGTACCGGTCTCCGGCATATCGGTAGTAGTAGGGGAGTCCATAGCTGATGATAATTCCGAGGAAAGCGATCGCGATAAGAGTGTTCCACCTTTGGGGTCGCTGTTCCTCAGATCGGATAAAAAACTGGACGGGCGAGTCTCGTTTGGGGAAGTGACCGACAAAATGGAATCGCGATGGTGGTTTGGGTGCTTTGCTTCATCAACCTGGTCCTGCAATTCGGCCAATGTTCGCATAGCTTCTTCGTACTTGGCATGTAACGCATCGTATTCGTTAAGAGTCGATTCATGCTCAACTCGTAGAGAAACGAGTTCTTCGGTAATATCCTCGAGCTTATCGGCGACAAATTTGGTTTGCGCAGGGCTCTGAGGAGGATAGTCAGAGGTCCTCGACTCATCATCTCGATGCTCGTTTGGCGTTTCGCTACGTTCTTCGGCTGCCTCGGGATCATCTGGAGGAGTCCGTGCTCCTCGGCCTTGCTCGCCCGCATCTTCATCGGCGTTTTCGGCCACCTCGGGAAGAACACCTCTCAGGCCCAAGCTGGGTCGACTGGCGTGACTTCTGGCTGATCGTTCGGATAATGTACGACGATGTCCTGCGCCATTGTTTTGCTCTGATTGAGTATCAGATGCTTTGCCGTCTTGATGAATATGGTCCAGCTCATACAGGAGGCTATCGAGTTTTCCGAGGCTTCGTTGACGTTCAATGACTTGTTCTAGACGGTCAATTTCGCGCTGCATCAATTCTTGATCCTGGTCAGATTCAGCAAGCCTTTCTTCCAAAGTAGAAATGTAATCTTCGCAAGCGGATTCATTTTCTCGTATCCTTGAAATCTCCTTTCGCAACTCGAGGACAATCGTCGCATTCTTCTCCTCTCCAGACGTGTGGCCATCAAGCTTGGCCTCCAAGTCGTGGAGGTAGCTCTCCGTGCTGGCCTCGCGATCCATAAGTTTTGTTAAGCGAGCTTGGAGTTGGGTGTTGATGGTTTCAATGTAGGCGCACTTCGTTTCTTTCTCAAGCAGACTCGTTTCGGTGTTTGAAAGAGTGGCCCGTGTGCTGGTAAGGGATTGCTCGAGCGTTTGGATAGTCTTTTCATACTCCAACACAACCTGTTCCACGGCCTGGGCGAACGAGTTAGACCGCTTTAATCTCTCTGTTGCGGTATCGCCAACCGTTTCTTCATCGTCCTGGTTCTCAGCTGCTTCATTGTCACGGGCTCTAGCCATCTCAGCAATGAGTTTCGCATGGCGCTGACTGAGAGTATTATAACTTTCTTGAGTATCTAACAGCTGGTTTTGCAGCTCTGACTCTCTCTCGTTATGCCGCTCGGACCTTTCACTTGTTGCAGTAGGACGTCGCTCGGTCCCACTTCGCTCTGAGCTCCGGATCTGTTCGCGAAGGAATGCGACCTCAGCTTTTAAGCGTTCGATGATGGCTTGCTTGTCACCTTCTTCTACTTGTTGGATTCTGGGCTTGCTCTGAATCGCTCGAGCTCTCTGTGCATATTGCACTGTGTTCAGTGTTTCACTTAGATGGAACTCGGCAGGAGTCACGCAGGCAATCATGTAAGTGATTGCGTTTCCACCCAGCGAATCTTGTAGAAGTCTTGTCAGTCTCGAATCTCGATAAGAGACGTGGGATCCGGCTTGTCGTGACGAAAGCTGCGATATGACCTTGCCTAATGCAGCAAGACCGGCATTGATAGAAATACCCTCCTTAGCCCGCTCTCCTTGCGCCCCGGTGTTCTTCAAACGTTCGCTACCAGCCAGATCGACGAAGTGCAACTTGCTATCCGTAGTTACCCAGGTATCGGCTCCTGTCATCGTTTCTATCGGCGCGGAAAACCTCTTGTTAGCTCCCTGGGTGCCTTGGGCCTTGCTCTTGCGCTGGACGAGATTTAGACTGAAGACGGCATGTGATCGCGAGGATTTCGCATTGATAGCGGTCGCATCGGTCTGTCGAATCGTCGAACCAAAGTTTAGACAATTCATCAAGTCATCGACCGAGTTGATGTCGACCTGTTGTAAGCCAGTAAGGATGATGTTACCCTTTTGGTCTTCACGGATAGTGACATTGCCTCGCTCATTCTGTTGAAAATGATCTGGTACAAGCAAGTCGCGCAATTGCTCGTTGTAGATCTCTACATAAGTTGCCTTTAGCTGCCAATTCTTTTCAGCCTTTGGTGCCGAAGATTGCGCCGAATAGCGCGCTGGTGTCTTTAATTGGGACATGGAATTGCGATTTGGGTTTTTCTGGGGAGCACTGCCATCGAGCTTCTCGAACAAAGCTGCCGCAGCTCGGGGGATTACACCTGCGTAAGTAATAAATGTTAGTACTGTACTTTCCTATTTTTAATTCATAGTCAGTTGAGTTTCACTTACCCGTTGCCTCATAGTTGTTCTGTTCAACGGGCCCTGAAGTTCCCATTGTGTAGGACTTTCCAGCGCCAGACTGGCCATAGGCCAGTAGAGAAACATTGTATCCTTGGAGAAAAGCATTGACACTATCTTGCAGATACTCCCAGATTCCCTCTTGCTCAATCTCAGGCCCAAAGACGCGATCAAAAATGAACAACTTCTTGCCTTGCGGCGCATCAATGGCGATACCTGTGTTAGAGGTCGTCTGTACCATAGATCTTTGAAATCGTTGCGGTATGAGATCAAATCCGGGGTCGGTGGATTTCAATGGTGGGCGCACACGGACGGCTACCAGGCAATTGTCAGTATTGTGGTCTGCGATGTTGAAAGGCTGAAGATGTTAATTAATTTGCTTACCGACTCGGACGGCTGTACGACCTCCATCTTCATCTGAGGCTCGACTTCCGGTACCTCCTCCACCCCCCACTTTGCTACTCATACTCAGGCGACTGTTACTCCGCGGGGCTGGTTTTACCATGGCGCTCGATGGTCGGGGGAGGCCTGGCGATGCCGGCGGTGAAGTTGCCATAATGGCAGTGTAAGTTCAAGTGCCGACCTCAAAAGTGCAAAAACTTACTACTCAAAGGCCAATTAAGCAGGGTCGAATAATTGTGTTAATATTGCTTGAGGACTTGAAAAGAACGCAAGATCGAAATTGATTTGTTTTTCGAAAACAAACAAGAAAGAACGTATGGGTTGGAAGTTGGTGGTAAAAGTCGATTTAGAAAATTAACACCTTGGTGGGCGCGAGGAAAAAAAAAAGTCGGTAGTACGTTGATGTGGAATGCGAAGAATGCGAAGAGAAACACCAAACGCCAAACTTGCTACTCGTCGCACCGGTGATGAATGATAAAGGACCCTGGGACCTAAGAAGGTTAGGTGGCATATGATGCAATAGCGTCATATGTCGCAGAAGATACACGATTCCGTCGTTACGATCCCCAATACATTATTTTTTTATCCTTTTTTTTTGTCGCGCATGAGCAGAACTTCACTCGCTCTGGTTCTCGTGTGTTGCGTGTCGGGAGGACGGCGATCCAAAGTTTTAGGGGGTGAGATGAAATTTTGGGGTAGTGCCTGTTTATTATTTGGGCCAGGAACGTGCACTAAAACTTCATCGATTGATAGGGGGTCGCTTCCATCCTAGCCTACAGTGATGGGCAGCAGTAGGCAGTAGTGGGATAAAAAAATGTGGGATGGTCAAGGGTATGAGGCAGGGTTGTAAGGGTATCATGAACAAAGGGAGACCCAGAGAGTACAGGGGTGTAGACGGTACTAGACATGCGGTACTCCCCCATTACAACGGTGCGGTTGCCAAAAAGAGCCGAGGGCAAATTACATAGAACACACGCGTTGTTCAACGTGGAAAGATATGTGCCTGCCACCTGCCAACTTGCTGTTGGTGATATCTATTACTATCTACAAAAAGTATATCCCTATCAGACATCAATATGATGTGTTGGTGCAGTAATACCTTTTTATGTAGTACTGCTCCTCAAAATTCAACTAAAATTCAACTTTCCTTTTAGCACGTCCCTTTTGCTGTATACTACAAGTAGTATGCATTTACATATGTTGTCAGTATCTCGAACGATTTGGCGTATCAAAAAAGGCCAAGACAGTCACTACACTGCCTACACAAATCATTTCAAGGTCTCGACACATATAATACTGCTATATTATATTACTTGCCAGAGCCATATACCTACATAGTATGATCCAACCAACCGAGGTCAAACATGACACCAGTCAGTTAGATCTGTCAACTCTTATCCTGCCACATTAAGCTGATCCAAGTGGGTTCGGTAGGTCTGTTTAAGTTTGCCTCCCCAATGCAGGTCGAAAACCTCCGAGTCGTTACTCAATATTGGATAGTTATATTAACCGCTGTCATCCCATGCCGTCCATCAAGTGGTGTTACAGAAAGATCCTCAGATCTTCCATGATGTATGTACTATGTAGTACGGGAGATAAGCTACATACACAAAAACTAGTTACATACATCGAGGTATGTAGTATTGTTTCCATTCTCCCGAAATACCTAACCTAGTATGTTCATGAGAATTACTTGATCATACAGAAACATGGATATACCTACACATATACTATGTATGTATATGTGACGAACAGATGATAATCCATGTACCCAGGTAGATATAAATACTTTGACAATCTCTTTGGTTGGGAGTGATATAGGTGATACGAAGTTCATGTTTTTGACGTTTCTAAGCATCCATGGATAATACATAATGTTTAAGAATTGATAGCCCCTGGTCATATGGACGTACAGTACCTACTTAATCAGGTAGGTACCCATGTACAAACATCCAGGTTTATTTTCCCTTTCTATCAAAAATGCAGTGCAACACCTTACGCCTCTGGGCTGGATATGTTCTAGAGTTTCAACGTTCTTGAGAACGATTCAGGTTTTTTTGGAACTTCATGACGATGTTAGTGCAATACATGTAACAATTTGAACATGCATGTGTACCTACATACATAATGTATGTACAACGTTGAAAGTATTTGCCGTTTCCTTACATAATACCGGTACTCGCTACATAGTATGTACATATGCAATGCACAAGCAAGTGCTTCCTATTGTTAATCTATTAAATTGTCAAACAGTGGAGGCAATTACAAACATCAAAAACGATACGCAGACAGGCGGGTTAGTGGGATAAGCGCAAAAGCGCCGGCGATACAGATTGAAAAATGACTAGCAGAGAAGCCGGGGGGAGGGGACCAATTAAGTTCAACAAGGTTAAATCTTGGCTCTAATGGATTAGGCATTTTTAGTGCCAGTGCACCACGCGAGGAAGCGGGTCCATACTATCCAAATTAGTCTATTGCGAATTTCGAAAAAACCGAACTCGATTTTTTTTTAAGGAGAAGAAACGGCGCTACAACGGCTCCGTTCTATGAATCTACGCAGTATTATGGACCTCTACGCTCTAGCTGCTTTCTAATGTTCTTAGCTTAGTACGAAGTAGCCGGTATTGTACCTTACCGACCCTAGGGCCTAGGTAGTACCTGAAAGTCCTGAACTATCATAGCGTCATGCATGTACTGTACATGTAGTTTGTCGGTATGTATTCTAGCCCAGTATTTTTGAGTTTCCACCATCTCATGCAAGGTACCTACGTCGTAATTTAATTAAGAATGATTTTTTACAACAAAAAAGGAAAAAAACGGGAAGGAAAGAGAAACTACCTATTCATGGTATTATAATTCAACGGTGACCTTGGAGATAATTGAGGCTCATCTACTTGCGATAATCCGTTCAAGTTGTCAAGTAATGACTGAAGTGAGCACTGAAGCTATAAGTTACTTTAGTATGTACATGCATACGGGCCTCTAGGCCTCGTTTCCATCGACCGTTTCGATGATCATCATCTGGGTCGGCAAAGAACGTTATGGATCACCGCAGTCCGTCCATACCTAATGAACAGGTCGTATTCTCGCCGATATTAACACCTAGGTAATATTGAATTCACTGATACGAAAACTTCATTAGATTTCCCAAGAGCCTCCCAAGAACTTCAATTCTAATCAAACTAGAATCTTTGCCAACATCCTAACGCTGTTTCTAACCGTCTTACCTACCGAGATACCTAGACATCCGATAGGGTACATAAAAGGATGAAAGATTAACCATGCTTCAAGTACTTTTAACTAGTCTCTCATCCACGGTTCATCAATCCATGGCCCCTCTCAGACATCACGTGAAAAACAGTACCAGCGACTGAAGCTTCTGATTCAGATGTTTAAGATGTTAAGACTCATGTTTCAGATCTCCGGGACACTAACACCAGCCATCCTTTGATATCCATGGATTACCTAAATGATAGGCTCCAAGCCTACAGCCGCTGGTCTCGCCCCTATTCCAGCGGGGCAAACATAAAGAGAGTACTAGCCCCGCGGCTGGGGTTGATACCAAATAAAGATTTCTCAGCTCCGTTATGTATTTGTGATCGATGCTCGCGTCGATCTTGTGGACATCCAGAAATTACCGGGATACCCGGGCTCGTCGATGCAATGCCGACCGCAGGAAGGTTAAAAAGGTGTCATTTTGATGTGATGAGTTGTATTGTGTAATAGTTACTCCTATGAAGATGGCCATATCATCTCGATTCTCTAGAGCGCCCTCATTCATCCAGGTACAGCTGTAAGGCACCTTAGGTACTCATAGAATACCCATCCAGCCATTTCAGAGCAGCGTTTCGACATCTATATCTTGACCAGATCTTGACATAAAGTGGGAAACCCCAGTTTGTTAGTTCCAAGTTTCGAGTTCTTGCTATATGGAGACGCCGTGGATCCTCATATTTCCGAGTTAACGACAACATCCCACCTACACGCTTAGTTAGCAAGCTCGCACTCCAGGCGAGGCTGGCTAGGTACCTATGTGACAGCACTGCTTGTAGATTCAATTGAACAATTTAGTTTGAGGCTACAATTTTTTTCTGTTTATTTCTGGTGAATTTCAATCTTCGCCCCCTCGTATTCTGCGATGCCTTCGTCGCTAACTATGGACCCTTTTGTTGCAATATTCGAATAGCCAAGTCTCTACCGTTATAACTACACACACACCACCCAATTTCATCTTATGCGAGATATCTAATAAAAAAACATGCATATATACGAGTTTTTATCCGGCAATGCTTATCTCGATCCTTTGTGACGGGACAGCCATGTCACAGCTCCTGTCAAGATGGCTTGGTTACGATTCTTTAACTCTAACTTGCCAACCTACCTAGGCACCCAATAAGGACCCAGCCCTGAAGGTTAGATAATTTTCAATACACTATCAAAGTACGGGAACCAAACTATCACGCATCATGTTCCTAGCCCCCTGCTTCATTACCCTAAAACTCAGGCTGATACGCTCTGCTACCCTTCGCTGTGCAGAATGTTTCTGGCGATACCCAACAAGATAGAGGCACATTTTGAAACTGCCTTAGGACTCACATCATCACATAGAAAAAGATCGCCCACAAAGCTTAATTCACCGGCAGGATTAGGCTAAGGTTGCTAGATAAGAACAGTGCCAGTGAGTGAGAAGATCTGGTAGTTCATGCCATGGTTGACCCCTATGGTAGCATCGCATACAATGACAATGCTACGACCCTCGGTCGAAAAGGGGGAAAGGATTTCAATAAAATCCAGATCCGGGTATTACCCCACAATATGCAGAAGGAAGAAGAAGAGAGGATGAGCGTCTCGGTATTTTGGTTGGTCGTATTCGGTGTTTCAATCCTGAACGGCGACTTCACGAAATGACGGATAAGGTTTTCCAGTAGCGTATTGAGACCGCATTGAGACCGCCGACGGTGTTTCGGTTGGGCCGTCCGGATCGTCGCAAGCGGCAGCCGCCCGAGTATATAACACTCGGGATCCTTTTCTGCCTCCAGATCCTCCAAACTCAACAACCAGTGAAGAACATTCGTGCGACACCATCACCATCTATCTTTTGCAAAAAGCAAGCACTTTGGCTTTGCAGAAATCCTCCTTGGCTTACTGTGATAACTCGACGGTCTCTGCAGATATGACAAAAGTGCCTCGGATGATGCCGTAAGGATTCCACCAATTGCTGATCAGCGACTGCTTCAGGTTCGGATCACGCAGTTATGTAGGATGCCGCGCATTCTTCGGTAGTGCCGACGAACATGATCCGATCAACTACAAGAGTATCACGAAATTATCCTCCACCCCACGCCCAGTCGCACACCCAGTCGCACACTCAGTCTGAGCCTGCGCGGGCAGCCAGGACAACGTTAGTTAATTGCGCCGACAGCGTTGTAGCTAGAACCGTCTTACCCAATCTTGTTTCGCCCAGACTTACAGGGTAGGCAAGCCATTATGATTAGGCGTTTGTTTTACCGTCCCAATCTTGTGGACGGCCAAGAATTCGAGGGCCTGGCGTAATGCTCACTCCACCGCCTGAGCGTGCATACATACAATTGAGGCACCTAGGTACATATCTAGGTACCTACCTTACATATGTATATGTAATGCGTGGTGACGAGAGAAATGCGACAAATTCTCCTATGTAATATTTGCCGCGCATGTTGATCCATTGCATTACATGCACATGCGCTTTGCAGACTACCGGGTAGCAGCGAAAGGGGCCGTCGAAGACATGCATATCTTTGGAGACTTTGCTTGAATTGCTGGTTCGACAAGCTTTACGACTGTTCCGCGAGAGGAATTTTCCATGCCAACTTCATCAGCCCATCACAAGCCAACAACAAAGTTACTGAATGAATCTGCTGCTGGCATCTCATTGTTAATGATCTGGACCCCGGATCCAACACATCAGATCCGCGTTTAGCTTCCGCAATCCTTGAAGGGAGAGCATGAAGGTAGGTGTAGCATTCGGTATCCAATGGAGGATTGAGGGATAGAAGACCAAGAACCAGGACCAGGTCCACGCATTAAATGATCATCGCATGACTGTTGCATATGTACCTACTTATCATTATGTAACGAGGGCTTCAACATTGAATTGCCATATCTACCGGATAGATATTCAAAAGTTGGAACATGACAAAAGTAAAGATGTTCTTCATAAACTGAAATACCGTATCCAAGACGTGAGAATAGGAGAGTAGGAGAATGGGAGAATGGGAGAATGGGAGAATGGATAACGTAATGCTCAGAAAAGCAATAACCTTGAAACCTACAGGGTACATACAGTACTTCGAAACTCAGACCAAAACCTAAACCTAAAATGTCACGTGCTGCGCGTAACTAGCGCGCCTAAATGATTTCCTTCTCAACCGCGTTTCCATGACAAACGCGATGGAAACGACTTCTTTACCTTGGGTAGCTATTGGCGTTGCTATCTACGATTGGCGCCCCTCTTCAGGTTGCGTGTCGCCACACTTGCTTCCGCTCATTAGCTTTTGATTCTTTTAATCCTCATACAACACTATTCCTTTGCTAAAATCGCTTCAATTGCTGAACTTGCTAGAGTTGCTGTTGCTATCGAAACCATGTCAAAATGCCGCCCGAAGTCATCAGTCTGTTGTCTTCGAGCCCTAATGTTCCCACCCCGCCCGTCCCCGCCAATTCCAAGTCACGAACGACCCAGGCAGCAGCAGCTCCCTCTAGGGCCCTTGACTACGGTGGCCCCAATGTGACTGCAGGCCCATCAATAAAGCAAGCTGCAAAGCGAGCGGTTAGCGGACGTGTGCGACAAGGCGATGACTTTATGTTTTTGTCGGATGATAGCGATACGATCGGGGACCTCGACGGCAATGCACCTAAGAAAGCTCGAACTTCGACTTCCGCAGCGGGTGCCAAGAAGCGAGAAAACAATGGATTAAAGAGGACAACATCTGCTGTGGTCACCTCCAAGAATCGAAAACCCTCTGCGTCTGGCTCATTAAAACGATGGAATTCAATAACGGACCAAATCGATCACAGCAGTCCCCCCAAAGCCCCTTCTCCTAGAAGGACATCCACTCAGTCAAAGGGGCTTTTACCAGATCCACTTCACAGCCCACCGCGGAAGGAGGCAACAACCAAGCTTCCATTTTTGGATTTGTCAAGCGACTCCTTTCAAAGTTCCCCAATACAAGACACCAATAAGGCTCAACCGTCTGTGCAATCGAAAACTAGTCGACTTGCGACCGATGACCCGATCGACTCATCCAACAACAAGAAAGCGTCGAGAGTGTCCATAGTAATAGACCTTTCCGATGACGATCTTGACGTCTTATCAGGAAAGAGCTTGCCGAAGGCGTCAAAACAGAAGGCTGCTGCTTGGGACCCGATATCAAGTTCCATGCCAGATGCGAGATCTGGCAGGGATAAACATGATGATTCTGACTCTGACGACTCCGATTTACCGGATTTGCGCGATATCGACTTCGCGAAACTGGCATCTAAGAGGCTCGCTCTCAGTCTGTCGCCTTCCCCACCGCGCCGGAAATCGAAGACGACAACAGCAGCGGCGACGGCGAAGAAGCGCTCAGCGCCTCAAAGACCAGCGGAACCAAAGAAAACCGAGGCAGAAAAGGAACAAGAGCGAGCAGAAAAGGAGCGCGCCCGAAAACAAAAGGCAGAGGCCCAAGAAGCCGAGAAAGAGCGCAAACGAATAGAGAAGGAGCAAGCAAAGGAGCAGCGAGCAGTGGATAGGCAGAAAGAAAAAGCCCTCGCCGACGTCAACAAACTCAAGATCAACAAAAAGGTCGCCGCGCCCGAGATGATCGTCGACCTCCCGACCACCCTAGCCGTCGGCATCAAAACGCAAATCGAGAAGCTCCTCGGTGGTATGGACGTGCAGTTCGAGTACCACACCAGCGCCGTCGACAACGCCGTCACGTGGCGGCGCAAAGTCAGCGCCAAGTACATCGCCGAGGACGACCGCTGGGAGCCGGTGCCGCTGCACATCCAGGCCGAGGAGCACGCTATGGTGATCGTGCCCGCGACCGAGTTCGTCAAGCTCGCGCTCGCGCCCGAGGGCCAGGACCTCGAGGCGCACGTGCTGCGGATGAAGACTAGCTTCCCGGACAAGACCCTCATCTACCTGATCGAGGGCCTCACCCCCTGGATGCGCAAGAACAAGGCCGTGCTGAACCGCCGCTTCGCCGCCTCCGTCCGCGCCCTCGACCCTACTACCAACACTAGTTCCGAGCCGCCACCGTCCAGCCAACCCCGTCGGCGCAATAACAACGCCCAACAACAACAAGACTACATCGACGAAGACGCCGTCGAAGACGCCCTCCTCCTCCTGCAAGTCGCGCACAACACCCTCATCCACCACACGACCGTGGCCCTCGAGACCGCCGAGTGGGTCGCCGCCTTCACCGCGCACATCTCCACGGCCCCCTACCGGCGCGCGCGCTCCGCCGCCGCCGACGCCAGCTTCTGCATGGACGTCGGGCAGGTGCGCACCGGCGACGGGCCCGCCGACACCTACGCCCGCGCGCTGCAGGAGATCGCGCGCGTCACCGCCCCCGTCGCCTACGGCATCGCCGCCCGCTACCCCACCCTCCCCGCCCTCGTGCGCGGGCTAGAGGCCAACGGACCCCTGGCGCTCGAGGACTGTAGGAAGTGCGCGAATCGCGACGGCGCGTTTAGCGACAGGGTCGTGGGCCCCGCCATCAGCAGGAGGGTGTATAAGATTCTCACCGGCAGGGATCCGGGGAGTATGGATGTGTGAGGGGTGAGGGGTGAGGGGCGAGGGGCGAGGGGCGAGTGCGCAACCTACTGTACCCTAACTTAGGGTACGCTATACGACGAGAAAAAGGGGGAAGAGGGGGAAGGGGACTTCACCTCTTTTTATTGGGGTGGGTGGGTTGGTAATGGGGGGGTTTTTTTAAAAAAAAAAAATAACCAAGTCAGTCAGCCAGCTTTAGGCGTTGAATTATCTGCCTACTTACCTATGGATAGGAGAGAGAGGTGGGGTGCATAGGAAGAATCTTACATGCGGGCTACGATTGCATACCTAGGTACATACCTAATCTAGGAGAGGCATACAAACCTAACCTACCTACCGAAGTATATATAAGGTAGATAGATACCTAGATATGCCTCGGGGGAAGGGGAGAAAGGTAATGGCTCATACAAAAGAAGAAAAAAAAACTTTAGCGCGTTCATTATTTGAATATCCATTGATTTCAACGACTAGATTTATAACTATTGTCTCGTCGTTTCGGTTTTTGTTTGGCTACCTAAGGTGTATGTATATGTATGTACCTGTCTACTACCTCTTATGCAGATGTAGGACTTGTTTCCACCACGGCTTCACGCATGTGGATATGTAGGTAGGGAAGCCGCGTTACGGCTACATACATACATACATACATACATACATACATGCTCCAAGCTGGCCGCCATTATGTATTTCCGATCTATGAGTTTCTTCAGATTGATTAATTGGTTTCTTTTTTCTTTGTTCTCTTTTTTTTTTTTCTTTTGTGAGCGATATGCCTGTCTATCGTCGGGATTCTGCATCCCCCCTTAATAACAGGTACACTGGTGGCCAATAAGTACAAATATGCACGGTTTGTGCCACCAGGTATATGTAGGTACCGAGTTTCCATGTTCCATGCTAGGCTAAGAGACCAGCTGAACAGGAGCAGCGGAGTCGAAACCGAGTGAGGTAATTCCTCTGCGCATTACGTGCACACGATGGTGATGTGCAATATCAGAATTTCGATGCCAGGCCTCCCGTGGCTCCTTTCTTTCTTTTTTTTTCGCGCCTCTCGTTCTTCGCCTGGAATTCCTACCAAGCTACGCCGGATACTCGGATACTGCCGATGGCGGGTGATTGGTTTCTGGATCGGCGGGACGCTGGTGAGCAAGCCTCGGTGGCTTGCATAGCTTGGGACGCCTCTGCGCGGGCGGTATGGTATGTAGCTCCGCACAGTGTAGATGCTCTACGAAACCGGTATGATATGATCTCGGAGCTACTCTAAATAGCTTTAGGTAGTTTGGTGATGATGATGATGGCTGTGTTTATGTTCTCTGTCGTTCCTCATTAGCCGCCAGAAGCATCCTTGGAAAGAGCGAGTCCAGACTTCTTTGCTTGGGCTTCAAGATGGCGTCGATGCATCCCGGCGAGTAACGAAGGAATGGAGCCCAGGGCCTTCTCAATCCCGGCCTTTAGATTTCCTTGATGAAGTTGCGCGCAATTTTGAGTAGCCACGAGAGGCTTAGTCTTGTCGCCAAATTCCACGCATATAAGCTTCGCCGCGAGCTCCGATACACTGAACTGCACAGATGCCGGTTCCGGTATGGGCCAAAGTTCCTGTCGATGGAGAGATTGGATGGCTTTGCCCAGGGTCATCGCTTGACACGCGCCTTTTCCACCCCAATGTCCACATTGACATGACGACCATTCAGTTCGGATAAGACTTTGTATTATGTCGTCCAGGGGTTTCAGGAGGGCCTTTACCAAGTCCAAACGAATGCGTTTTATACTGTCTGTAATTTGATTTCATGAGTTATAGCTATCGGAAAGTACTAGATTTAACATACCATATATTCCCGGCGGTTCTAACGACCCAACATAATGTAGAGTATTGCCGGGTGAATTCGAACTATTCAGCAGTAAAGTTTGCGCCATTCCCTCGAACGTATCTCTGTCGCCAAGTTCCCACGAGATCCAAAGCCGCTCATGACAAAACCTAGATCGCAAAGATTGGCCAAGTTTGTCGCACTGTGAATGGGTGGAGCGCGACCAGCCTCTTGCCCAGGGCCTCAAGATGTGGGTCATGTCGTATTTGTCTGTGAGAACGCAGAGATTGTAGAAATGCGTGGTGTAGACGAAGTCCTCGTAGCCAGGGATTCGATCAAAACGGCCATGGATGATGTTGAGGATGATTTCCATCGCGATCGAATTATCTTCAGGTAGCTTGACAACCCATTCGCCCTTCCCACCTCGAGATTGCGATTTCTTGCCCTCGGCAAAATCCCCGTAAAGCATTTTTTTCCAAAAGGGTGATGATCTGGCCATGGTCTTCGAGCAGACTACAAATTCCGCCCCTAAACTGCCTACTACAAGGCATAGATCACCCTCCAAGTCAATATAACACCTAGGAGGTGGCACATTTACCTCCGCCTCAGAACCGACGTGAGAATGCGAGGCTGAAGTCCGTTTGCCGAAAGAGATAGGGGTGCCACAGCCGACCGCTGGGGAGGGAGACTGGGGCGTGATGGGAGTCGCATAACTGCTTGTCTGTGATAGGCTAGAACGTGAGATTGGCGTAGGAGTGACTGAGACTGAAGTTCCAAAGGAGAAAGAGCCCGTTTGCGACTGGGTTGGTTTGCTGATAGGAGTGATTCCAAAGAAAGGGCCAGGGGGAGGGCTCACTTGAGGGGTAGAGCTGCCGAAGATATTATTCGTCTGCGCAGTATTGCCAAATAGATTCGTCGGGGGTTGTTCAGGTTGAGGCGCAGATTCCCATGAGAACTTTTTTCGAGATCGGCCAGCAGCTTGAGAGGAGCCAAAGAGGCTGGTACTTCGAGAAGGGGTCGAGTGATGGCGCGATATTCCGGGTTGCGATGTTGGTTTTCCTGCCGGGGTAAAGGAGGGCTCGAACACGTTTCTAGATATCCTAGACGAGCTTTGTTTGGAATTCATGATTGGTCATTAGTCGTGTTGAAGTTTGTATAGGTTTTGAGTGAACGTATGAGGGTTTGAGTGTTTGGGTGTTTGAGTGTGTTGCTTGAATGTTTTATGCGCATGCGACTGATGTTCTATGTCTAGATAGTCACTCCCCCTAAGTCTTGATTGCGCCTTGAAGTTTGAATGAGAATATGATGCTTTAACAAAGGATAATGTTTAAAAATTAAAAATAAAAAGAGGGAGAAAAATAAAAAAGGAGAAGCGTTGTGTCGCGAGACGGGAAATGTATAGGGAGATACTAAGGACTCGGGAAGTATTGTGAGGATGTGTGATGTTCATGTACTCCGTAGGTGGAAATCTAATAGAGTGGTACAAGGGGGTACACAACTAGCTGAGCATCCGCCAGCGCCGTCAGCAAAGAAACAGTGCAAACATCGTCAACTTGAACGTCAACACTAACATCAACATGAACATCAATCAATCAATAACAACAACAATTATGATTTATTATCAATAATAATAAATATATCTTAAAGTCCATCGAAGCTTTGCCAATCGTGGATAGAACGGATACAACGGGGTATTTATGGGATTAATGGGATTTTATGTATTTGCGTTGAATGGAGTTAGAGCTTGACTGGGTAGCAAAGGGTATATGTAGTTAAGTTAACTACCTAGTTAGTTAGTTAGTAGTAAAAAAAAAAAAGCTACTGGGCTTTGGCTGGGTACATACATAATAGCTGCTGGGTAGCTGCTGGGTTAAAATTGATTGAAGCCCTGGAGGTCGCGGATACCCTCACACCGCTCAACGCATTGGCCATTGGTGCCACCGGTGCCACTTCCCTTACGGATCCGTACATAGTTAGTACATACATATGTACCTAGTCGTACTACCTACATAATCGTACCTTTTTTTTTTTCTTTTTTTTTTTTTTTTTCATCTTTTTCTTTTTTTCTTATTTCGTACATAGGTAACTAACTACCATTTTTCCCAACGAGCCAACCCTTCGCGGACTTGCAGATGCCAGATGCTCTAATATTTTTTGACGATGAAAAGCACAAATCAACGACAAGCACGAAGCCTCAAATGCTCCACTATCAATTTAGCTACACCAGGTACCTAGTATGTACTAGTTAGCTGTCCCACATCTGGATGGATACGTGTAACCTGTGCTGTCCCATAAACGACGTCCCTTGTGGGGTCCACCCCCCTTTTTTCTGACGACCTTTTTTTCTCTTGATCCACAACTCATGCAGTATTACATCCTCCTTCCCTTCTTTCAAGAACTGTTCGACCTTAAAAAAACGTGTACCATTCGATACAGCACAACATCAAGTCGGGGTGCATATTCGCCATCGCGGGAGATCTTTGATCTATCTATCTATCATCGATAATAGAACCATTGTTGCCCACCCGGTTCATCGGTTCACGATGCTGGAGAAACCTTGTGGACTTGCGGGGGTTTGTTACTTGGCAACTGAGAGCCTCTCTCCAGAGTCCAGCCTGTTCAACCTTCCCAGCGGCCTTTTAGGCCTTTTAGAAAATCATCAAATCCTTCCCTTCTAGTCTCGGGAGCCAGACCTTGAACTACCTGAGTCCCGTTTGAGAAGTTTGCATACCCCAGCCCACATCGTCAACTCGCCAGCCAATAACACCTACATATACATGGCTAACAGAACTGGAGTATAATTAAATGTTCAAAAGCACCAATGTAAGACATAGTGGAATATCTCTTCATATCTAATAACTCGAGTGCATAGTAAATTTCACTGATTGGGAATCAGAGTACATATTGCGCCACAACTCCGAGCCCACTCTGCTAATTGGCCATGTAGCCCCCTTTTCACTACCTATTTTGGTATTCTCGTGACTTGGATTGAGATACGTTCAATGCAGGTTAGCAAATTGCTAATTATAATCGATTTTTGATGTATTACATGCAGGAACTATACGAGATGTCAAGATATGCAGTACACCGAGCCATCGTTTGACTATACCAAATCCCCCACCTACCTGAAGTACTGACATGTAGGTTAGACAATCAATTCCTATAAGAGCGCAAAGGGAAAGTACTGTGATACGATCTCCACTGTGAGAAATGAAAGAATAATCAGAAACTAGCCATAAGTCCACAAGAAAATCCGTTACCGGATAGAACTAGTTAATAGGCAATGCCAGAAAACTGCTTTCAGCACCTGCAGTTAAGACATCGCGATGTCAGAAGTGAGTCTCGAGTAAAATCCTTATTTACCTTATTACTCTTTTAAAGTTGCTATTATTACTGCGGCTTTCTCTCCGGTCTCAAGTATTTCGATTACCATTGTCATATATATATATTATAGCGTGAAAGTATGTGTGGAGTAAATAATTTATAACCTTAAATAATTTAAAAATAGGATATTATTTTAAAGGTTTAAAGTACCTTCCTACCTTATTTTTTAAGGTAGGTATAAGTGTTAATTATTTAATTATTTCGATTAAATAAAAAATGGTAATTATTTGAATTTTGTAAATTAAACATTATAATTTAAGTTAAATAATAATATTATATGCAATTATTTCATATTTTGCAATTATTTCTTATATAAATCTAAGAAAAACCTAATTTTAATATTTATTTTTATATTTTCTTTAATATTTTTTAGTTAATACCACCTTTTCTTTTTTTTTTAATATTATAATATATTTTTTTTTAAAAAAATTTTCTTTAATATTATAATATATTATTATCTTTAATAACTATCTTTAATAATTATTTTTAATAACCACCTTTAATTATTATTTTTATTAAAACATTATAACATATTATTATTTTTAATAATTATTTTTAATTATTATTTTCACCATTATTTTTAATAACTACCTTTAATAACCACTTTTAATAACCATTTTCATTATTATCTTTAATAACCACCTTTAATAATTATTTTTAATAACCACTTTTAATAAAACATTATAACACATTATTAAAATATAACATCACTACCACCTTTAATTACCACCTTTAATTATTACTTTTATTACCACCTTTATTACTATTATAATATATTATTTTTTTCAAGTATATATATCCTTACTTTATAAGAAAAGAATTTTTATTAACTTTTACCATTTTAATAAATTTTTTTAAGTATTTATTTTTCATTAAAATTAATGGTTAATTTAATTTTTTAATTCTTATATATATAAATATAATAATTAAATAATATTAATAAAAAAATTTAAAAGATTTTTTACATCGATTAAAACGATATTTAACGAATAAATTAAGTTTTATTAATTAATAAATAAGTATTTTAATTAAATAAGTGAAGTTATTATTATTATTTATATATATTATAACGTGAAAATATAAGTGGTAAAAATAATTAACCTTTAAGAAATAATTAGAAATAACTTATATTTATAACTTAATTTTTATTTATTTATAATTAATAATTATTTATAATTAATAATTATTTATAATTAATAATTATTTATAATTAAAAATTATTTATATTAAGACATTATTTACATTTAAAAATTAATTTAAATTTGGAAATTATTTTTAATTAAGACATTATTTCTTTATTTAAGTATTATTAAATTATATATATATATTTACCACTTTTATTTTTTATTTTATATATACTTTATATTATATATATATATAAATAATAATAATAATTTCACTTATTTAATTAAAATACTTATTTATTAATTAATAAGACTTAGTTTATTTGTTAAATATCGTTTTAATTAATGTAAAAAATCTTTTAAGTTTTTTTATTAATATTATTTAATTGTTATATTTATATATATAGGAATTAAAAGATTAAATTAATTATTGATTTTAATGAAAAGTAGGTATTTAAGAAAATTTATTAAAATGGTAAAAGTTAGTAGAGATTTTTTTCTTATAAGGTAAGGATATATATATTTGAAAAAAGTAATGTGTTGTGGTGGTGATGAAGGTGGTGATAAAGGTGGTGATGAAGGTGGTGATGAAGGTGGTGATGAAGGTGGTGATTGAAGGTGGTGATTGAAGGTGGTGGTGGTGTTGTGTTTTGGTGATGTGTTATGGTGTTTTGTTAAAGGTGGTTATTAAAGATGGTTATTGAAGGTGGTGTTGTGTTTTGGTGATGTGTTGTGGTGTTTTAATAAAGGTGGTGATTAAAGGTGGTTATTAAAGGTGGTTATTAAAGGTGGTTATTAAAGGTGGTGATTAAAGGTGGTTATTAAAGGTGGTTATTAAAGGTGGTGTTATGTTTTAATAATGTGTTATAATGTTTTAATAAAGGTGGTGATTAAAGGTAATTATTAAAGGTGGTTATTAAAGGTGGTTATTAAAGGTGGTGATTAAAGGTGGTTATTAAAGGTGGTTATTAAAGGTGGTTATTAAAGGTGGTAATTAAAGATGGTGATTAAAAATGATTATTAAAAATAATTATTAAAAGTGGTAATTAAAAATAATTATTAAAAATAATTATTAAAAATAATTATTAAAAATAATTATTAAAGATAATAATGTGTTATAATGTTAAAGAAATTTTTTTAAAAAAAAAATGTGTTATAATGTTAAAAAAAAAAAAAAAAAATGGTATTAACTAAAAAATATTAAAGAAAATATAAAAATAAATACCGGGATTAAGTTTTTCTTAAATTTATATAAAAAATAATTATAAAATATGAAATAATTATATATAATATTATTATTTAACTTAAATTATGGTGTTTAATTTATAAAATTTAAATAATTATTATCTTTTATTTAATCGAAATAATTAAATAATTAATATTTATACTTACCTTAAGAAATAAGGTGGGAAGATATTTTAAACCTTTAAAATAATGTTTTATTTTTAAATTATTTAAAATTATAAATTATTTATTCCACACGTATTTTCATGTTATAATATATATAATGTAAGGTATATATAAAATGAAAAATAAAAGTAATAAATATATATATATAATCCAATAATATTTAAATAAAGAAATAATGTCTTAATTAAAAATAATTTCCAAATTTAAATTAATTTCCAAATGTAAATAATGTCTTAACATAAATAATTTCCAATTATAAATGATTGCTAATTGTAAATAATTACTAATTAAGTCATGAATATAAGTTATTTCCAGCCATTTCCTAGGGGCCAATTATTTCCGCCACTCATACTTTCACGCTATGGTATATATATATATATACTTCGACGTTTCACGGAGCTGTTTAACCCATGGATTGATGACATTAAGCCTAAGACAAAACTACGAGTCTCGACTAACTTCTAATGCCTCATGTCTAGGTGCTTTAGCGACACCGTCTTGATCACTATGAAACTTGAGCAACACGCCCTGCATACCCGCTTACCTAATAGCCTTGCTAGTAAATTCGTATAAGCAAACACAATGCTAAGTACTAATCTCTATCCGCTCTTGCGGGCCAAGTTGCGGCATTGAAATTGAATACTCAAGTCTTATCTACCTAGGTAGGTATGTTTGCTAAATTTGTGTAAGGCGAACTGCCTAGCCCACTCGATGCTACGCTGCTGAGCTGTCGAATTCGGAACCCAGGCCAGACTACCTAAATATGTGACGATCTACAAATCGCGTCAATCGCGTTCGCTAGCCAAGAGCGAAGCTACGTGGGCGCACTAGCTAGGTAGACGAATGCGGAAAACAACCTTGGAAGGGTTCTAGCTCGTTCTCCCGGGCAGGCTTGCCAGGCCATCTCCACATCAGCGATCGCAATCGCATTCCAGCCTGACCTAGACTAGCCCTTCATTTCGTCGCAAAGCGCATTTTCGCCACCCGCGAACCCTCGAGCTGAGAATTATTGCGCCAGACTCCAAAGGGGTTTTGGAGGAAGTTGAGGTCAGCTTCCCCCACGAAACATGACTGACTTCGGGTTAGTTATAGGTGAAAGAAGCCTATCGCGAATCTGGCAATCTCCCTTTGTAGGGATAGCTGCATGCGCGCGCTATGATCGTTCATCAGTATGACAGCTGTGGCTATTTTGCCGGCGCAGTCCATGAGCTGTAGAGGAAGCTGAGGAAGCTGAGGAATCTATGAAATGCTTAAGTCTCGGCCGAGAGGCTACCTACATATGTAGGTAAAGGAGGTAGTTTGTCCCCTAGAGTGCTGTCAATATCTTGATAGCGGCAGTACTAACCTAGCAACTGTAAACTGAACGAGCGACAGCTTCGTGGCTCATAAATCATCGTAACTCGTGATCACTAATAGGCTAGCGCTTATCCTGCCCCGTACCCAATGATAACGCCGACAATGTCAAACACAACGTGCAAACCCAATAGTTTTCTTAGCTGTGGCACATATATCAATCTCAAGCCTGCGTGAAAGAGAGTATCTTCATATTCCCGTCAACTACCTGGATACCTAGCCTTACGTATTTCCATCTATCAGGGTGTCAACTGCTGATCTCGCAGTAGTTGTCTGCCATGGCTCTTACCGCATTCCCACTCTTGGACAATGACTCTCATTAGATGATGTGCTCGAAGAGAGCAAAGCTTTCAATCTCTAAGAACGGGCGGTGCCGGCTCTTGAAGCTCTTTGAGGCTAGTCCGTGCTAGCTAGTTGTAGGATATCAATATAAGATACCTAATCTTTAAATTAACATGTTATATGCTTGAATTGAATCATTGTCTCGTCGGATTGAGGGGACCGAGAGTTGAATGGGTATCTCAGTCACGCACGCTTAGCTTGTGGCGGGCTGGAAAATAGGAGGTGATCTTAGAGGCAGTAGAAAAGCTTTAGTATTGTATGGGGCGCTCCTCCGAAGAGTATGCTAATGGAAGATATCATTTAGGGCAGTCTTGGTGTTTTCCTTCCCACCCTCCCAAACAATGCGGAAATCTGTAGAACCAGACAGAGTTGTCATGATCGGAGGCGAACAAGTCCAACTTTCCCCTGCTGTGGCATTTCGCTCCAGTAGAGGAGGCCACGATGGGTTAGAGTCTCCACCATCACACATGCGTTTGTATAAACGATCTTTCAGGGTCTTCAATTGTTCGTCATCTGCCTGCTCCAACAATTCGGTGGCTCGACGCACGAACTTAGACAACGTCTCATGTTGCATACGCTCGAACTCTTCGATTTTTGCTGTCAATTGGGAATCATCTGATGAGACTCGCCATGGAAAATGTTTCTTGAACAGCTCTTGAAGACTATTCCATTCAGTCCGCTTATCAGACCCTTAGCGAAACTCTGCCGACCCGAAGAGGAAGAGTCAACGCAGTGCAGTGGTGGAGTCATAGTCCCGAAGTTGAGCTGCAACACCAGCTTTGACGCGTGTCCCTGAGCCTATGTACAACTTTGGCTGGTGACCAGGCTTTTCGGCAATAAGGGCATAAATACCCCACGAGTTTTCGCGTGGTGGTGGCGAGTCACCTTAGCGATATGCTTCTTGCTAGTCAAATGTCTATAAGTTAGGACCTGGCGGCCTCACTTCTTCACGGTCGTTGTGATTTAAGACGAAGGGTGATTTTCTAGAGTCTGTTTTTAGGATATCTATTGATCCATCAAAGAAAATACCACTATTTCTGAGTTGACCAGTGCTGATCAAGTTCACAGGTGCCTCTAGGTAATAGTTCGCAAGGCTGAAGTTCCAGTCAGGTGGCTCTTCGTTGCAGCCCTGGCAGTTGACTTTCCATTCCGGCGGTGGGTCTGTAGGCTCCGTTGGCAGTGTCTCGCCGCTGTATGCTCTTTGAACGTTCTAGTTGTATGTCTGGTTGTTGTGCTACCTGTAGACTTCGACGACGGCAATAGACCACCTGAACTTTGTCTAAACTACGCCGGCAATCGATCGTTTGCAGATGGTTCAAATTGTGGTGGCAATTCATCGTTGTTAATTGGAGACTGTCTAAACACCGGCGGCAATTGATTATCTATGCACTCTGTCAACGACGGCAATCATTGGATATCGGTAGATTGTGACGAGACCCTTAATGGACAGTGGCAAGTTGATGGCAGCGGAAATAACCATTTCCTTAATATCTGAATCTGGCCGTGCTACCCATCTAAGCCCACGATTCTAAAGAGACCCTTTGGAGGCACAACTCTTGGGAGTATTGTATCCCCTTTAGCAGTTGTATAGCCTGGTGGTCAGGCATCTTAAAATGCTCTAGCTGGAGGGCCCATTCGTTATTCTCTCGCATGACGCGGCGCTGTGAATCGGATAGGACGGATGTCTAACACGAGAGGGCCTTGCTGCGGAACAGTTGGTGCATTTGTGCGGCAATCTTCGTAGCGGTGTGCCGGTACGGCCTTTACGGATTGTACTAATGTCCTTAAGCTTCCAGCCATCGAGCTGGCGACGACTCTCGACGTTTTCTTTGCTGCGCCATTTGGTTAAGGCCGAATTTGTCTAATGCCTATCCCAGTTTACCCTTATAGTTAAATGCCAGTTGGATGCCCGCCATTATTTCCTGGATTTGTTGTGCTGAGTATAATATAGTAGTGACAGGCCCACCTGTCACATGCCCTCACACGCGCTTGAAGCGCTCCTTCTTCTAGATTAGCTTAGCCTAATCTAGGTATATAACTAGATCGCTGAGATCTTCGGATCTCAGCTAACCTTAGAAATACAAGCCTCTTTGATCTACTATCACGATACCATACCAAGACTAACAGTTTTCGTGCGTCGGCGGGGATAATGTCCGCATTCAACGGAGAAAAATGGGCTGGCCCTTTGGGCGGTAACAACGGTGGTAGGCGTGGGGGCTGCTGCAATGGCAAAGGAGGTTTTATAGGTGGGGACTGCTGTAATGGCAGAGGGGGTACTACTGGTGTGAGTGGTGCTATTGACGGTGGTGACTGGGGTGGTCGAGGTGCTGTTAATCTAACAAGTAGAACGACAACGCGAGCAGGTAAGGTAAATGATTATACGAAGAAAGGTAAGAATAAAAGGCAATCATATGAATGCAACATAGAGAACTGATAGAGGTGGGACGTCTCTATCAAGGACCAGAAGTCCCCTCTACGGCGATTCGATAAAAATCGTCGGCAGGGCGAAAGGTGGTTGTAGGTGGAGCGGTAGTTTAGAAGGGAGCGGGAGTCCCCAATCGGCTGCTATGAGCATCCTATGTAGTACGTTTGCCCATTCCTCTGCGCCGAAGTTAGAATGGCCGGGGATCAGCAATGTCTTGCTAAATTTATCGGTGACGGTAATCAGTGAATCATAAAAAAGTCGTAACCACATGGTACCTCTGGCGTCTACTTTGGGTAACCCGACAATGAAGTCTATGGCAACAGCTGGCCACCCGTAGATTGAGATTCGTGCGACATTGTGTTTATTGTTCTTACCGACTTATATTGGTTGTTTTGTAGACGAGCGAACTGTAAGGCATATCGAGTTTGTTTAAAAGACAAGTAGCCCATGAACTCTCATCTAGTTGGATATCTCGCACAGATGACAACCTCGTACAAACTCATAGTCCAATTGGAATGAATACAGTTCGTTCTCTTGAGCTTTTACACGCTTGGAGAGAACTTGATGGACTGATGAGGAGAGCCCATTCATGCTCTCGAAGACGTCGCGCAACTGGCGCAAACACAGGATCTTGACTCCTCATCTGCTGATCAAGAATCACTACAGATGTAAACTTAAGCCATAGCTGATGGCCAAGATAGTGAGTATCATCTTCAAACTGAGATTGAAGGCAGTCTATTCACTCGGTGTTGGACTTTGGGGGGTTTTGGATATACCACTGAGCCGAGAATCGAAGAAGTCGAGGAGGACGACGGACCACCCACTCCTGCTCCAGAACGTCCCCCACCTGCCGCCGCCGAACATTTCGGGTACACAATCGAGAAAGAGGATGACGACTGCGCCGAGTCCGACTCCTCTCCCCTCGCTCAAGACTTCGGCTACACTGCGGAAACGTACACCCACACGGACAACGTTGAAAGGGAGAGTATTATCTCCGCCTACGATTCAGATCCGCGTCTCGCGAAGATCATCCGAGAGCTGAAGTCTCGAAAGCAAAAGGACCGTTCGGTCAGAAATTTCAGATACGTACTCGGGGAAGATGGTCTTCTATGGACCGAAGGCCGGGATGGCAGAAGGAGACTGTGTATAAGATGGCTAAGGTATTCGTCCAGGTTCACCCCCCGTCCTTGGGCTTGTCTCCGAGCTCGCGAAGGTCGGGTGCCAGGGAGTTGTGGATCTGGCCAGCTTGCTGCTCGGCTGTGGTCAATCGGCAACTCTTGGCGTATTGAACCAGTTCCATAGACCAAGAGATGATGTCAGCGTTCTGGACGAGCTTAGTTTCGTCGTACGTCATGGCCTGCATCTTCTCGAGAGCGCCAGTGGGGTCAAGTCTGTAGGCCTCAGTGATCTTTGTCAGTGCATATTTGAGACTGTTACGACTGCATGCCTGCTGATCCTGCGTCAGGCGAGCATCAAAACGGTGACCCCGGTTTGATGTATAGTGGATGAGGCAGGGTCGTGAAATGGGGTAGATGCTGGTTCGTAATGGGGTTTCTGATTGCATATTCGGTGACGACTGAATTATTCACTTCTCCAACTTAATATGCATCGCAACTTGAACATCTGTTGAAAACGTTCAGTATGATTTTCCAATGAGGACCTTTGAGGCATCCGTCCCATATAGGCCTGGAGTGTCTCTCGCACAAGCCCGCTAGGTAAAAGAAAATTAAAGCTAGTTCCCCATCTGTCATCTGTTGAACTCATGGAGCTTCCTTAATAAGATCGTGCCAAATGTCCTCGATGCTGCTATAATTGATGGACAGGAACCTGTTTCATGGGACAAGTAGACCCAGACGAATCAACGCAGCTCGACAATACAAGCTACCTTCACCAAAGTTAAGAGAATATTGGTGGTACGGTAGTGATCTGTGCGTTGGGCGCGTACGTGGCGAGCCAATTTTCACACACCATCACACTTGAGCAGCCGGTATCAGCACACACTGTTGTTTCTCTGGAGTCCTCGAGTGTTACAGGAAACTGCATATACGTGTATGGCACCAGTTTATTGTCGGTGCTTAGATGCCCTTCCAGTGGCTCGGCTATGATGGTGTCAAGAAAGTCGTCTGACATGAAGGCATCTTCGTTGTTGGCACGGGTTTGGGAATCGACGGCTTTCGGAACCGGACGGTTCCCACAGACATGACCGATGGCGCCAGTGAGAAGGGGGGGTGAATAACTTGGCAGCGACAACAACGTACTGGCAAAACCTTCCATCCTCCAACTGTTACAGGTAAGGCTGCAACCAGAAGGAAAGAAGATGAATGGGAGAAAGCGCCTCCATATCTCTTGGCCTAATAAATGCCAGCAGATGCTTCGGGAGCCTCTTCCATTGACGAGAGGTTAGTCAACTGCAGCTTATCAGGAGCGGCAGAGAGACCATTTAACATCCGTTCGCTGAGCGACTAAGGTTGGTCAGAACTGTCGTTAGGGGAGAAAACCAGCAACGAGGCGCGCCAAATGTGACGCCGCTCCTCGAGGTGATCAATCCAGTCGTATAATGGTACACCGGCCTCTAAGGCTATGAATGACAGGACAACAATGGTCAAAAACGAGATGTGTTCAAGAAGTGAGGATATATGACCAATAACCTGAAGTTAACGTCGAGACGGTTAGAAATTGCGGTCATGTGCTGCATAGTAATGTCCATGCCAAGGGAACGACAGTAGCCGATCACTTCGGCTGCCTAGGTTTGGAGCTGGACGCGCTTGAGACATTTGTCCTTTGAGTAGCAGGCTTGGTCCAATTTCTCCATGGCAGTCATTTATTTAACTTGAACTGGTTGAAATGAACCTCAAAATGCCCAGAGTGTACAGGACTAGCCCTAAGCTGACTTTTGGACTCTGTCCGATGCGTGGATAAGGAGTAATGACCGAGTTTCCAATGTGCTTGCATGTGCCAAACCATGAGAGATAAGAGGGCGGAAGGATTAAAGACACCAGAGCCTGAGGTTGCTACTGGCTAGAGTCTTTCGTAATTGTGAGGGTTCTGGCCACGAGGAAAGCATGAGGCGAGTTGGCATGGAGGAGAAGTCGTGGAAACATTCGGCTGAATATGGTATAGAATGTATATATGGCTTTAGGACGAAAGAAGCCAAGCGGGAGGGAATCCAAGAAAAGCCAATGAAGAAGAACGATCATCTCTCAGACCATGGAATATGAATCTTCAATAGACGTAGGTCCTTGGCTGATAAGTGCGAAGAAACAACAGTCGAAAGATCCAAGGGATCCAAGGGATGCATCAACTCTGGAGGGGCGGAAGCTTTCTTCCAGTGCTTTTCGAAGATGTTGAGTCCAGTGTATGAAGTTTGCAACCTAAGTCAATGATACTGTAGGTGTTCAGTAGTTACTTATATCATGAACGTAGACGGCGTCGAATGGATGAAAGAGGGTGCGATACCAAACGACATGATCGATGGAAAGGAGACGAATTCAGTTACAACCCTGCTGTAAAAAGGTCGAATGACTGACCTGAGATTTGATGTCCCTGTATCAGGTTTCATGAGCCGTAGAATGAATTTCGGTGAAGCGAAATATGGTACAAATACACAGTACATCTGGGGTAGGCATACTTGTATATGTAGAACCTGTTAGATTAGGGTCCGTCTGTTGATTTCGGCATCCTAGAAGCATTCATGTCGTAGGAATCTCTGAATACACCGGCATATCGTTGCTGCTCTCTTAGGAAGTGTAAGAGGGTCCAAATCGTCACAATATGATTTGGCCGCTGTGTGCCGCAATAGCGTATCCATCTGACGTTGAATGCACGCGTTGCTATTCTTAAGTCCCACGATTGCGCGACTGAAAGTATGCTGACCTTCGTGCATCATGATTGTAAAGGCCCACTGGGAGTCTGGATGGACCCGCCACTGGTAAAATAAAAAAGGCGATCGCGTCGAAGAGGGTCAGATACTTGGCCGAGGAAGTGTGCCTCGTTATCTCGTCTTGGGTGCACACTGGGTATGCGTCGCTGAGTACGCTCTTGCTCTGGATGAGTTGGATGTCTCAATTGTACACCAGGCAGGAGGCCATGATAACTTGAAGTTCCTAGTATGAGGTAGAGCAGACCTTAGCAGTTAGTATAAATACAGAAACCAGAACCAAAGAATGATTTAGCTGGGATGAAAACTTACCTAGGCTACGTAGTGCCTATGATTGTAGGGCAATAAGAACATAATAGCGCCTTTGCTGATGAGCTTGATGGTTGTTGCAAAGGTGACTGGAGAAGGTCAGCTAACCTAGCCTTCAACATGAGTAGCAAATGGGGTTGTAGCACACCATTACTTACTTACATCTCATCGAATAAATAAAATTGATGAGCCTTGATGAAAAAACTTGGTAGTTGGCAGCATGATTTTGACCAATGATGCTCCAAACACCAACCTCATAGGTTAGGGAGTCTTGGAGCTCTTGATCATGCCAACGATTATGGCAAAGAGTGATGGGAAAAGTTGGGATATTCCCATTAGGTCTTGTGTACCTAGGTATGGTGACTGAAGTATGGAATCCTGCTCACGTTTCATGTTAAAAGCAAAAATGAAATCTTTTGTCATTTTTTTGACTCATGGGAACCTTGCACCAGACTCTCTATCCTGAATGTATACTATTGTACCACCCCCTATTGTAGTCCACAATGGTTAACCTTGCCATATGGGAAACTCTATGATGAGGTAGTTTTCGACAGTAAAAGAACAGGAGAATAGGCAGGTGCCTACTGTACCTACAAGAAGTGATTTGTACTTATGAAGTACCATTTGTTAAAAAAAGAAGAAAAGAAGAGATCTCCTGGGCCTCCATTGGGGAATATACCCCTTCTATTATGGATGACGATTCCCGTTTCATTCCACCGTCCTTCTACCCCCCCTGTATACCAGAAAGATAAAAATTAGATCCCACATCAATCATCAGGTATTGCTCATAGAGGCGGATGACAGCCTTTACGCAATAATTCGACAACTACCTAGGGTAGTCACCCGTATATCCCCTAGGTTAGGTAGGTACCTAGTAAGTTTGGAGAGGCCGTTTGGTTATTATAATGTCGCATTTCCGAACGAATAGTTGCTGCCTTTATATAAATATATCTTAGCGAGGATAGTCTTTGGGACGAGCTTGATTAGTGATTGCTGATGAATTCGTTATCCCATAATTACACACTTCCGGGCCGCTCATTGAACATGTCACTCCTCCTATGCTTCCTTCCGTTGGAAGGCTTGCTTGCGGTGTCTTCCTTCGCTTTCGCCATGTCATCCGTCGCCTTGATCGCATCCTCAACATCTCGAGCAGCTTCTCCATCATCAGGAATGCCGTTTTCCACGGGGGGCTGCAACCAGCCATTCTTATCAACTTCCACAATCTTTTCCATGAAGATATCACCCATTTTGAAGTAGCCAATATCAGTAGGATGCATGTCATCAGGTCCGATATCCTCACGCTCAACGCGATTCGGCAAGCCTTGATCGAAATGCATTTCCGCCAACGTCACGGGCTTTCCTTCGCGGATCAAATCGGTGGCTACTTGACGTATCTGCGCATTAGCGCTCTTGACACATCGTTCTACACCATCCCACGGGCTTGTTATAATGGTTGACATGATGACTGTAGCTTGCGGTGACTCTTCGAAGAGGACATCGACGAGTTCGCGCATGGATTGTAGGATGTACGCAGGTCCCCAATTTGATTGAAAGCAATCGCTAGAGCCAGCATTGATTAGGAATAAGTTCGGCTGGACCTGTGGCACGATTTCTTTTAGACGCTCGAGGGTAGGTTTGATTGGTTGGGCACCAAATGCTTGAACATCATTGTCTTTAAAGTCACCGTATCGATTCTGGAGGTGCAAGATATGTTAGCATGACATAGAGTTCTACTTTGAGCCTCACAGCAGCCGAGAACACATACCTGACCGACATAGTTGACTGGGTTGCCTCTAGAGACAAGCCAGTCACGAATCTGCTTCCGGTAGCCCACCTCCCCGGTTGAGTGTTCGCCTAAGGTCATCGAGGCGCCAATAAACATGACGCGAAGGGGAATTCCACCTGCCAGAGGACCAGATCCCATGCCATTTGCGCCAGCGGATTGGGTGAGGTGATTCCATCCATCGCGAGCAACTTCAGGAGTAGGTTGAACACATATGACAATTGCGAACAATAAGAAAGCAGATGTGACTAAGATTTTGTGAATGGCAGGCAGCTGTTTCCAGCGCAGTTGAAGCGCAGAGAAAGGCGACAGCATTTTGGTATTAAACCCATTTGCTCTTGGGTGAAGTAGTGAAGTAGTGAAGTAGTTAGTGTGTAATAAGAGATAATTACTAAGGTTAGCTACAGAGTATTAAAAACAAGATATTTTAGAAAACAAGTTTACGCAACATGCTTCATCCTGTCAGCATCAGCCACCAGCTCCAGGGGTGGTCATCGTCGTTCCGAGGCCTCTAACATACGAGGTAACGGCGTTGGCTGGAATCCCCGCCAATCCCCGCTCATTAAGTTTTGAGTTAGATTTATTACCGGAAACTGCAGGTGGGAACGCCCTGGCGTCTAACTCTATCTGCGTGAACAGGGGGGGGTTCTACGATTTAGCTTTGCTTAGCATATGGTGAACCGGGTGTTCGGCTCCGTCTAGCATGTGTTCAGGTCCTTAGGATAAGACAGGTGATGCTAAACAAACCCTAAAATTCATAGAAACGGTGATCAACGTTTAGCAAATAAATGTTTATAGAAAATGATAGGCATTTGATGTGTCATATATATTCATGCCCCTTTTCCCAACGGCCTGGATTACCTACTTGAGGCCCCGGCCGATAGCATACGGCAAGCTCGGTGCAATTTGTCAAATACATCTTATAGGCCGAACGCGAGCGCGAATCCACTTCTATAAAAAAAGAACTTTTCAAATTTAGTACACACATGCAGCTTTCGCCCGTAATCGTACCTACGTACCAATTATCGATCATTAAGTAGGTACCTACATACTTCCAAGGGTTGTGGAGCAGCGAGCTGACTATCCGAACCCAAGCCTTTTTAGGCTAGATCTCTTCTTTTCAGCTTGCCTTTTTTTTTTTTTTTTTTTTATTACAGAAGGGACTTCGGGAAGTTTGATCGTTCAGATTGGAAGAGATCCAGGCGCTGTGCAAACGCGTAAATTCAACACTAAATCCGGCTCAACACAGCATTGTCAACCGGTAATGACCGTATAATCTTGGCTTCAAATCCTCATTGATGTCGGTTAATCCTATATACATGTAATCGCATGGCTGGCTATATATAACACGCCGTTCGTGGAACCCAAAGACACAATACTAGCCACGCCGAAGCACCTAGGCAGCATGATAGGAGCCATGACTAGGCACCTAGCGCTGAATATGTATCCACGACTTTCTATGCCGTGAACGGGACCTCTACCAGCTTAGCAGCCGCCGCCTTTTCTGCCGCAGCCACCTGGAATGCGTTGACCAAGGCCGGGTACCAGACATTCATCATCTTGGTGTCGCCCGCATCGTTGGGGTGCACACCGTCACGTAGGTCGCTGGTGCCACTGAAGCCCGTGTACTGATCCACGACCCAGATGGGCGACTCGGTGGTGTTGAGGCCTTGCGCCCATGGGATGATGGCTGCGTTCAGGGCCTGGATCTGGGTGTTGTAGCTGCCGAGGCCCATGGGGATGATTTGAGCGACCTAAGATGGGGGTAGGTGGTGTGAGATCATCAAGGCTAATTCTCACAGAAATGATTTAAAGGGGTAAAATATCCACAGGAAAAAGGGAGATAGGGGCCCCGCCGGGGGCTGGGGTTGAGGTTGGGGTTGGTGTTCTAGAGCCACTTACCACAATCTTCATATTGGGGTTACTGTCCCGCATATTCCCAACGAGGGTCGTGAACGCCGCGATGATTTGATCAACCGGCTTGTTCTGTTGCACAATGTCGTTGGTGCCTAGGTGCATCGTAATGACATCCGCCGGGTTCGTGTTGAGCCAACCGACGAGCTGCTTGCTGTTGGCGATGTTGATGGCAAGGAAGCCCGAGTGACCCTCGTTGTCGCGATCGTAGGTGGTGTCCCGACAATTGTTTTCGGTCTTTCCCGACCCGACCCAGTCCACCGTTCCCCACTCCGTCGTCTTTAGCTTCTCCCAGAGCTTCGCGCGCCAGCAGATGATCTCCGTGATGGAGTCGCCAAAGGGCATATACCGAAGTGTAGCATTCTGGGCGGCGGCGGCGCCCAAAAGCACGGCGAAGGACAGGAGAGGCTTGCAGAGCATTTTTGATACTTGAACAGACTACACAGTTAGGGCTTGGGGCTCGGATGGGGTATTTTCAGAGTTAGATCAGTCCTAAGCCTAGGGTTTATAGAATTCTATGGAGTCTACATAACACCAGTTCTCCGCATCGAGCTTTTCATATCATGATAGCTGGTTCCAATTAAAGGTGTTCCGTCAACTTATTCTCAACTTCAGCCAAGAACGGCTAAATGAAGTCGCCGCCTATGGGTGTGAAATAGCAATATAGACGGCTTAATACACATTGGGGTTTCTTAACCCCACGGAAGTTTAATTCCGAGATCTTGGGGTAAGTGAGGGTATAAGAGGACGAAGTATCCTTTCAACCAGGTTCACGAGCACATGGGGCCCACGTGGAAATAGAGTTATTGTAGGACTCCTAGACAAGGCGTGGTGAGTTCAACTATTTAGTGTCTCAAGGGGAATAGCTCGTCGTCGATACGATGGACAGCCTTTCAATATATTACATACTTACCAGCAGCTATAGGGTCGCTGTAAAAATTAGTACTAGGTACAGTTACGTATTCGAATTCTGTAGTAATTAGGCTTGATTACCTAGGCAATTACCGAGGTATTTGCCTATATATTAAGTCCTCCTAATTATAGACCATAATAATTTAGAATACTCCCTCGAGGAGGAGTATCGACTAAAGTGTTCCCCAAAGAGTGTAGGCTAGATGCTACAAATGTAATTACTTAATATACGGATACGTCTATAGTATGCTGAATCTCCTCGAATACCTTCTGAACTCCGGTGGGATTATATGTAACTCTTGCGTTGCCACATTGCTGAGGTCAGTAAGGTTACTATGAACGGAGGCGGCCTATAGTTCTGTCTGCTCCAGTTCGACTTAGTCAGGAGCCTGCTTAAAAGACTCATTCAAATCGATAATAGAAGAACATAGATACCTACTTCCGATACTGTATTGATATATTACCGACTCGGTAGAACATGCGACTTTATATGCATGACTACTACAAGCTCAATGTTCAGAACCATCAGATACGCGCTTGTCAATGTCGTAGGCATTGATCCATAGCTAGACTGGAAAAACACAAAATTGATAGCAGTAAATTTTACATATTTATCTAGTATCGGATTGGAGAAGACGTTATATTAACTGCGTTTGACTGAGCGAGAGTTCTAGGAAGTGTTACCATTGCGACGTTGTCCTAAAACAAAAGGGGGCGGGGTCAACACCAAAAGCTATGAATTCAGGGGTAAGCCAAAAAAGAAATCAGCAACTATGATTTTTTTTTTGAAAAAGAAATGAAGAAGAAAAGAAACGAGCAGAGAAAAGGCAACTTAAAAACTCGAATGTAAGAAATCCAACAAGACGAGCCTTCCGTGCCGTTACTAAGATGCGAAACCCCGCCAGCCTTCAACCTTCACTGCCGTCGACAACGAACCCCTTAATCTAACTAACATCCTTCCCCTTCATACCCGTCCCATTCGCGCTACATTCTTCTGTTGAATTCGATGCAGCATTCCATTTATAACTGCCAACTTGCTTGCCTTGGATAAGGGTTGGAGCCTCTTTGAAATACAACAAGCCTCATTAACTACCTGCCTCCTATATGCGCCCTCACTAGTAGCATTTGATGAAATCCCCTACTGTTCAGTTCAACTACTCCACCATATACACTTAGAATCGCTTGCGAATACCGCTGACGCACTATATTCTCCGAAAGATGTGGTATAACCCCGATAGGAGTTGGGGGCTACCTGATCTAATACATACATGATACCACAGCTGACATGGATGCTTTAATATTTCCAGTGAAACAAGGCTGCAAGATTGGCCCAGAATTTTCCTACTTGGCTCATCGTCATGAAGTTCAGCATCTTGTAGCTGACATGTGATTAGGTAGGTACTAGGTACCCAAGCCTCCTATTACCCCTTTTGTGCTCATATGGTTTTCATCTCGCCATATCCAGAAATGCACTGATGAGAGAGGTACGCGACTGTCCAGCCTTTAGCCTTACTTTATAGGATCGGTGTAAGGATGACCGAGAATACTCACATCTAGGCGATGGGAGCGTAGAAGCTAAGCCTCCGCTTCGGATCGTATGTATTCTTCAACTGCTCCAGCTTCGTCTGGCGCCACTCCTCATACCCATACCAATTCCTTTGTGATTCATCCCCATATGCGTAATTAACATACGTATGTCGTTCCGTGCGGCCGCTAGCCTCGTAGAGAACCTGTCTTAGCTTCTCTCCCAACTCCACTGCCTGGTTGTCCAACTCGGGACCCCCAGGTGCGTATGTGATCAGCGGCGCGATGAGTAGATTGTCGTTTCGGAAAGGGTATGCGGTCGACTCGCTCGGAACGGCTCGGATACCTTGTAACGAGTACCCCTCAAAGAGAAATAGCGAACCGTTGAGGGCAGGCGTGTCTTGAAAGGCTTGGGCGAAGAGGTCGTATACTTTTCGCTGCGCAGCGATATCATAAGACTCGAGATCAATGGGGAAGCGCATGTTTACAAGTCCGGATTTCTGGCATGGTGGGGATTCGAGGGCATTCCCGGTCCAAGCGGGCAGATCGGTGTAACTTCCCCCCTCCGCGGCGGTGGTTATGGGGTCAAGATCGTAAAAGGGGCTGGTATACGCTGAATCAACAGCCGTTACTCCTTCTTGCAGGATATAGAACATAATGACAGGCTTTCACCAGTTAGCAAGTGGTATATATTACCGGCCTATACTCAACCAAATCGCGCCTAGTTTCTAGTTCTAAACTAACCTTGGTAGGATCGATATCAGGAGAGCTGAAGAAGAAGGAATAGTTGATGATGTCCACAGGTTGCGATCCACCCTTCAGAAGGTGATCGTTGATCGCCGCATAGAGAGCCTCGACTTTATCTCCCAAGTAAATAAAGCTCACATATGCCCAGTCAGGGTACTGAACAGGATATATCTTTGAGGTGACGGACGTCACAATACCGAAATTGTGGCCAGCGCCCTGCAGACCCCACCAAAGATCCGGGTTTGAGGTTGCGCTGACGGTTGTCAAGCTTCCATTAGCCAGCACGACATTCATTGAGACGAACTGGTCTGATATTAATCCATGACGGCCTTGAAGAAAGCCGTGACCGCCTCCCAGCCCAGGCCCAAGAAGACTGGTGCATTCACAACCTCCTGTCACTGTGTCATTTGTCAGTTGGGTCTCCGGTGCACGAGATAAGTACCTAGGTAGGATTATGTACTTACCTGTTTGCTTTCCTGCCGCCCAGAGGGTGTCGGTGATGATCTTAGACAAAGTCCCTCCCCCAAATTTAGCTGTCGAGTCATCCTCGAGAATCTCAACACTGCTTAACCTATTCATCCATATCCCGATACCATTATGCAACGCCCCAACAGTCTTGATCGCCCCATGACCGCCATTAACCACAAGAAATGGTAAATCCTTTTCGTTCGCGTATTGAACCTAACATCCTTTAGTTTCTCACACATAGGAGAATAACGTGACCCTTTGCGACCCTTACCGTTTTGGCGACATCATCCTCTACGCTAGGAGAAACGACGAGAGTTAAGTTGGGGGCGTACAGTGAGGACCATCTTGTCGTTGCTTCGGTGAAACCCTCGGAGCCTGGCAAATAGACCGCGGCTCCCTGAAAAAGTATGTCTTCCAGCCTATGTCCGTGGCCATCTTGGGAACAAATCGATTCGAACCTAGCACTGATTCCAACATTCCGGCAAGCAAATGATGCAACCCACGCTGTCAAGGCTACCATTACTTCCATTCCAAAGGCGGTAGATCGAAAGGGTCGGTGCGATGAACGGGCCACTCAAGGCAAAACGGTTGGTGGTAGTATGGCAATTGTCGGTCAGGTGTTTCGAAAACCGCACATCAACTAGATTCTCCTTGCAAAAGCCACATGAATCAAATATCAGACGCCCATTGACCTCATCAGTCGGTGTGAATAGCAAAGTAGGTGTTTTTGGGGAGTAGTGTAACTCAGTGATACTTCAAAAGAGTATATAGATTTTAAATCTCAAAGCCATCCCATGCTTTGTTTGGCAATCTTAGGTGCCAACACACCAACCCACCCTGATTCCATTATGCCGTTAAAGCAATATTCTACGCCGCACTCTTGCTTGGTGTGTTTCATGACTTCGTCTTGGCTGCGATTCCCCATACTCCCCGTTGACCTCATTCATTGCGCCGCACCAGACTGTAGTGCAAATATAGTGGTGTATGTGATGTATTACAGATCATCAATCTGATTGTCACATACTGTACATATATGTCTCTCGCGCGGTACTTCCGTTAAAGTTATATCATGCGGCTCAATACTACCGACCATGGTGGCTTTCTCCAACTCGATTAACAGCAATAATATATCTGTTAATTAGAAGTGAGAACAATTTCAGCTGACATGCATTATGAGTTGCACGGCTTTATCGTAGTTACACGAAGTTGGTATAAGCAGCAGGCCTATGGCATCGTTAGTCAATTGCAGGAAGAATCAATGTCAAGTAGGCTATATGGTTGGTGGGTTTTACTCGGATCAGAGGTTTATTGTTGATGACAGTAACAGTAACATGCCTATCACGAAAAAATGGTCACAAAGAGCGCCCCAATGAACTTGGCTTCATGCTTCCTCTTGCCGTTATCATGGCAATATACGGAGGCTAGAGCATTAGTAGAGGAATGTGATGAGATAAGTTCGAGGGCCATGGGGGAAGACAGCCCGGACACAACATTGGACTTAGAAGTCCTCAATTCTCTCAAGCCACTATAAGGGGGGAACTCTTGCTGATAACAACTATTTGAATAGAGAGTTCAGAAACAATAAACTGGTGCCAAAATGATCTGATTGCGCAAGTTGTCCCGCGCTTTGTATCATATATATAAGAAACGCTAGACGCACAAGGGGATGGAAAACAACACTCGAGGCAACAAAGCCCCAATAGTAAACTCTCTAACCCTTATCCCTGCACTCAAAATCAAATCCATTAACAATGTCAGCTCCCGCCAGAGCTCCCTCAACGATAAAGGAGCTTCAAAGCGCTCTGAGACTAAAACACAGGTCCGATGTAGAAGCCCTGACGAAATCCGACTACGTGAAGGAAACTTTCCGCATGTACGCGAACCGATGCCTCTCCTCGGGCGCGATCAAAAAAGAGCTGCCGGACTGGAAGGACGTCGACGAGTACTTGCTGGAAAAGCAGACGTCCTGGTCGGTGCGCTCGAATAGCCAGTCTCTCGAACAAGCGGTGACGGAGGAGAGTTACAACAACCCGTACGATCTCCTGTCCCACGCGGCGCTCTTTGCGCTACGTATGATGACTTTCCTACGAGGTAAAGGTAAGAAGTACGATGTGAGCCTGGACTATGCGATGTGCCCCGAGGATGTCCTGTTTGACCGATATATGCGGATACTGAACCTGCTGGGGTTCATGGTTAGCCAGAATCGCGAGATGAAAAGTAGGACGGAATCAAATAGGGGATCAATTGTGGAATGGAATTGGATATGAAGTTGCCGCGTAATTGGCATGACATGAAGGGTAAGGAGGTATGTATGTGTGTATGCCCGGACACTTACACCTATAGGGGGCACCTAGTAGTACCGACAGACCTATCTAGTATGCCTATTATTTGGCCTACTAGGCACTTAATCGTAATTTACAAAAATTCGTGTTTCCTTCCTTTAACCTATCTGGTCCATTGACGACCGGACGTAAGACATATTTTGCATCGTGTGCGAGCAAGACGAGAAACACTGACATACGTGTACCTCAAGTGTGCGATCCTGTAGTGCCGAGTATCACTTAAATAGCCCCTTTTTAGTGTTTTAAGCGGAGAATAGTGTCAACATATCAAAGGTAACCAAGTTTCGAAACCTTCCATTCATGTTGTATGAACCGGAGGTCTGACGCGTATAGTAGTTCAGTGAGGTAGGACGTATTTGAATGATACTACTAATATTGACGAGTATTAAAGGGGTAGAGTGACAGGCCAGCCTTTGTCCTACACCATCGTGGACTGTCGCAAGAGGGGTAATCTAGCGACGAGACTCTTACGTGGTACGCGAGAGGGGAAGGCATCTATTGGTTACAAGTCGTCACACAAGTGTTCTCTGGGGGTGAAGGTGTGACTACGTCGCAGTATATTAATAGACCCTCTTCCCCTTCGAGTGGTCTCAGCCTTTCTACCATCTCACATCTCAACACAGGAGAACGACAAATAGACGATCATCCAAGACTCCATTCACATTGAAACACGCTTCATCCCCAAAACTGTATCGAACATGTCTCACAACACCCTCGGAAACGGCGAGTGGCTCCTCTCGGGACAAAGCCTTTGGAGCACAGACGGCACCGTCGAGCTCAAGATGCAGGACGACGGGAAGATCGCCATCTACAGTGACGGCGAGTTTCGCTACCAAAACACTGCCGAGCAGCGCTACGACATAAAGGGCATGCACATGCAGGAGGACGGCAACCTTGTTATCTAGTAAGTATCCGCGCCGCTGAACACTTCTCGTGCTTGAAGCATCTGCCATTCGGCTCAAGATAGGGGTAGCTGACAGGGAGGTCATGTATAGTGACAACAATGACAACCCCGTTTGGGCGACCCAAACTAACACCGGTGATAATACCGTGGTCTGCGTCGTGCGCAACGAGGGGGATTTCGTTCTATACAGCGGCACTAAGATCTGGTCTTCCAAAAGCATGTAGACATTTACCTGCCGGGACACTTGAACATGCTAAAGAACCGGGAACTTGTGAATCTGAGCAGGAAGAAATGGGAACTACCTACCTAGGTGTCTAAGGATAAGATAAGTGAGGATGAAGCTAGCTGGTTACCTAGTAGGCCGCCTAGGTACTCATAGATTAGGTAGATAGTAGCCACTCGTTTGTTAGCAGATCGGTATCTCAACTACAACCTCTCGATTCCCTCCCAGCCTCCCCTTTCTCTGCAGATGCTCAAGTGACCCAAGTATCTAGGTACCCACTTAGATAGGTAGGCCAAACATCACATCAACTCATGCCGCCTCAGCACCCCCGGCGCCACCCACCACGACCTCGGGAACCCCATCCCCCACCTCGCCAGCAGCCCCTCCAGCTCCCCCCGTCTCCCAGGCACCACATTAACGAAGATCCGATCCCCGCCTCCCATCCGCGGCTCCGAGTGCACGGCCCCCTCCCCCTCGCCAATCCGAAACACAGCGCACTCCCCCTCGCGCGGCTGCGCGGACCCCAGCGGCGCGAGCTCGGCCGCCAGCCGCCCCCGCACGGCGGCCGCCGTGGCCCCGCACCCGGGACACCGGATCGCGGTGCACGTGTGGGGGGTGGCGAGCTCGCGCTTCGCGGCGAGCGAGGCGGTGCGCGCGGCGGGTTGGTGGGGGGCGGGGATGAAGAGGGTGGGGGGGCCGAGGAGCGTCGCGCAGAGCTTCCAGTCCGTTTGCAGATCCAGTTCCCTTTCTAGCCGCCCTCCCCCTTCCCCCACCCCCCTCTCATAACCATCCTCGCTGCCGGAGGAAAATGATGGGGAGGATGACGAGTCGCTGAAGAACAGGTCGTCCGTGTGCCACCGCGGCTGGTCGAACTCGCCGCTGGCCTTGGTGGCGCGGATCGTCAGCCAGTAGTTGTGCAGGCCGTGGCTGGCGAGGAGGGCGTTGATGAAGGTGAGGAAGGGGAGGAAAAGGGGGAGGATGGAGCTGGGGCTGGGGCTGGAGAGGGCGGCGTCGGCCCATTCATGGAGGCTCGGCGGGAGGGAGTCCGGATCGGCGAGGAGGAGCGGCCCGCAGTAGCTCCAGAATGCGTCTTTCTTGACGGAGATGCCGGGATCGGAAGGTGCTAAGGACACGGACGGCTCGGCGTTCAGGCTGTAATTGAGGAACCCGAAGCCCGCGGGTGATGCGAGCTTGTCCTCCATGGCTGGATGCGCTTAGTAAGTTGTATGGTACTAGGTAGGTAGGTGAGTGGCGTGGCTTGGTGGCGTGAGTAAGTGAATGGGTTGCTTGCCCTAGGTGGAGTTGGGATTATTATCTCCGCGGTTTGGCTTCTGCATGGGTTTGGGGATTTGGGATTTTTTTGTCTAAACCGCTAGTGAAGCTGGTAGGCTAGATTCAGAATAGTTGGTGGGTTAGAAAGATGGGTTTAGATCCAACCAGCGTGGAGTTGCTAACCATGGTATGTTTATATCTAGGCATCCAACAAAAGGCCTGGAATACTGCCTTGCTGCTCCATATAATCCCCCAATCTGCCTCGTAATGCCTAGGGAGGGTGCTATTCCCCTACCTTAGTTAGGTACCTGTTTAGCTTGGGGATTGAATAGACCCTCATTGACATTTGTAAGAACTTACTATTCTTTGTAAGAGATATGGTGCTATTCATGAACATGCTGTGGTTAAAGGTCCTTGCCTAGCATAAAACAGCTGATCTAGTGAGGGTGGAGGCGGGTAGGACTTTCGCCCCTCATCAATATTGTGGAATAAGCAGATTTGATCCACAACCATTGGAAAATGTGCGAACGCATTGCTTCCGAGTGTGACATTGAAGATCATACCGGTGGTAAGGTCAGGTACCACTCCAGTTTGTCGGTAACTATGATTTTCATTCATTGGTGTTGAGGGATGTTAGGTAGCTGATCATGAGGCAAGAATATCAAACAAAGCATTCCCAATATAGGTACACGCCTAGGTAGATAGCTAGCTTTAACAATCCTCCTTATATCGGCCAGTAGCTCTTTAGTCTTTATCACACGAGCATAGTAGGTAAGAAAGGGGTCGAATGAACTAGTAGGCAACTAAGGGTATATTGTCTTTTAACTAAGCAATGAATCAGAGTGGCAAACTGCCATGTATGAATCCCTCCGCTAAAGAGGCAAGTTCCCAAGTCCTGTGTCTGGGGGAGTAAGTGCTGGCTCGCGTTAGTCCATAGTCTAGAACCCTAATATATAGTAAAGACAAGTCGGCTTCTTCGCCTACTTGGTATAAGGGCTGGATGCCAACATGAACAAGACGGGGAATAGATTCGGAGATAAGGTAAGGGGATAGTGTGGTGAAGGCATATTTCCTCTTAAGATAGATGATGCGAAGGATCCCGTATTCTCTCTCCTTAGCGGTGGGACTCTGCCACATCAGACACTGGGGTTAACGTGTGGGTATTAACCGCGGCTTTTCATTAGAGAAGCGCGCACGCTTTTGGGAGTGTGGTCTAGACTCAGATTTATCTTTCTCTTTGTTGGAAGACCGTTTTTTTTGGCGTCCCCGAGTGACGAGTTGTGCCGAATGCCGGTTCCATGCCCTGCGAATTCGGGCCATAAGCTGGTCCAGCAACGACGGTTCATCGGGATCTGTTGGTAGGCCATCATATTGGCTCTCGCTCCATAGATCTGTGCGCCTCGCTAGCTCTCTGCGAGCGCGGCTCTCGCGATATACCTCGAATGAGTCCCGATGTGAAAAGGTAGATGGAGGTTGTGTGGCTTCCTCGGCGGACCCTGATTGGGTACCTAATTGTGAGAAAAGGAGGTCGAGGGATGGCAAGAGTATTGAGCCTCGTAATGTTGGCATTGTGATGATATTTTGGTCAAGGTTGTTTATGTATTGTATATATCAGATTATTACTTGGTGAATAGGTGTCTGGAGAGGTAGCTGGTTTACAATGGAAAAGAATCGACGAAAACATGGTGAAGAGAAGCGACTTTTGAAGTCATCCATTTATGCTATGGGCCGCTACTCACCTATAGTTAACCATAGCAAGTCTATTTTGTTGAGCCAGGGACGAGCGAGTTGGTGTCTATGACCTGAACTCAACTATATAGCCTCAATCTACCAATAGAAGGGTATTGGACAGGCTCAATGAGATCATAGCCATCTAAAACGACTGCTATGCCATGAGCGCATTCTTCATTATGGTTAGTAACTGTCACTAAGGTAGGCCACATGTCCAACGTTTGAGCAATGACCACCCGAGCCCGGATGGATTGACTTTGTCCCCTTTTCTACGATGAGGGAACGGAGGTCATCCTTCTTAGAGGTCACGTCACATAAGGCTGCTAAGTAAGTTTAGATCATTGCGCCGCTTGTGTATGACTTGACTGAAACCGAAGTAACGCCTTGGGCGACCGTTGAGGGTTGCAGCCCCCAAAGGTACTAAAATATGTACTGACCGTTTTACTATCGCTCGAACATGGCTGGTTTTGGGTCTCACGTGGCTTCTCTCTTGTGTATCAATTAGATTACATGCGAACTAGAATCAATCCGTACCTGCGTACATATGCTATGCTCCTTCGCATCAACACGCCTACCGTGGATATCAATGATGTTCGAGTTGTCGTTGCGTTGGTATTGGATATCTGCAATAACGACCCCTCGACTAGGATGTTGCGTTTCCAGTCATAGGGTAGCTATGCGATGGTCGTGAATCGGGACCGACGGTGTTGCCATGTGTGATCAATGGGCTAGAAGCAATCGAAAATCGAACCGTTTAATGTAGGATTTACAGTTGCAGATTTCGAATGTAACCATGTCTTGATACGGAAAACAAGAACTTGGTGTTGTTGAAAGGGGTCGATGGTTGAACAAGCGGACAATTCATGGCACCGCTAAGAAGCTCAACAAGCAAAGCGTAAGTTGTTGATTTATTCAATGTAACTACCTGATGCCCCCCCCCTCACGCTTGTTCCGTAGCGCGGCTCTTGATCTAGCAGCCGTGTGATGCTAAACTAAAGACAGCTAGTATCATGCTATGTAGCTACAAGAGACTAGAGTAACCCGTTGTGGGGAGCCAGAATGGATGCGCCGATCATGCCAAAAAGGGGTTTCGTCGAAGCGAAAGCGAGCAAAGGACTAGGTAGAGCCATGGAGTCGGACAACGGATAAAAGTGGCAGGGCTGAAAGAAGGAAACGATAAATAGAAAACTTGCTGGCTTTCGTCATGCTCACCAGTTCCCAAAAAAAGAATAGAAAAAAAATCATCAAAAAATACCGACAGGTCTCGTCAACTATCCAGTGGTCAATCTAAACGCTACTATGTAGGTACCAAGACCCAAGCCAGAACGCTGTTCACAGACGAAAGAGGTAAAGGTCCAAATTCTCTGATTGGGCTGGACGTCGCGGATGGGTTGAAATTGGTAACATTTGGCGACGAACACAACCAGTATAAAAGTCATTTCCATTTTAACGGCATTCGGCACCTCAATCTAGTGAATCTACACCGTATGATTATAAATGTAGCATACGGCCATGAGTGGGTTAGCCGCTCAGATTCCAGGATGGGAAATTGGGTCATCGCTTTACTTGGCTACCTAATCTACTCGATAGGGCTAAACTGTCTTCGACCAGCGTTTGCGAGGTACCTAATGCTGCTAAATAATAGTGTGTATGTACAAGTACAAAGTAAGATCTTGAGCTTAGGGGCGGTACTAGTTCACGATAGTTACATGATACTTACCTACATATGTAGTACTTTCCCGATGTTGTCCATCTATTGGTTAAATTATCTGTATTACTAGAAATCCTCGGAATGCAGAGTGGCCAGGGTTGTCAAATCATGCATTTCAGCTCATCGAAGACGCAGCGGCACAGGAGGCTATAATATGGGGTCTGGGAGTAAAATAATCACTAAATCTGGGTCTATCTGCAGGTCTTAGAAAATGGAACAGCACTGGCTTGGCGGGTTCTGCCTGGTAAGCGGCAAGCCTGCCCGCGATAGGGGAGAGAGAGACCCGGAAGGATTCGAACCCCTGCATGGTCCCATTGCGAATGAGGGTCTGTAAATGCTAACTAAGTGCCTACATGTACCCGGGCCATACTGTACAGCCAAGAGAGGACATAGGGCGAAGTTGCTGCGATGCATCAGGTAGCTAGGAGGATTCTCTCTCATAAACCGGCCCAGGGTACCCCCCCCGTACGCCCATGTGGATTTCTCGAAGAGAGATCCTCGATTCAAACTCCTCCTACAGTGATACCTGGCGTGCAAATTTGGTCCGAGGCAGCTACCAAACCGAAAAATCATGCTCGTCTTCAGGATAACACCGAGTCAAACTCTTTCGAACTGACCAATTCGTGTCCACTTCTAACGGCATTGGCCGTTCGAAACGAGGAATAGAAGACATAGAAAAAGATAATAATTACTAATTTTAAAAAAAAAAAAAAAAAAGACGGCAGCATGTCGCAAGCACCGGAACACGTGCCGTACAGCACGCTCGAGGTCGATCATGGAGACCCTGAGGCTTCGCAAAAGGAGGCGGTATTACAGTATCCCGACCACAGCTACCCGCAAGCAGTCCCGTTTGAGCAGTCTGGAGCCGGAGTTGGCCATTCATATTACAGTCCCGAGACCGCGAAAGAAGTCGTAAACCCACGATACCCCGGCAATGCCCTGCTTCCCGGGCCGTACAAGGAGGAGAAGTACGCGGGCAGCGGCACAGCCTTGGCCGCGGCATATCCGAATAGTACAGGCCCCAATAGTACTGCGGGTTACACAGTATCGTCGTATTCGAATGGCGCGTATCCCGCGGGCGCCGCCAGTCCGATACAATCGACCGGTTATGACCCCAGTCCGATGAGTATACTGACGGAGAACGACGTCGCCCGAAATGCTCCAGCAGAAAAGGAAGTGCAGCCAGATAAGCCAGCGGTGACGATATGTGGGCTTTCAAGAAAGAAATTCTTCATAATATTAGGGGTTGCGCTCGTGGTGATCGCGCTCGCAGCAGGATTGGCCGGAGGGTTGACGAGCAGGACTCACAGCGGATCAGGGTCAGACTCATCGGCGGCGTCGTCAGGGGGAAGCTCGAGTTCTGGCGATAGCGGAGGGTCGTCGTCGAACTCGACGAGCGACGGAAACCTGATCCTGTCGAATTCGAAGATAACGGCGTCGAACTGGACGGACCCCAGCGGCGTCGTGCACCGCACCGTCTTCTTCCAGGACAAGTACAACTCCATCATCGCCCGACGGTGGGACGCCAAGGGCAACGCATGGAAGACGAATAACCTGACGGAGCTGATGCTCGCGACCACGACGCCCCTCAGGCCGCAACCCGGCACTCCCCTCGCGAGCGCGTCGATGGAGCTCGACCCCACGTTTGAGACGCATGTTTGGTTCACGGATCCGAATAATATGATAAGATCGATGGCCTCTACGGACGCGCTCAACAAGCCGGATTCGTGGGATAATGACACCCTAGATGCAGCCCAGTACGTTCCCCATCTTGGTTCGATTGACGAGGCCGAGGGCTTTTTGGTGCTTTTCTTTTATGAACGGAGTATTTGCTAACTTCTCGTAGACTACAGACGTGGCCGGGAGGACAATTGGCCGCGATGTGGCAGCGCTGTTGGGTTGGCAGCTGTAGTGGTACCTGGGTCGTAGCCTATCAACGGTACAGCTACTCCTTGTCCCAGTACATATCCGTGTTAAGCCATTCTAACCCCTTTCTATAGACCCGAAGGTGCGATAAAGACCGCGAATAGTAGCACTTGGGCGACAGCAACCGTAGCTGTCGAGTCCAAAGACGTCGCTGCCAATTCCAGCTTGGCTATTCTCCCCAAGTTACGGGAGTCATACCTCGACCGCCTGGAGCTTGTATATGAAGGACTGGAGTCAGGAAACGGAATTATGAGGTTGACTGAGTATAATGATACGTGGAACGGTTCTGATGATAGAGGTGAGTTTATTATGGTTTACATATTAGCTGCCGTAGGAGCGCGGTTATCGCTCAGGAGCTCATTGGGAGTGTTATACGACGAACTGGTCGGCTAACCCGTTTTAGTAACCGAACTCCAAGCCAATATACCACACCCCACGCCCTCTCAGCAGTTCGCAGCTACGAGGTGGGATAGCTGGAACCAGGCGCTTTACATTGGCCTGCTTGGAGACGGTAGCATCAAGGGAAACCATTGGAACGGTAATACCATGAGCGCCATCTCAACCTTCAACTTCAACTCGGGCCCTAGTGACAACTTCACGGCCATCGCGATGTCTCCGGATGCCATGTTTTATGGCATCACATCAGACGGCGATATTTTGGAGTACTCGTTAGACACCACAGACCCATCTACCTTTAACTACGTCAGCACAGTATTTCCATGATCTTTACCTACCGACACCTACACTCGAAGAAACATGGGTATATATCCATAAGTATATACTACGTACCTAACCTAGGCATATTTGCATTATCTTTTATCCCCCCGAAAAGCTTGGTTTAGGAGATTAGGTTTTTGGGAGGACTGCGAAGGAGTTAAAGGGAGGGGGCATTTCTCTGCGTACATATATATACCTCCTACATACAGATCAGCAATTATTTCTCTTCTTTTCTTTATATAGGACGATACCATGTCAATCCCAACATCAGGGGAGGCTACTTTTCGAACCTACGAAGCGAATACCAAAGGCGGTTCTCGTTTTTTTCTACTTTACCATTTTGCATTACTGTAATTATATAGCATGATTGATACTGTATGCTAGGTTAGGTACCTATGCTACGTAGGATGATATAGACTTATACCTACCCAAACAATATAGGAATGTAGCCAACGGTCTTGGGCGCGTTCATGTTGAGTTATCCCGGACTTGAAGTTATTCTTATTAGCCACCCCCTTTTTTCAGTGTTGTTTAAGGACCCAAGATCTCAGCCTAGACTGGTAGAGATGCTTCTCGGTTGCAATTAAATAGATTTGAGACAATTGCATTCTAAGCTCGATCCCGTGCCGATTTTCATGCGCGTGCTAGTAGTTTAATATCATTCCATATCGTAATCGTGACGCACTATTATCATCAACGTCATCATATTCAAGGGGCAACCAAGAACTCTTCTACTTCAGCTCAACGATGATGCTTCGAGTTACACTATTGACTTCAGTGGCGGGGTAATTCATTGGCAGTCCTGAATTAACACTGGTGCTGTTGGAATACTATAAAGTGCCCAAGCCATGTTTCGCTCACCGATTGTTAGTTCAACTCTGAATTTATTCACATTTGTCAATAGAAATCACCCACTCCGACAACGAGTCAGGAAGCTACACATATCACCAGCATTTATCCATATCCCACGACAAAAACTCAAGAATAATATCTTGAACCAGGCAACTACTTGCAAGATGGCAACGTTCTCGAACGCAGACACGGGCGACAAGGCGGCGGATCCGTACTACGCCAAAAACATTGATACAAAATCAAACTTGAAGGAAAAGGTTGAGGCTCTAGCGAAGTTCGTATCGTCGTGCAAGTTTGGCATGATGACGACTCGAGATGCAACACAAGGCAAGCTAGTCTCGCGCTGTATGGCCGTCGCAGGCAAGGTAAGCAAGAAACCACTCTCTTACTCGTAGAATCAGGCCAAGTGACTAACCCGGGCTCTCCTACATATATAGGAGGGAGGCGACATCGACCTCACGTTCACGACAAACACAGAGTCGCACAAGACCGACGAGCTAAAAACAGACAAGCATACCAACATCTCCTTCTACGACAATTCAGGCCAGTGGGCCTCTATCGCCGGCGAGGTATCGATACTGACGGACCGCGAGGCCGTCAAGAAGTACTACAGCCCCAGCCTCAAGGCGTGGCTTGGCGACCTAGGCGACGGTATTCACGACGGCTCGGCATCGGACCCGCGAATAGGGATTCTCAAGGTGAAAACCAACTCGGTCACGTACGCCTTGACGGACGGGACAATGGTGGGTAGGCTGGCGGAGATTGCCAAGGGCACGATTACGGGCGAGCCCGCCGGGGTTAGTAAGCTGAGGGAGATTAGCGAGGAGGAGGTGCGGGAGTGGAGGGCTACAGCCTCGCGTTAGGTTACGCGGCGGTTCGGGATGGCAACACCTGCTATGTACCTACCTAGTATACATGGTTAAGATCACGTCGGCTGTTGCTGTAACTGAACCGCGTTAATGGAGCCTTACCATTAATTTATATGCCGTAATGTGGGTGACTTTTGTGTTGGTGTGTCTGATTACTTATGTAAATAGCCGCGAGATATTCCCTCAGCTACATATCTAACCTAGGTCAATATAAACGCGGCAGTATGGGAACAGAACAAAACTTGGAAACATCCATGGATAGTGGTTTTAATATCGGCGCGCTTGTTAGGTGATTCTTAATGGAGTAAAATGTGCCCTACATTATCGGCGGTCAGAAATTTAATTTGGGATTTGGAAGAATTAAGTCAGCCATTGCTAGTGGATAGCCAGCGACCACTCAGCGGCTATTGATTGACGATTTAGGCCTTGCCCCGGGACAAGCCATGCCCTATAAGGTCAAGTGCATGAGAGCCGCAGGGCAAATTCGCTGATGTTGGCTGATGTAAAATGTTGGTAATGCTTGGTGTGGCGGGGTCATGGTATCCACTTTGCCGTGGGGGATCTTTAATTGCTGACCAACTGCCAGGAATTACCAGGAAGAACGCTGTATTCTACCTACCTGGCAGCTACTTAGCAGCTACCTAGCAGCTATCTAACCTTCTAATTTTTAGGTGATTATTATCAAGCAATGGAAGCAATGGGGGAAGTTAATGGGGAACAAGAAAGATGAATTGGAAAGAAATAAATAGTTACAGGTACTTCTTAGGACTAAAACGTGCCGAAGCTTCGCGAGCCTTCTTTTTACCTACATCACCACCTACCTACCTACCTACCTATTTCAGTCCTAGTTTTGTTTCTTCATTCCCATATGACATATAGTTAGCATATAACGTAACATATCTAGTAGAATAACATACTGTATATAAAATCTACAATTCCTTCCTTTTCCCCTCTTCTTGCCCTTCATGAGGGCCTTGTCACTTTCTATATCCATTCTTGTAGCTATACTATCCATCGTTGTATTCCGAGAACAGGTTTCTGAGTTTGCGACAACTACCCTCAACGCCATATTAAAGAACTTGAACATCGACAAGCTTTGGGACGACAGTAATATCGTACGCGACAGCTCCTCAACCACCACAGCTACATCCTCGACTACCGAATCCGTGTCCAATTCTCCCTTTTACAACCCACCCGAACCACTCGTCGCGACCAACATGTCCATCCCCCGCGCCATTCGCAAGGTCTTCCTAGCCGTCGAGCAGGCCGAAGGCGCAGGCGCCCGCGTGCGCCGCTCCATCGGGACCCCTCAACTGCGCAACTTCTCGCCCTTCCTCATGCTCGACCACTTCAGCATCAAGCCCGGCGCCGGCTTCCCCGACCACCCGCACCGCGGACAAGAGACCATCACCTACCTCCTCGAGGGCGCCGTCGACCACGAGGACTTCGCGGGGAACGCCGGCACGATCGAGGCCGGCGATCTACAGTTCATGACTGCCGGCCGCGGCATCATGCACGCCGAGATGCCGCGCCAAAACCCCGACGGCAGCGCCAACGTCGGGCTACAGTTGTGGGTCGACCTGCCCGCCAACCTCAAGGCCTGCGAGCCGCGATACCGCGATTTACGGGCCAAGGAGATCCCCAGCGCGACGTTGGACAACGGGAAAATAAATATCAAGGTCATCTCGGGCCAGGCCGCCGGCGTGGACAGCGTGAAGGACCTGGCGTACACGCCCGTCTGGATCCTCGACGTGACGATGAAGCCCGGCAGCAAGCTGGCGCAGCCGCTTCCCGAGGGCTGGAACGCGTTCTCGTACCAGCTCGAGGGGTCGGCGATCTTCGGCTCGGGCGACAACAAGAAGACGGTGCCGCAGTACCACAACTGCGTGTTCGAGCCGGCCGGCGACGTCGTGCTGGTCGAGGTGCCCGAGACCGCCAAAGAGAACGCGCGGTTCGTGCTCATCGGCGGACAGGTGCTGGACCAGAAGGTCGTGCAGTATGGCCCCTTCGTGCTGAACACGCCCGAGGAGGTGCGCCAGACGCTGATGGACTACCAATTCCACATGAACGGCTTCGAGCGTGCCGAGGGCTGGCAGAGCGAGATTGGCAAGTCCATGGTTCATTAAGCGGAACAAATACCCACGCATATTCTCCCAACTCCTCGCACGCTCTTTGATAGTCATTTATCTGCTATCATCAAAAAATAAAATTGTACATAACTTGAATTCTTTTTTCTTTTTTTTTTTTTGGGTATTTTTTTGGTTTTGGATCCCGCTACCCTACCACGTTTGATGATACCTGACAGCGACGATGAACTGTTAACATGGCGTGTAAATAGAATTGAGATTGGATATAATAGAATACCCTAACCTACCTAGGCAGACATACCATGGATAAATATACGAGCAGTGATTTCTTAGGACTCTTATCTTTCACCATTTTCTCCTCTTTTTTTTTTTTTTTTTTTTTTTTTTTTCTTCTTCTTCTTCAATTCATCCCCGGTGTTTTTTTCCGCCTCCGCCCTTCGCGAACATTCCCCTAAACCGGGCCGCTCAGAAAGTTCCCCCTGGGCCTCTTCTTCGGATACGGCTCCGGCAAGCTCAGCGCCCACTGCAGCCGCTCCAGCTCGGCGCGCGGCGGCTGCATCGCCTGCAGCCACGCCAGCTTGTGCGGGTGCAGCCCCGTTATCTGCTGCAGGCGCGGGTTGCCCAGGATCGCGGCGGCTTCTAGCGGGCGCCCGCGCGACTGCTGGTGTTGCTGTTCTTGGTGGTGGTGGTGGTGGTGGTTTTTTGGTGGGTTGGGCGCGTAAAGGCGGCTGCTTGCTCGGCTTGGCTTGGACTTGGGTGGCTGAGGGTGAGGTATGCTTGTGCTTCTGGGGCGTGCTTGGGCTTGCGGTTGTTGCTGCGGTTGCGTGGTGGATTTGTGGCGAGAGGAGGAGGAGGAGGAGGATCGGTGCGAGGGGCAGGAGGGACTACGGGTTGCTACGCCTTGAGCTTGTTCGTGCGCCATCTTGAATATTCTACTCTGTGTGAGCAGTGTGTAGGTAGATGGTCTTGAGCAGGTAAGGTGTAGGTAAATTAAGTCCTATCTAACCTAGGTATGTAGGTATGTAGACTGGCTCACGGAAGCATAGCACACGGCACTCAAACAACTCATCCAGCCGCTTTCATCTTCCTCGGGAAGCGCCCATGGCGTTTTAATTATACCTGACCTACCTACCTATCTATCTACCTACGAATGGTCGCGCGGGCGGCCACGTTGGTCCCCGTGAAAATGAGGCTCCGTATGGCTGCGCGACATGTCGTCACTCCCTACCTACCTACCTCCTCTTACGGTAAGCTGCCAAGCTACCCCCAGCAGGTTAGGTTAGGTTTGGTGGTACTCACACTTCCCTGACTTACGTACTCACTTACCTACATCCAATAACTGATCTGTCATACCGAATGATTACATACATAACATTGGCCGGTATAGTTGGATATGGCGGCGGCCGCCACTTGGAGGCGGGGGCCGGGGGGTGGCAGGTTTCATTGTATGTATGTGCGATGTGTAGGTATGCAGCCTCACTTATGGGGAGTATTGGGGTCGGTGTTGGATTGGATAGGCGTCGGCGCCTCTACATGCCCAACTAGGTTGGCAGTGCACTAATTAAGGTTGGTTACTCATCCTGCCTGCTTAGCCCTTTTAGTTGTGGGTGTGTAATAATTACAGACCAGACAGACCACTGGTAGACAGGTTAGGTAGGCTGCCGCTAGGTAACAAAGCGTTTTGGTTCGTACAATACACCACTTGTGTCTTGATTTTTTCGTTCCGGTGTGAGAAGACGAAGAAGAAGAACCATAGTTAGCTAGATAATGGGTAGGTAGTAGATACCTATGCATGTAAGAATGGCAAGTGGGCTACCCAGTTAGGCATTGCGGTTCGGTGCGTGCGATGCGGTGCGGTGGAGGCACGTAGGGCTGGAGTGGGGGCTGGTAAGGCGGGTTTGGAGTCAGAGTTGCATTAGATAATCGGTTCGCAAACCACCCCTTTTTCTTTTTCTTTCCCTTTTAACCCCCTTTGTATAACCAGGGTAGTTTGCGGGTATGTTCCGGCTGACTAGGTAGGCTGGAGGTTGGCCAATAGTGGTTGGGTATTACAACGTTTGAAAACGCGTCGGTGTGGACTCTGGAGTCTGGAGGCCTTAGATACCCTAGATACTTGAGATTCATGAGAGAATAATATGTACCTAGGTAGGTCCATTGTGTGATTCAGCCATGATAGGTTAGGTAGGGTCGGGAGTATGGTCATGGGTTAAATATGAAAACCCGGGTCCATGGTAAGAGAATTGTTAGCACGGTTTGTTGGTGTAGGGAGTACTACGTAAATCAACGGTACGATATCAGAAATCGAAATCCCTGAAACGCTTCGGTTGGCTTCACTCGTTTTCTTTCACACCCCCCCCCGCCCCCTTTCTCCCTTGGGACCAACCTGGCAAGTCCCCTTCTTCTTCGTTAGGTAACCCCATTTCAAGTAGAAAACATCCAGCTTGGTATGTATCATACTCCTATTCTCTAATGGATGCCTAGTGTTGGTATACCTCTCACGGTCACCCTGCGCGTAAAAGCCCCTCGAACGAGGCTTCAAAGGTATACGATATGATATGTAGGCAGGTACTGGAGCTCGAACAACAGAGACCACATGAGCCTAGCACGGAACATCCAAACGAGAATACCAACAGTATCCAAATACACATCTCCGAGTCTTGTATGCATGTTCGACATGAGATGACCTACATCAGGCAACTGTGGTCGCTCTTCCACGCCCGATAGGTTCCAAGTCACGGAAGCAAGTCCCTTTCCCCTTATCACGACATTGAATACACCAACCAACCAAACGGCCAAATTCATTGCTAGTACCTACTTGTGCTGCTTGTCAAAGGTAAGACATTGACCCAAGCGAAACCTAATGCGACCTCGTAGTAAATCATGCTCCCAGACCGGTGTGATGTCTCATAGTATTTCCCCAATCCAGCCCATTTGGGCACAGCCGGGGGATATACTATGATTGATATTCACAACATATCTACTTATTAGCCTATGCACCTACTTAACAAGTTGGTAATCAACTCAACCCATAGTATTAGCTAGCATAGTAATTCCATGTCCTTGGATACCTACCTACTTAGGTAGGTAGTAATCAGTCGAGAGATACACTTAATTGCTACCTAGGTAGTACGTATGAGTATGAGGATGAGTGTTGCATGATTGTATTAACTGAAACTAGTATTTACCTAGATACCTAGTAGTCATGTATCTCGTCGTGTATACCATCATATGGTTCCTGAAATTTCATCTCCCTCATGGCATACGTCAGCTGGATGCACTAGTCTTTATTGAGCTTCTTGTGGTGGCCGATGTAGAATTTGGGTGTGTGGAATCGGGGCGTGTAGTAGGAGGAATATAAGTTGGAAAGACTAATAGAATTGGCCTGAGCTTTTCTACCTACAGTGCTACCCTAGGTACGCGAGGTATAGGTAGTCGTCAAATTCAACGTACGCCTCAGATTACTCGAACCGAGGGCCAGTAAGACCGCACTATTTTAGAGCCGTTGTGGTAAACCGCCGGCGCCAACGGGGACGACGGAGAAGACTAGTGCAGACCCCCTGATACCAATTCGGGCCAGTACTCTCCTAGATCCATAATGCGCGGCGCAGAATCTCTAGACCTGTTCGCTGGGCCTTCGGGCAGGGCCCCAAAGGCATTCGTGGGGAACAGCCAGAAGCCAAAGGCAGCTTCAACAGGTGGTTTCGAGGCCTCGCTTGGCACCAGCTTCGGCCGGCCGTTGCTGCAGGTTTCCTTCACCCACACGTCCTGCTCGTCCTGCAAACACGCTTTCGCTTCCATGTGATTAAAAATCTTGCTCCCGGGTCTCTTGAAGGTCAGAAGAACCTTTTGCTCGGTTCTTGGCATCCACTGGTCACCCAAGGCATCTCGCAGGAGCCGTCTCCAGGCGGAAATCATGATACGGGGATCAGAGTTCACAAACACTTTCCGTAAGTCCTCGCCGATCGACCGAGGGTCAGGGCCCAAACGATCGAAGTGAAGCGTCGAGGTTGCAATAGGGAACGATCGGTTCAACAGATTATCGGTAGTTGGTGCACCGCTTCCGTATCCAAACACGTGGCGACCAGTCGTCTGCTCCTGTACAAAGAATACTGTGCGTAGTTGCGCGAGGGTCTCAACGACACTCGTCTTGACAGGCTCTTCGACCGTCGACAAATCAACGCGGCAGAGGCCTCCCCCTCCATTCAATGCGTTCTCATCCACGGCAAGATTTAAAAGTCCTGTGCGGCGGGGATCGTGGATGGTCTTGAGACGGTGAAGAAAATCAACAATCTGGCCCGTCCCGTTGACGACATTGAGAAAATCGTACACCGGGTTGAAGTAAAGAGTGCCAGGTTTCATCACACCATGTCCTTTCAAGTCCATAACCAGCCAGCAGGGTAGGTGTACACGGTAAAATGCCATAGCGACGTCTCGTGACTCTCGACTGACGCGGAACAGCTTGCTACATGTCTGGTACCCTTCGACAACGACGCCATCACGCTCTTGCGTCCGAGTCCCGGGCCTGGAGTCTCCTTGCCGGGCGAGAAGCGCATCCATCAGGTACCGGGCGTGTATGCACAACCTTATTATGCGTTGACGTTCCAATGCAAGACGCCATATCTTGACACGCAACTCTGGAGGAAGTATACTGAAGAGATGAAATGTGTGTAAGTGTGTCTTTGGTGTTACATGAGCGAGTTTGAATATTTGTAGATGAGGCGGAGGAGTCATTCTTTACCAGCACACTAGGTGACATACCTAGGCGACCGGACAGCGTGGAGTGGAAGTGTTATCAAGATTAGGTACCTACGTGAATATCTTACAGACGGAGCGGAGCTACAGCTTTTGGATTAGTCTTACAAAGTTGTCAACGTAATGGCTCCCTGATTCGCCGATATGCATGCCAAGGTGCGTTATTGTTAGGTAGCGAATTCGTTTCGTTGAGATACAGTTATTGCGAGTCTCCTTCGAATGGATAATTGGAATCTAACGCGTCGCTATCTGGCACGGGGTTGTCAAATGTTAAGGTGTAAAAGCCATGCGAGCTGAGCATCATCACCAATTTCTAGACGTAACTATTTGTTCGTCTTTCCATGGAGATGTTACCATGGCTAGTTTCACACGTGTATGACTGTTCCTAAGACGTTCATTTTCTACTATATAGACGTAGGTAGTGTATAATCATGCAGGCCAACTCCTGTGGAGGTTGCGTTCCAAATAGTAAGTAAGAAATGACTGCAGTATCCTCCGGGTTTCGGAGCTCTGTTCTGTATGATCACTGCTCGCACTGCGATGCTTCTTGATGTTGGGTTCGCTTGTTGTTCCCTCAGCATAGTTCTCTTCAGGTCCCCGCTCGCCTTTTCCCCCTTTCCGTTTCCCCTAGGCCTCAGTGGCGTGGTCGGATTTACCACTGAGGGAGCTATCCACTAAATCCCACTATATCTATAGTGACTATTAGTGAGTCTAGCATATTTAGCCACTAAAGTTATAGTGGCCTCAGTGAGCTAATATCGCTATACTTTACCTAACGAGCTTAGTAATTAGTCTCGGCATCGATTGGAGATGTTATTTTAATCACTGTAATTTCAGCGCCTAAATGCGCTAAGACTCACTATTGCTGTAGTTGGTAGGATAGCATGAGCGCGATGTCACGTGAAAAGATTATTTTAACGTCAAAATATCTGTAGATTGAATAGACGGACGGACATTCATCCACTCGAATTCGGAAGCACGAATGTCAGACGTCTTAGATAAGAGTTGGTGCAGCTCCGGAAAATCGGCCAAGTTCTCGTGGCAGCGTATCATGTAGGATGGTGAGCTTATTCAACTGCAACGGACAGTGCCGCACCGCTTGTATCAGTCACAACACGACTTAGTTCAAATATTAAATCATCAAACTCACTTCCTTCACTCATACTAGTAACAAGATAGGCAAGGCAGAGTAATGTGACATGATCGTTAGGAAAAACTGCGAGAGTCGCAGATGTCTAACCTAGCTGTATATCGCCTCCTCTAACTGCTCGCATAATTAGTCAGTCTCGTCAATCTCGTAGTGCAGAGATTCTTAGCATGACTTTCACGTACCATCATGTTATACTCTAACTGCTGCTTCCATCGCTCCATACGCTGCTTCATTTCCTCCAAATGCTCCAGCTCCTTTTTCTTTCGCTCCACATCCCGTCCCTTTTCGTCTCTATCAAGCACCTTCTGCTTCAACTCCTCAACCTGTTTCATCATGGAACGGAGCATTTCAAGTCTATCCATAATGAAGTGTTGGTGTGTGAAGCTTCAGTGGAACTGGTTGTCAGAATTGACTGTTTGAATTGGCAGTATGGGTGTGAGAATTCAGAAGATTAAAATTGATGTGGTAAAGGTAATGGCAGGTTATGAAAGCCAACGCTACTAAAGAAATACAAAATACACGCTCATCGCGTATCGCACTTTCCATGCTGGCGTACCTGCCACCATCTGTTATATAGTACTATGGTACCTAGCAACATCTACTGCATAGTACTAGGTACCTGCCCAGAAGGTGAACAGCCCTGGGTGTGCTTGCCCTGCTTGCCTCGATGGACATGTGACATCCCTACCTATGGGGATGCGGATCTAACCTGGCTACCCCTGTAGACCAGTCGAACGAATATAACCCGGTGTACCTGCAAATTGATAATGTCAATACCTATGTATGCTTCGCAACATTCAAGGTGGGGGGATGTTTTCGGCTTCTTTTCTTACATGGCTTCTATCAAAAACGCAATGTTATCATAGTTTCGACAGGCCCTGTCCGGGTAGTTCTTTGCTAGATTCAGCGCATGCTGGACCCCTATTGCAGGCACGGGTTTGCCATCTGCTGTCAGCAGCGGGTTCCCGTCGAAATCCACAGCATCTTCTACGATGATGAATCAGTATTCTAGGACAACGACACCAGGATGACAGATAATAATAATAATAAAAGACTCACGCGTTTTAAGCTTGGGTGGCATTGTCAGTACCTGATGCCCATTGGGAATGTTCGATCTTCCGCCGACAATCTGGAGCCTACCATGAATGACAAGAGTTGATTAGCATTCCTAGTACCGCATCAATCATGCTGATTTGCACTTACAGCACACGTAACCAGACACCACTCAGAACCGGCGTCTGGTCTAAAGAATCTCCTTCTTTCCCAACTAGGAGCTCCTCTGGCCACCGACCCTCTTTACGTGCCAGCCTACGTTTTACTTTGTAACTAAAAGCAGGCATGCAGAACACTACTACATTCAAATCGGGGAGGACTCCTGCGGGAGCACCATTCCTGCACCAGCCGTTGTCTGTAGCGCTAAGCCCTTCAAACATGTACGCATGCCATATTCCATTTACATCAGTAGCCCACATACTATATAATATACCAGGTGAGTTAGTAATCTACCATATTAGTTCGGGCGGGGACTGAAGTTCATTACCCGTCACGCCAGTACGCTTCAACCAGTACGTGTTGATCTGGTAAAAATATTGGGTTCAATTCTTTCTTTCCATAAAATTTGAAGTCGTGAGGTGTGATATATAGGTCCAAACGCCGCCCATCTGAGGGCCTACCGTTCGCGAACATATACTTCATCTCCGCGGTGATCTGCCAAACGTAATGGAAAAGTTGAAAGTCAGTAACGGTTCTTATGATGTGAGCACAGGAAGGATTACCTCTTTTATAAGGCTAAAGCACTCTTCCGACGCAGGATGTGGAAGATGCAAGATACGATCATCTGCCAGGCGCTCATCGATGATCACCCCAACATACGCTAGCATAAGAGGTAAATGGTTAGCCAGCTCGAGCCGATACTTCGTATTCACATGTAAACATACAGCGCAAGTATTTCTTAAGTCTCTGTACTGGGAGGAGTGGCTCTCTGCCTACATCAGTCCATCCAGGTAGGAAGCTCAGGGCAGTATCAAAAGCCGATATCGCCTTCATAACGATTAGAGCCAGGACTAAGAAATGAGAAGAGGGTAAACTAACACCGTCTATCTCCCAATAGGCGACCTTAAGTGCCTTTTCTTCATGACTAAATGACTTCAATGTTGGGGCGGTAAAAAGGGTAGTGAAAAACGGTAGTGCTTTAACGCTTCTGATGGCACCTAAGTGCAAAGCTAAAGATATTAATAATAAACAACGTCCCAACATCTTTTTTTTTGTCTCTTGTATTTTATCTGTTATTATTGATAGATGAAAATGAGAATCGGAAAAGTTTAGTTGAAATTCACATCTTATAATCTGGGTTGCTTTCCACAATAGTCATCCTTCTGCTCAGTTTCGAAGAAAATTTGACAATAGTTAAAAATATAACACTTACCGAACATACTAAATAAGGACCGGAATTAAAATATGCTATATAAATAAGCATACATTTATTTCTACTATTTATGTCAACATAATGATACTAGTAGGGAATAGGTGGAAATTTTCAGCGGCGCGTACCTGAAAGTGTCGACTCTAATTTTGGCACCTTAAGAAGAATCTATGCAGGTACTTAAAAACAGCTTTAAACCGTGTGTCCTGTGCCTGGAATTAATAGCCCCTGGTCGACAGGATGATCATACACGGTACGTATGCAGGTAGTTGTCCCCTAGGTTAGAATATATTCACGTATAAATTTATCACAGTATGTTCGTCCAAGTCATACCAACTACTTAGGTAATCAGCTTGGCCTAGGTAAAAACAGACGAATGCGTTCCTAATAATAATTTCTCAAGTTGTCTTCCTTCCTGCTCTTTTCTGCTTCATCCTCAACATCACTCCTCTGATAGGGTTCTTGCCTCTGAATCGCAAGTATGTGGCGAAATAAACAACGGCGTAATTGAATGCGATGAAGGCACACACGATGCCAAAGTCACGCCAGATGTTGGTGTAATAAACACTAAATTGTCGCCCAAATTCGTCGCCCGTTGCATACTGGCATATCTCGCAGAGCCCATCTGCGCCGGTCTGAAGGTACCCGCCCGCCTGCGAAACGTAGCTTTGAGCGTACGACTCGCAAGTTTGACCAGGTGGGGCAGGAAAGCGAGCAAACTCGCCCTCTTTACACTGCACAGGCTGGTCATGAATCGAGGTGGCCAAGAATGCTTCGAGCAGGTAGTGAAATGGGGTAAGCCAGTACATCCACTGTCGCCAAAAGTATGGTAGCTGCGCTGCAGGTACGACAACGCCACAGAAGGAGACGACAAAGAGGAAGAAGAGGGGAACGAACAAACTTGCCAGAAGCTCGTTGGGACTGAATGCCGCGATGGCCTGACCGAAGCCAACATAATATAGTTCAAACAACATCACGCATAAGAAAATAAAGCCAGACGGAAAGCCAAGCATGCGATAACCCCCTATTCCCCACCACCAACAATTGTAGTAGATAGCTCCCGCAACAAGAGAATAAGGGATTTCTACCAGTACGGCAGCCGTGGTCCACGCGAACCAAGAGTATATCTTGGCATTGTTCTCGCGAGAGGAGAAGATATTTCGCGAGTTGATGAAGACAGGCTGAAGTTGCTGAATTAATGGAGGTGAGATGGTGAGGTTCATGAAAATCGAGAATAGTCGGGATTGCATATCGATGCTGGCAAAACCCAGGCGCCAAAACGTAAATGTGTTGAAGAGACCGGTAAATATATGCAGGATCATCTTTCCCATGATGTAGTTTGGCGTCCTCCAATATGCGACGAAGGAACGTTTTACCAGAGTCACCGTTTGGGTCCATAAAGGCATAGCGTATTCGCGGTCGTCCTGAATATTCTGCGAATGCTGAACACCTCGGCGCTGCTCGATCATCTGCGACATATCACTGGATTGGTTCTGATACATTTTGGAGTTTTGCCAGGTATCTCCCCAGTCTTGACCTTTATAATCAGGATTTCCGGCTCCGATAGCCTCCAACATCCACTCAGCCGGATTTGCATCCCGGGGACACCTGGGGGCTCCGTTGGATTCGAAATAGTTGATCAACGTTTGGCTATCCTTGCCTAACTCGCCAGCATAAGCTACTCGCCCTCCAGACTTGAGCAAGATTAGGTCGTCAAAGTTCTCAAAAAGCACTGCGGAAGGCTGGTGTATGGTACACAAGATGGCCTGACCAGCGTCAGCAAGTTTCCGAAGGAACCTGACAACGTTGAAAGCAGCCCCCGAGTCAAGGCCAGATGTGGGCTCGTCCAAAAACATTAGCAATTCTGGTTTAGATGCAAGCTCGACGCCAATGGTCAGTCGCTTGCGCTGTTCTGCATTAAGACCCTCGCCAACTTGTCCAATAGTCGCGCCGGCTATACCTTGCATCTCAAGAAGCTCAATAATCGTCTCACAATAGGCGTACTTTTCCTTCTTCGGGACTTCCTTTGGTTGACGCAGGAGTGCCGAGAACTGCAACGCTTCTCGCACAGTGGCGGTGGGCTCATGAATATCAAGTTGTTCAGCAAAGCCTGTAGCTCTCTGAAACGACTTGGGAAGGGGGCGTCCATCTATGAGAAAGTCGCCAGTGACGACACCGAACTTGATTCTGGACATGAAATTAGCGCATAACATTTTATGATGATGCCAATGAACTCAACACTCACCTCTGAGCCAAAGTATTTAGCAATGTTGTTTTTCCCGCACCAGAGGCACCCATCAGAGCCGTCAGTTTACCAGGTCGGACGAAGCCCTGCACGTTCTGCAGCAGTTTTCTCTCGCCGCCTTCGTAGGGAATAGTGTAGTTGACATTTTGGAATGTGAATACCGTTTCGTTCTTTGCCACGTTACGCATGGCTTCATGGTTTTGCGACGCAGAATCTGTTCCAACGACCGGTTTTTCGCTAGTACTTCCACTTCCGGACTCTTCATCATTATCATGACCATGGCGGCCACCGGTCTCGATTGACTTTTGGATATCCTTTGGGACTTGGCCGCGTTGGAAAACTGTTACTGAAGCACCTCCGGCGTTTGGCTTCATCATTTCCATGCCTACCATTGCTATGGCGAGGAAGAAAAAGAAGAAGGCCCACAAAAACCCAAAGTTTCGCCAAAGATGGACGCGAGTATAGTTGAAAGACTGTCCGATATATGAAGCGCCAGACACCACTGTTGATCCAGGGCTTGACCCTACTAATGTGCAGGACTGATATGCCGACGAGGCCCCCTCGCTCTGAGGAACAAGGAACGGAGGGACACAATCTAGGTTTAGGTTGTAGAACTCGTTGGACATGAGACACTCGAATCCGTATTGAAGCCAGTTGATCCATCTCAGCCAGCTAAACCACGGGTGCATGGAAGAAGGTGGTATTAGGTATCCAGTGTAGACAATGATGATCTGGATCGCGACACCAGTGACTTTCGTAGCATCATCCAAGGTTTTGAATATTGCCGAGATTGCACGGAAGAACGCATACGTTGTCATAGTGACTGTCCAGAGGATCAGGATAGAAATAAAGAATTGGGATGGGGTCGCGGAGAGTCCCGCCATCCAGTAGATGATGACATCAAATAATGTTACTTGGATGAAGACTAAGGGTATATCCACGACGGTTTGCGCCAGTGTGTACGCAGCAGGTCGATAAAATGAAAAGTTTTTGTGCTTCAGCAAGATAGGTTTCGACGCAAATGCCGAAGTCTGTTCAGCCAAGGCCAGCAAGGCGTTGAATAGTAGGATGAAGAACAAGACACCACCACGGGTGAAGGCGCCTGCTGCCGTATTGGGGAGGTTATAGAACAGACTTCCAACAATAAGTCCTTGGAATACGATTCCACCCCATTTTCCCATCAAAGAAGCTTTGTCTCCGAGCATGATTAGGGCCTGGCGTTTGGTAAGAGCTACCACCTGTTGGGGAAACGATATGGTGTAATTATTTTTCTTCATCGCCTTAGACCTGTCAACGGTGCGCTCCTGCTCTTCGAGTTGGGCTTCATAATCAGTTATGTCCTGTAGGTTTCGCTGATAAGCGTCGCTTTTCCTGTAAACATCAGCGAAATCTTGGGCCGAGCGCGGGATCCGGTTCTCCCAGCCCGCCCTGATACTGCGCTCGTGGGGGTCAGTGACAGATGTAAGGAAGTCGGCCGTCGTCCACCGTTCAGGGCAATCGAATCCTAAGTCGAGGAAATACTGTTTGGCGCTATCTGACGGGCCGTAGTATAGGCATTGGCCGTTGTCGATCAAAAGTACCTTATCAACAAGTTTATACAAAGACTCTCCAGCTTGGTAAAGAGATACAGCGGTCGAAACTTGGGCCATGTTCGTCAAGGCTCTCAACGACTGGACATACTCCACGGCAGTCGATGCATCGAGTCCCTTGCTTGAGTTATCCCAGCCTTGCACACTTGCCCGAGTGATTAGGGCTTCGGCAATACTGACGCGTTTGCGTTCGCCGCCCGATACGCCTCTGATGTACTCGTTTCCAACCTTTGTGTTCATGGTGTGTTCAATCCAAAGCAATTTGGTAGCCACTCTGAGAAATTCCTTCACGTAATCACTCTTACTCTCACCTTCTTTCCGCGACTCCTTGCCAGGGGTACGAGTTTGGAGAGCGAATGTCAATGTGTGCTTGACTGTTAGTGTGGCATAGTGTAAATCATCTTCTGGATTATAAATGATTTCGCCTCTAAAGTCCTTGGCCATGCGCTTCGCATCCGTACCGCCGTAGGTAACGTCGCCCAAAACATCCTCGTAGCCAGCCCGTTGGTTACAAAATGTCTTCAAAAAGGTCGTACATCCAGATCCTGGTCGGCCAAGGACAAGCAACATCTCACCTGGACGGACACAACCGTTAAAGTTGCTAAGAATTTCTCTTACAGGTGGTTTCGCGGTAGCTGCCTTGGGTCCTTTGGTTATGAGGTTCTTGAGAAACCTTGGAAGACCCAAGAAAATGTCTCCGACAGTAGGCTGCAAGCTTGCCCCTAGACCGGCTCCTTTAACCGTCAAGTTACGGAAAATGACACCGGCATGTTTTGGGGTTTCATCATCGCTCTGATGTTGACGCGCCTTGCCGAACATACGGGACATTAGCCGTTCGATCTCGTCGTGATCTTCTTGCGACTCGGCGGCGGAGATAGAACTCCGGCGTCGTGACAAGGCGCGAAACAGGTCATCTTCAGTCCGAGTAGTGCTCCGCGTGGGCTCTAGATTAGATTGCTCTGTTGGTGACTTGATGGCCTCGAAACGAGGTTCAACTTCTCTTTGGCCACCTTCAGTTTGGCCAATTTCGGTTTCACCAATTTCGGTCTCACCAGATCCATTTGATTCCGAATCTGAGATTGTCTGGGCGGGCGCATCTCTGGTTACGTGCCTGGACGAAGAGGGACTAGCATCATCGCGGGCGGCAGCGCTATCAACATATATATTATTTATATTTCCGTGGGGTGATGGCGTGAGTGTGTGCTCAGGAGTATTTACCGACCCATCAACTCCGATGTATGATGTTCGATTCGTAGCATGAGGGAAACCATGACTAGTTGTTGAACGGAGACCGTAAAGTGAGGATGGTGTCTCAGGGTAACCACCAGGCATATCCGTGTCTGCTGGCGTTGGCCTTTCACCTTCCATGTTGACTAAAACTCGGTTCCAACGTTGTGTACTAGAAGGAAATATGTCACATTCCCCTTGAGGTGATCTCGGGGTAAAATATAAACTTATAAATGAAGAAAAGACTATTTAAGCGGCATTATAGGGTGGGTGGTTGGTGGTGGTGATGATGATGATGATTATGATTAAAACATAAAACGGAAAATTGTCAACTTCGATTGTTATTGTCGACTTCATTCAATTGAACTAACCTACATACTTACCCTAGGTACATATGTAGTAATAGTACCTACCCTCATTGCTAGGGCCATACCTGTCGGAAGACGGATAGTCTGGGAATGCGAATCGGACTTCGGCCATGGATAACAGAGGATACTTCTCTGGTACATACCATGTGGTCGTACAAGAATGATATTGCATTCGTTGTTTGGAAGCAGCCATATACAATTCAAGGTTCTATATTGGCTAGTCATTTAATATCTGATAAGCTCAATACAATGAATCGAGGGTGCAAGCCTCAAGTGGGTCTTTATGGGTCCCAGCTGAATGGTGATGACATTAAAGCTCACACTATCCCATCCGCTTGGGATCCTCGACGTCATCTTGTAACTGGGTTAGGAACTCTATATTTTCTCATAAATATGTAGGTACTATGTATTGATTAGAAACATCAACGATGGAAGAATCCTTTGTTCAATTGAATGTTCGCAGTTAGGTAACACAACCGCACTAACCTAGGTAGTTGTTAGGCCTCATTCCATCCACTTTGGAGCTTTGAATTCCTAAATTATCATATTATGTAGGTCAAGTATGATATCTAGACTCTAGAGACTCGCAAGACAAGGGTGCTACCCAGTCATAAATTTCATGGATTATCTACCTAGAGACGAAATAAATAGTAGGTAGGACTAGCTGAACTAGCGAAGAAGATAGACATCCAGACTTATCACTTACTCCTTTCTTTTTTCTTTTCTTGTGCTTATTAAACCGTGATGTCGACTATCTGCACGAATATTTCGACAAAGAACCTCACGTCTACGGGTTCAAGTCATGATGCATGAAAAACTTGTCGTATTAGATATCTGGGTAAAAGTAACAAATTCCTTGTTTGTACCAGATGGTATCTCAGATACGGATGCATGTATTATTTCACCTGTCACTTAGCTTGGTTACACTACCGCGTATGCAGCCACGCGAGCGTGTATTCTATGTAAATGGCCGAGGAGGGCCATGATTCGTAATCTCAAATGCCCCGTCGGTGAATATGACATCCCGATGGCATTGTTCGGCAAGAATATTCTAGAATGGTGTGATATCAATTATTGGGGCAGTAAACTTATCGTCCTATGCATCTCTAGCTTTCACTGGGATGAATACGTAGTTATCTAGTTGATATGTTGTCGATTTGAACTATTTTAGGTATAACCCCCTTTTCTTCAAAGGCATCTCACGGCCAGGAGTCAGCAATCTGGGATGGCAGTGTTAAATCCCGAGCCCCAATGAGATAAGCACCGTTAATAAGATTGAAGACGTTTCCATTTAAATGACAATAAGTGCAGAAGTTGCATTTAATAAGGAATACTTGTGAGAGTAAACGCCAATGGCATCAAAAGACAGCATGTGGACGTTGGTCCAATTGATTATCTAATATATCACGTGCCTTTGATGATTTCCAGTGTGTATGATATAAGTCTCATTACTCAAACTAATATCAGCAACAAATTTGTTGTGCTTATTGAAATAAAATAAAATAAAATATAAGAGAATAAGAAGAACATGAGCCAATTTGATAGGCGGTTTCCTTATAATTTATTTTCGAGAGATGAAATAGAATTTATGGCGACTTTTTACCAAGTGATCACTTCGCTCATAACCTGGAAAGCACGTGACCCCCTCCAACAACCTATTATGGGACCAGACCATAACGCATGTAATCTTTGAAGTCTATCATTGCACAGGACACAGGATTGCTTTCTGATGTAATAGATATATGGATAGTCTTCTAGGTATACTAATAAAGTACTCTATCAATACAGATAGCATCACTGATAGAACAACTAACCTAGGTTAGGGTATCATTCTTTGCTTGCAAACCAACCCTTGCCATTTTGATCAGGATATCAAAGTTGTCATTATAGATTTGATAGCATTTAGTAACTATCACGTTTGCAAATTCCATAGGATAGGTGTTTAGTGGATAAAATGTGTTATTATAGACGAGTCGCATCCATTCTGAGCTTGTAAGTAGAGACGACGACTACTACCTACCATATACTACCTATGTATCTGAGGAGTATATCAAGCACATTATCGATGTACAAGGTACCTAGCTGAGCAAACAATACTAGGTATATATATGACTCTACTGTATGACTACATTTACTGCCAGAACAAATAGGCGTTGTGGAATACAGTAAGGAAGGCCACACTTTCACTTCCTACTCAGGTTAGGTGGGGACTGAACGCGTGCCTTCACCTTTATAGAGGGAAATAACGATACACACCTGACCGTGAGGAAGCAGTGGCGCGGAGGCAAACTTGGAAGCCATGTCTGTACGGGGTTTGTACGGCAATGAGCTTGTAAAGGAAATGAGAAGAAAAACACCACCCTAAATCCACAACCCCCTTCCAAAGAATGGCATGGGCATATTACCGAAATAACACCAGATATATTGGATGTTGTAGTTGCCCTGTTCTAGGCTGCCTCCAGTACTACGGGCGCCAGGTGAGTAATACGTGCAAGTACCTATTCGACAGAAGCATGGCCACAAGAGTCTGGTGGGCGACAACAAGATACATCAAGAACAAAACGTACTGAACCAAACTAGGTACTTATGTACCCTAACTTTATCCTACAAGACGACCTAGAAGCCTACAACCTTCTACCAGATTTCAATTAATTCCTAGTTCTGCTTCTTTACCTTTCCTCCTCCCCCAACAATCCTCCTCCACGCCCGCACCAATTCTTTTCTTTTTTTCTCCCTCCCCCATATCTAAACACCACCATCTTTCATTACCCAAAAATCAACACCGCTTCCTAGGTGTTGAGTAACCCCTGAAAGAATACCTCTTTAAAAAAAAAATTGAACAGTTCTCCCGTCATGGATTTGGACCCAGACATGGACTCAGATCACGAGGTCATGGCCAGAGTGGAGCTATCCTTCGCGCGAGCTTCCCGCCAACTAATGAACCAGCCGTGCGTCTGCTGCAACGAGAATAAGCCCGAGGACGAGAAGATTCGCCTCGACTGCACACACACGTACTGCCACGAGTGTTTCAAGGCCTTCTTCGAGTCGTCGACGAAGGGCGTGTCCGTTTTCCCGCCCGCGTGCTGCGGCATCGATATCCCTGCCGAGGCCATCGAGCAGTTGAAGGACCCCGAGCTCCTCGAGATCTACCACGCCAAGGCTCAAGAGATCAGCAGCGAGGTCAAAGTGTACTGCCATGTGAAGACATGCTCCAAGTTTATCCCCATGAGCGAGCACGCCGGAACCGACGCCTGCTGCCCCAAGTGCCACGCCGTCACCTGCATCACCTGCCTGGAAGCCGCCCACCCCGGAGCTGAATGCAGCGGGCCCTCTGAAGACATCAAAGGTGTCCTCGACATCGGCGAGCAGAACGGTTGGAAGCAATGTCCTAGCTGCCACGTCATGGTTGATCGCAAGCAAGGCTGCAACCAGATACTGTAAGTCTTGACCTCCCTTCCTCCCTACCCATCTATTCATTCACAGCCCAAGTCCTTTCCTTTTACCTAGCGATAACACCATCGATGGCTAACACTCCCCCTTTCTTACCCTAGGTGCGTGTGCAATGCCGAGTTCTGCTACAATTGTACCGCTATCTGGAGAACGTGCGACTGCACCAACCAGGAAGAACCGGATGACGAGGAAGAGTCAGAGAATGATTCAGACAGTGACTTCTCGTGATCGCCATCAATATGCTACGCCGCAACATACATTGGCTGGAATTTTATTCCAACACGGACGAGGACTGCTATGTGCCGATTTGCAGATTTCTGCCCAGGTACTAAACCTATTTCAAGGATACGAAGCTGGAAAGATATTTGCCTCTGAGAGAGGCTAATGTGACCACAATGACACTATAATTGCTGGTAAATGGGATGATGAGGATGATAATAATGAGGATGACGGAGGTACATACATATGTTTCTTCGTGAACATAACAATCTCATTCGCTGTACATGGGTTTCTTCGGTCACAGGATAGTCAGTCTGCTTTGCTTTATAGGCTCTTCGACGCAACATTAATACAACTCTTTCGTGACCATAACTTGTGCCTAACGTGCATGTTCCAGTATTAATCGAAGCTATCTTAGGTATCCATATATATATTACACGTAGCATCGTAGTCGGTTTCATGTACATCACATACCAGGCCGTTTTTATTTCAGCCCCCCAAGACGAACACACTTCTTCACCCAGCTCTCCTTAGGCTCCTCTTTCTTCTGCTGCCAACCCCATGTCCTCCACGTACTTTCTGTCGTAGCTGTGTACTCGGTACGTCCGGCTACTGAAGGGGCGATTGGCGGAGGCACTCTTGCGTTACGGGGGACCGCGGGCCCGTCCATTCTTTGACCTTTGTAGAAGCCAGAAAGCAGTTGGTTGACGTAGAGAGAGTTTTCACCTTGCGAGTTGACCGAGGCCCGCACACTGGGTGCGCGCGACTGTCTTCTGGAGGGTGCCCTGCGTAGAGAAAGCGGATGCCTTGTAGGAGACTGTGAATGTCTTGGGGGAGATTGTGACTGTCTCAGAGATTGTCTTGGACTAGTGCCATAGACAGATCCATTGACTTGTCGTTTTTCATCCATATATCCACTGTACCGGGAAGCGTTGCCGTCCTCGGCGGCGTACGCAGCTGCCATCAAATCGTCCATAGTCCTCGACTGCCTGTTGCCATATGATCCTCCGTATTTCTCCATTTGCGGTTCTCGTGCTCTCCTGAAGCTATCGTCCGAGGCGGCTGAAGAGGATGATCCCCAGAAAAAGCGCTTTCTGGTGGAGGAGCTAGTTCGACGTCTTCGGCATTTAAATATGATGAACAAGATGGTTGCGATAATTATGACGCCACCTATTACACCAAGCTTGTTAGTTCTCCAAGATATTCAAACCGAACCCAATCTTCAGACCCGGATCTTCTTACCAACTGCACCAAGGGCTATAGCTCCATCTTTGCTCATTCCAGATATCCTGCCTTCTACTTGGGTTGCTTGTGCTTGCACGGGTTCGTTTTGCGATACAGCACCTTGGCTAGAACCAGCGGTGATTGTTGTGGAGGAGTCTGATTGGGTGTTGGTGGGTGCAGCTACTGCCGGCTGTGTACCGGTTGACGAGGTAGAGGGGATTGTGCCGCCCGGGACGGGAGATGGGAAGCCATCTGACGTAGGAGAAGGTGAGTCTAAGTCCCCCTCGTCTTCGGAATCGGACACATCGCTGTCTTCGGCGTCGTTTACAGGAGCTTTATCGCGAACAGATATTCTAAGCTCACTTGCGCGACCGCGCCTTCGGAAGCTTTGAGTACTTTTACCTCCAAATTAGTCCAAATTCTCCAGAAAAAGCCACCACAATTCCGCGATCGCCTACCTCATTGTGAATATGCGAAACTATTAGAAACCTTAAGAAAGTAGGTTTGCTAAGAACTGACGACAAAAGAGAAAGGGATGAAATTCAATATCTCAACCGCTTATTTGAAAAATAATGTTAATAATGTGTTATGAAGTCAGGACCTGCCGTATGAGATAGAATGCAAACAATGAGGGCACAGCCCGGGATTCGAAGTGAAGTGACCTGAAAAGAAAAAAAAAGAAACAACCCTACGTGCTGAGTTGAAGATTTGGCGATTACAGGTGAAGATTTCTCAGAAAGGCGTTTCGCGGGTGCGATCGACTTTTTGTTCAAATCCATTCCATCAAGGATCTTCCCATCTCTTACCCCAGAACCTCTTGAAACCCGGGGCCGTTTCAAGCCTCAGCTATCAACAGGGCTCACCTTGGCGCCCAGACCGACAACCATGATGTGCGATTCGTCAGAACCAGGGAGGCAGCTTGGAGGATACTGTTTCAAGAACTTAATTTAGTCATCTTGAAGCTTAGCGGTGGAAACGCACAGAGCATCCGTCTGAAGCTGCTACGGCATCCGGTTTATTTTTGGACAGTGATGCCCAATGATCCTCTAATCGTCCGAATCGTCCCCAATCGTGGCTGGTGGAGCGGTAGGCTGATAGGTTGAAATATATGGAAAATATATGGAAAATATATGGATCTCATCTTTTCAAATTTCCTTAGCGAACCATCGTGAATAAATAGGTTGAAACAAAACTTCCAAGCTTCGGTAAATTGTAATTGCATTTACATATATATAAGTCTGCTTGCTGGGTATATGTTACATAGTTCATAGGGTAGGTAGGTAGCTATAGATTCCGTAGGCCGGTATATAACGTTTCTTGTTTATTGCCAAAACAAACAAGTCATCGAGATAATAATAACTATTGGTAGGATTGAAAGAGGACCTAACCTTTGCTACGGATTTCCAACTCCGCCCATCAGTCTGAATATGACAAGATTAGCATACTATAGAAGATCACGAGTCCAATTACATAAGCGAAATCAACTCACATCCAAGGGAGAACTTGTTAGGCGGTTCTAGGCTGTCATGCCATATCCTCAGACACCAACTACCTACTAAAGCATCGATTGTCTTCCTTTTCAATGGCGACGTGACTATCAACTTGTGTAGGCCTTCCGCTTCTTCCTCAAACGCAATGCGGTCCTCACCGCTTTGGATCCATTCGTAATGGCCACGTTTTTTGCGCACGTCAAATACATCCTGGACCTCCTTGGGAGACTCCTTCAATGCCCGGGAGCCGCTCTGGGAAGACCCGCTCTCGGGCTTGATTCGCACGATTTTGAGCCCCGACCTCGGGAAGGAAGCGGTCTTCAATGCGAGGTTCCCCATAGCGTGGCGCGACATCGCATCGAGGCAATAAGAAAACCCGGTGGACAGAACCGGCGGTAGGTACTTGAGCTCGGAAACATGCTTATGGCGATTGTGCACGCGAGGTGCTCCGTCGGCGGTCAAGCGCACGTTGGAAATAATCCGGTTGAAGGAGACCTGGCTTAGCTGAGAGGTGCCTAATTCAGAATTGCAGATATCCCGGGAAAGCTCGTACAGCGGCGAGCCATCGGAGGTTTGAGCTCGGACAAAATGTCCGGCAAGGACGAGAATTACGGGCTGGACGACCTCGTCCGCATCATTTCGGGTTCCCGGAATGTAAGGAGGTGGATCTGGAAAAGGGGGAGGGGGGTTATCAAATGCTGGCAGTTCGTTCGACATTTGATGAATAATATTAGTAATGTACAGTTGTACTAGACTTAGGTACCCTGTGATATATGTAGGCAGATATTCATTAAACTGTGGACTGGAGTATGGCTCAGTATGCAACTGCAAGCACGGTCCGATGTCTCATGCCCGCCTTTTTGCTTTCTGGGGAGCCCTGGCTAGGCACCTATTAGGTAGTAGACATGGGAGGTTCATTGTTAAAAGAAGTCCAGATGTCAGGGTACATACGAAGTAACATACATAACGGTAGTACGTGTTTCGACTGTTTCGCTAATCGGAACTAGCGGAATTTGAAAAGAGACCGAGTCTAGATGGCCAAAGCGGTATGACGTCATGATCATGTGCATAGCCTACCTGGCTTAGTACATAATTAGTACATAATACATAGAATACATAGAATACATAGTATACCCTAGAGTATATATGTACATATAATGTCATATATATGTAGGTATCCTAGGTAGCTACATATCTAGTATCCAAACCGTTCTCTCAAAGGGGTCAATTGAATACTACATAATGATAGTACTACCAACTCCGTACATAGTACTAATGTATGTAGGTAGGTGCTGTAGGTAGCAGCTAGGTACTATGTAGTATCGTATGGCAGAACAAGTTAGAACAGCTGCAGCCAAGTATCCACATGAATTACAGATTTCTATTGGCAATTGGCAAATATTTTTCTCTTAAAAAAGATTCAAAAGGAGGAGAGGAGCGGCACAATGACCACCCAGTAGCAGGTACCTATATATATACGTCCAGCTTCAATGTAGCGGACGGTCGGACAGTGGGATAGACTCACCTACTTACCTGGTACTGGCAGTCACAAGGAATAACTGGTAACAACCTTGTAACCTCGAAACTCTATTGGCCGTTTATCCATTAACGGCTTCAATGTTCTTTTTCTCATCGTACTCTGAGCCAACGAGATACTAGCATTACCCCCTTACACCTCTACGCCCTTACGCTACTACAATATTACATGATAAAAAAGCAATGGTAAAGATAAAAACATGTCAACAACTCCCCCGCCAAGACAACGCCCCCTACCTCCTCCGAGTCGGCGCCGCGATAAACCTCAATTGTCGTGTAATTTATGTAGGAGGCGCAAGTGCGTATATACCTAATCCAGCATAGCACCACCAGAGTGAATTCTTAACTAACTTCTAATGCTTCATATAGAGTGAAATGTGACCGTCAACAGCCTTGTAAGACCTGTACATTTCGTGGCCTGGCTGCATCATGCAGCTACCCTCCAGATGGAAGCTCGCGCTCTTCGGATCGGGATCCGTATACCGTGCAGAATCGCATCCATGAGTTGGAAAACCTCGTACATGCTCTCATGAAAAATGCATCAAAGAACAACTCTCAAGGATCATCTACTACTCAATCTAATCCACCCCTTACTGGCTCCCCCATCCATCGCGCTTCCGACTCCTCCCCTGAACCCCCTGAACCCGGCGCACCGGGAGCTAGTGGGCCCGGAGAGTTACTGGATGGTGGTACCCTAATAAATAGTCCTGCCGGAGTTCCCAGCTATGTCGATGGTGCGCATTGGACAGCTCTTTTGGATAGCATATCCGAGCTAAAGGACTACCTGCAAGATGCCCCTGAGCCCAATATGCAGTTTAGCCTTCCACCGCAGATTGTTCCAGATTACGGTTCTTTCCCGTTGCTTTTATACGGTGGCTTTGCCCAAACTACTAAAGGGGAAATCTTGAGCGCCATTCCGCCACGGCCTATCGCCGATAGGCTTGTCTCTCAATTCTTCAATACGGTTGATCTTGCACCAGGTTCGCATACACCTACCACACCATCATCCCTCACACCACCACCGCCGTATCAGAGGCTAACGATATAAGTCAGGTCTTATACATAGTCCCCAGTTTATTCGACAGGTGGGTACCTACATATGTAGTCTTGCATGATCGGCTGTTGTCCAATTGTTCTCTAATACTGACATGTACTCTAGTATGACCAGTTTTGGTCAGACCCTTCCGGGACTCCCATCTCCTGGATTGGCCTCTTGTTTTCTATGATGTGTGTTTCTACATTGCTATCAATGCAGCATGCCGGCCACGATCCAAGCAAGGTTCCGCAAGACCCGGAAAATGGTCTCCGTATGAGAGTGTACCGAGAAAAAACCGTTCAATGCTTGACCATGGCCAAATATACCATGGGTGGTGTCAACATAATCCCTGCCTTCATCCTCTATATTGCCATTGAACACCTCAGTAAAGCGGATTCGGAATTTGGTACCCATATTCTGTTAGGGTTGATTCTCAATATTGCTCTGAGAATGGGCTATCACAGAGATCCTAAGAACTTCCCGGTCCTGACACCTTTCGAGGGTGAGATGAGAAGGCGAACTTGGTCAACTTTATACCAGGCGAACCTTATCTTCGCAGCCCAGATGGGGATTCCGACCATGATACAAGAATATCACACAGATATAGAAGAGCCGCACAACGTATTTGACTCTGACTTCGACGAGAACTCGACAGAGATCCCCCCATCGCGGCCCGAGACCGAGATGACGCCTGTTCTTTATATAATCACACGAGATCGCGTTGCGCATATCTGGGAAAAGATCCGCGACGCGGCGACTGACACTAGACATCATAAATACCAGGAGATACTGGCGATGGATGGATTACTACAGGCCGAGAAAAGCCGTCTTCCGCCACCCTTCAAAGTACAGCCCATAGCGCAATCGATTGCAGTTCCCCCGAATCTGATCGTGCAAAGAATCTGGTTAGACATCTGTTACCTACGACTCCAGATAGTGCTACACCAAAAGTACTTCATGGCGCCAGCTCATCATGAGCGGTACAGCCATTCCCGAAGCGTGTCATTGAAAGGAGCTGTAAAGATTGTCGAATATCAAGACTTGATGTTCGAACTAGTGAAGCCAGATAACTTATTATATGAGGCTCGGTGGAAACTCACGTCCATAATGAATAATGAGTTCCTTCTAGCGACTAGTATTCTCTGCGCTTATGTGAAGCAGGTCAGCGATATACCTCAGAGCGCAGTAGAAGGGACAAGCTTAGAAGAGGTTACTGAGCTTCTGAAAATGTCGGCGACTCACTGGGAAAGACAGAGCACTACATCGAAGAATGCCCGGAAGGCTCTCAAGGCCATATACATGGTCCTACAGATCACCGGTACTTCTTCAACGGTGCCTGTTAGTATGGAGCTTGACCTAAGTTCGATGCTGGCTTTTCGAGGTACGTTGCTCCCAAAACTGATCCATTATTATAAACGTGTTCCTTTCATCTGCCTCTTATTCCTGTTGGGAGGGTAGTTACTGGTATTCCTTCCCTAGGCTACACTCATAGAAAAGATACCGCATTGGTTTCAAACCCGTATAAAGGGGCTCGGTAGACACAACCGAACGGCACGACAAACCCCATTTATTGATCAACCAAAAAAATGAGACAAAAAGGAAATGCCTTTTGGAATTACTTGAAGATGGTCTCGCTAACTGGCTATAGATCCTCTTCTTCTAGATTTCAACTTCCCTGGCATGATGGACGGCTTCTATAGCGGAGATGACTCGGCATCTGGTGGGGACCTTTCACTTGAATCGAGCCCATACGCCCAACCACAACTTGGCGAAGACTGGATTAATATGTTCCAGCGGATTTCTACTACTCCTCGCATGTCAAACTGATGTGATCTTCCCCAGATGTGGGTGTGTTGGAAGCATAGTGAGCACTTTTGGAAGGAAAGGGGGAGGCTAATCTTGAAGTTGGCATTTTTTGAACCGGGTTCAGCTGATCTGAGCTAACTGTGTGATTACCTTAGGCAACCTACCTAGCTATTTCTTTTGAGCTGGATAGGTGCTGTAATTTGAGACTATGATTGAGGCAAGAGGCGTATTGATTCATTGAGCTGAAAGAGATTGCAAACGTTACTACGCGACAAGGTACCACGTTACTATATGGGAAATCACATGACTCTGTCCTGACAGAAGCTGGCATTTTGTATTTAGGCCACGTGATGTGTATTACGTCCAGAGAAATAATGAAAGATCGATCCTTAGTTTATAATTTAGTGTAGCTAGGTATATAATCTAACATGTTGCCTGAGAAAATCATCAGGCTCCTGCCAGGCTTGACACCGTATTATAGATGGAAAGGAAAGGGCCAGGCCGTATAGAAGGTTGGAATTAACCTCAATCATAAGGGCTCGAAGTATACTTTGTAGAGCACATCCATTGAAGTAGCAGCCCCGCCTACCACCTGTCGGAACCTCACGTTCATGTAGATCTTATGACTGGATGCTCACACAAGCAGCAGCCCAGATGAATTTCTTTTGATTATCGTCCTCCCCAGCGTCATTTTGGTAATACTCCGCTTTTCAACTTCTAGTTGGACACGAGGCGAACATTTTTGATGTATTCACGGCGCTTCTTGATCTCATTGCGAGACAGATCACGGTTGTTCTTTCAAACCACGGCATGTCCAGAGTGATATATCTCATACACTCCCAAGAGGTCAGACTCGGGGATGTCTACCTAGTACCCGCGCTCACAACGTCAAAATTGTCTTGAAAGACGTACGATGTTGCCAAACGGCGTTTCCCCTGCTGCCCCTTTGAATCTGCCCCCGATAGTTTTAACAACAACATGGAACGCCCCAGACGCCTCAGCAGACTCATGCACAATGCAATTAGAGAACTGTGTCGCTTGAGTCCATGTCGTCGCGTGTCTAGAGTGCATTAGTCCGGAGTGGTTACTCGGCCACCTTTAAATCCCCCTGTCGGTCTGTCAGTCCTAATAGGTCTGAGGTGTTCGAGCTCTAGTATTCCTCGTGGCAGGGACGGAAGTACATGACTTAAGAATCATTGGCTGACTTATACCTGCAAAGAGATGGCTTTGAACAGGTGATAGAGATGTCCCGAGAAACAGTCATCAAACTTTTACGCAACCTGAATATCGGCGCTCTCGTAAGCAGCGAGTATCACCAATAGAGAATCGACAAGGTAGCTTGGGATAGGGCGATTTACCGCAGAACCAATATAGATTTCCCTTTTCTACACGAGATGCCAGACATGGGTTCCAGGCCGCACTCGGTAGAATCCCTTCTAGCATCTTACGAAGATGCGAAACAACTTTCGAGTTCTGTAGGGCGTTATGCTTTAAAATTTAAGACTAGGCCCTGCCATCCCTTTGCATCTCTGCTCTATACCTATCATAGTTCTGCTCCGTGTTATCTATATCATGTCTGCTGATTGCTTGCAGACAAATTGCCAGTCAGTTGACCTGGTGGCTTTGTCAAATTTATTCCTCGCTAGCAGACCGAGCTACTCGCAGGCACAAGGCTGAGTGAAGTGAGACTGGTCAGGTGGTGGGTTCGGGTAATAAGGATGCGGCGAAGTTCTACATTAACCTGGAGACTTCCAAGTACCTGCATATTAGAATCCAGTGGTGCCTAGGGCTTGGATAAAGAAAAATGCCTCATGAGCCTCAAAGGGCGATCCCATCAGCTTTTCTTTGATCCATAGGTATATATGTTCACGAGTTTTCCTTACTTGACGTCATGCCTAGATAGGCAGCATTCTAGAAAGAATTGGGGCATAGCCTCCAATTCTCAGTCGGGTGGTTCGAATCCGAGATAGACGGGCCAGTTACTTTCCGGGGCTAGGGAGATGGTCAAAATACATACGGACGTAAATGTAATAGGTGTAGGCTCGAATAGGGTTCTAGGATATAGATCTCTGGTAGCAATCATCGAAGCGAAGCTACCCAATAGAGACGTGAGTAAAAGTTTGGCGGTGGAAATGGGGATATGGTGGCTGTGCCGGGTCACATTGACATGTTCTGCCTAGTAAGTCAACCTATAGTTGGCTCTTGATTGACAGAAATTGATGTTGGGGTATATGCTTAGAGACCAAGTGAATGATTTCAAAGTTCGGTGATAAAAGTGATACGGCTGTGACGGGAAATCGTATGATGAAAGTTTACGGTAAAAGTATTTGTGATGTTGGAGAACCCTGGCAACTTAGTTACTACTGGTAGTAGATGCCTACAACGGTACAACCGTCCCAGAGAGCAAGTTACAGTAAATCACCCAATCAGGTAGCACGACTCTACCTAGGGTAGTGTGACAGGGGTTACCAGCTCCCCAGCAACAACGACGACTCAGCCCTGTCGCACCGCATTCCTCAACGTGACATCATCCCTGCTCCCTTTGGTAGACGAATCAAGTTCAATCAACAGCTCGATGCAGTGTTACATACCTAGGTTACAACTTTACTTTATTACCTTAGTCCCCGCCTGAATTCAGATCCCATCCAGTCTTCTTCTCCAATTTCTCCCATTTTACACCTTGAATCGTGATAAAATACAACACAAACCTCATCAAAACCATGACCGACTCTCCAAAGAACAAGGGCGTTGACCACATCAATGGAAATGGCACCAGCGCCGCCGGTTTCCGATCCCAAGCAGCCATGAGGGTGGAGCGTCCCCGCCAGGAGGATCTCCAGGCAAGCTATGCGTCCATCGTCGGCAACGATGCCAATCCCAAGGGGTGGTACGGAAGCATGAGTACGTTCATCTGATTAATACTTGACCAAAACCACAAAAAAGTGAATCAATTCTCTGATCCTTTACTGCTAGTCAACGCACTGGGTTCCTGCATGGGATCTCTAGGTGCCGTTCCTTGCATCATCTGCTGCCCCAACCCGTACAAGCAAGTGCATCAGGGCAACGTGGGGCTCGTCACCAAGTTCGGAAAGTTCTACAAGGCCGTCGATCCCGGCCTGGTCAAGATTAATCCTCTCAGCGAGCGAATTATCCAGGTAGATGTCAAGATCCAGATTGTTGGTAAGTGAACCTTTGCAGAGTGACTTGTTGGAATGCAATTCATGTCAGAACACATTCTAAACTAAGTGTCTATTCAGAGGTCCCTAGACAAGTTTGCATGACTAAAGACAACGTCACCGTTGACCTAACCTCCGTCATCTACTACCACATCAACTCCCCGCACAAAGCCGCTTTCGGCATCGCCAACGTCCGGCAAGCTCTTATCGAGCGTACCCAAACCACCCTCCGCCACGTCGTCGGTGCGCGCGTGCTTCAGGACGTCATCGAGCGCCGAGAGGAAATTGCGCAGAGCATCGGCGAAATCATCGAGGACGTTGCGACGGGGTGGGGCGTTCAGGTGGAGTCGATGCTGATCAAGGACATCGTATTCAGCCAGGAGCTACAGGGCTCCCTCTCGATGGCGGCGCAGAGCAAGCGAATCGGCGAGAGCAAGATTATTGCGGCCAAGGCCGAGGTAGAGAGCGCCAAGCTGATGCGACAAGCCGCCGACATCCTGTCTTCGGCGCCCGCCATGCAAATCCGCTACCTCGAGGCCATGCAAGCCATGGCGAAGTCGGCCAACTCCAAGGTCATCTTCCTCCCTGCCGCCAACCAGACCGGCCTCAACGAGTCCATGGCCCAAACCGCCAGACATTTCGAGGCCGCCCAGGCCAGCGATGCCAACGAGGACCAGGGTTTCAGCCAGGCAGTAAATGCTCGGGTTATCGAGAACATCTGAAAAAAAAAAAAAAACTAAAAAACTCCTGTGATATTGAATTATGGACTGTCACCCAGTCCCTGTATTAAACCACACACTTCCGTTTTGATCGAAACAAGGCTACCCGATGGGTCTACTGGGCCTATTAATGGGTATATTCGGTGGAGGGATTTGCTACGGTATGAGCCTCGAGTAAGAAAGACGCAGATGACGATGAAGGATGATTGGTAATTGGCTGGACGATATATGGATGGAACGGTGGAATTGGTGGATTGGTGGAATGGCTGGACTACGTCGAGGAGAGACGACCGATACCCTTGAAGGATACCCATCTTCGTTCGCTAAGATAATGCATTTTACTGCGTTGGTTTTTTTTTTGCTTTTTTTTTTTTTGCTTTTTGAATTGTTCATGTCGTCGTCTGTTTCATACCCACCAAAACTTTTCGTCGCTCAGGTAAGTAGTATATTATTTGATTGTTGTCTAATGCAGTACCTAGGTATTGATTGTTTGCTGTGTTAGCTATCGGCTTTGGCATCGTAAAGTGACTGTAGGCTCTCATTACGTACGTACGTAAGTAAACAGCAACACATACATACATACATACATACATACCATCGCTGGCCCCCCCAATTCTAAGCACCGGAAACGGGTATCTACTTACTGTACATCTAACCAAACCCCTTAAACCCCACGTCCTTCTCAATCCTTCCCTTTAGCCGCCTCAGCAGCAACAGCAGCAGCAGCAAACTTTTCCAAATTCTTCCTCCTCACCTCGGCAAGCAAGCGCTCTAGATCCATCTCCTTCACCTTGTCCTCCTCGTTCAACCCCTGTTTCCTCTCGGCCTCGCGCTTCCTTTTCTTCTTGTCGCGGCGGGCGGCGCGCACGTCCTCCTTGTCGTGCTTGTCGCTCCAGGCCTCGGTGTTGCGCTTGCGCTTGGCCTCGCGGTCCTCGCCTTCCCTGCCGCGCTCCGCGCGGGCGCTCTCCTGCTGGTACTCGCGCAGCGCGACGAGGCGCTGCTTCTCGCGGTCCTTCTTCGCGTACGCGTACGCGTCCCAGTCTAGCTCCACGCCCAGGAACTTGTCCCCGCCGAACTTCTTCAGCTCGGGCATCTTGGGCAGGCGGAGAAGACCCCAGGCGTGGCCGAGGTCGGTCCAGTCCAGGTCCGAGACGCGGAAGATGGAGCTGGCGGTGTGCTTGCTGTAACTGCGAACCCAGCTGACAAATGCCTTTTGGGCCTTGTCGTGCAGGGCGCGGTCGGTTTTGACGGTATCGCGAATGCGCGCGGCAGCATCGGTCGCATCGACATCACTGACTGCAACCTCTGGGTGGGTGAGCGGGGTAATAGGTGTTTTGCGAACGTCCAGAAATGGAATGTAGTCTTCCTCCGTAGGTTGAAGGAAAATGACACTGAGACCTCTTCGGCCGGCACGACCCGCCCGGCCGCAACGATGCAAAAAGGACTTGGGGTCTGATGGTGGGTCGATCTGTACTACGAGATCCACCTGCGGGAAATCCAACCCTCTTGCTGCTACGTCCGTAGTAAGTAGGACGGAGGGTTGTGCCGAGTTAAGGAATTTGGTAAAATTCTTCTCCCTGACTTTGGCATCATATTTTCCATGCAATGGGACCAAGTCATAACCTTCCGGAACGAGAACGGGAAGAATGTGGGCAAAGTAATCGACGGCGGCGCAAGTAGAAAGGAAAATGATACTCTTTTGTGGCCTCGGGTCCATTCTTTCGAGAAGCTGCGCGAGACTCGGTAACTTGTAGCTGGCAGGAGTGGTTAGATAGCTCATTTGCAGACTCGCTGGTGTCCTTCTTTCTTCTATAATTCCACCAGTCTTCAAGCTCTTCACCTTGACCACAATTTTTACTGGATTCCTCAATCCCACTCTGATAATCTCGCCGACGGCTTCGCTAACACTGGCGCTGAAGAGTCCGGTTCTCCTCTGTTTTGGTAGGCGCAAAAGGATTTTCTGTAAGTCTGGCTTGAAACCCAAATCCAGAAGTCTGTCCGCCTCGTCTAAAATCAAGACCTCGAACGATGATTGTGGACAGTGCACATGTCGCGAAGAGAGGATTTCGACTAGCCGTCCGGGTGTGGATACAAGAACGTTTGGTGACATGCGTAGGAAGAAGCTAAGATCCTGAGCAGGAGTTGTCGTGCTACCGCCGGAGAGGAGCTGCGGGACGATGACGGGTCCGGTGGTCTCGGGTCGCTTCTCGTCGCCGTCTAGGTAGGGAAGTAACTCTGCAGAGGTTGGGTGAAATGCGATTAAAGAATTAAGTGCGCCAAAAATCTGACCGGCTAGTTCTTTCGTCGGAGCGACAACGATGGCGGCTACATGGTGTCGTTTGGTGGGCTCTTCTAGTCGCAGGATCTTGTGAATAAGAGGGAGAAGAAAAGCAAGGGTCTTTCCGCTTCCTGTTACGGCCTTTAAAATTAATCAGTACTAGGTATGGAGTAACTAGGTATGTAAGATAAATTCCTACATACCTCCACGACAACATCTTTATTTCCACCTCCGAATAATGGCCATACGCTGGCTTGAACGGGAGTAGATCGGGCAAAGCCCATACTCGAGACAGCATCAAGGATCCATTCGGCCAATGGTGGTGTCAAGGCATCCCAGGCTCGGGGGTCCTTCTTGGTAGTCTTCGTCTCTGGCGCCATTGTCGTGTTTGGCGCATGTAGTGTTTGAATGATGAAGCGCAATACTTTAGTACCGAATTTCAAAATGTTCTTGAGAAAAGCCAAAAAAGTTGTCTTATCGGTTATATTTTATTTTATCTTATCATCTTATCAGGATCCACTACTTTATTTAGTGGGTATGGTGGGATGTTAAGAGTTACTCTAGGTACATAGGTACATAGGTACCTAGTACATAATCATTCAATTCATCACCACTGGGCACTCTGGACCACGACTCCTATTCGTATCTGTATCGCTCAAATTGAAGCTATGCAAACTTCTTAAGCTCAAAGTCCAGCTTAAAAAGCTTCCTCGCATTCCCGTACGCAAACATGTCCAGCTCCTCCCTCGACAACGAGCTACTCTCCGCCAGCTCCTCCAGGTACCTCCAGCCCTCCGCGTTCTTGCTGAACGGCGTGTCGACGCTGTACATCACGCGGTCCTTCCTCGTCACCTTCAGTAGCATCTCCAGCGTCCTCACGCTGAAGACCCCGCTCGAGGTCACCCAGATGTTCTTGTCCCAGACCTCGCCGAAGCCGCGGAGCTTGTTCTTCTCTCGCAGCACGTTGGCAGACTGCACCCTGTCCAGCATGATGGGGAGCAGCTCGCCCATGTGTCCGACGATGATCTTGAGGCTGGGGAAGCGGTCGAACAGCCCTGCCGCGTAGAGCTTCAGGATGTGCAGCCCCACGTTCTCGTGCCAGCCCCAGGAGAACGACGACAGCGCTTGTGCGGCCAGAGGCGAGTAGTTGCCCCCAAATCGCTGTTGTATCACGTTGCCCGGCGCTGGCGACGGGTGGATGTAGATAGGTACGTCGAGACGCTCAGCCATCTCAAAGACGGGCCAGAACCTCTCATCATCGTAGTGCGTCATGTCGCTTAGATGATTGTTAATCAAAGCGCCGAAAAACCCCAGCTCGTTGACCGCACGTTCCAGTTCCGCGGCCGCCTCCTCTGGATGTACCATCGGCAGGTCCGCCAAGCCGCCAAGCCGGGTAGGATACTTTTTGATCGCCTCGGCCATTTCGTCGTTCGCGCTCCGGCACCCGCCCGGGTGGTGGTTGGAAGTGCCCGGCACGTGCGACAGGAACTGGAAAGAGACGTGGCCTTCGTCCAGATCCGCGATGCGGCCCTCCGAACAGTCTTCCAGGGCTTGCTTTACCCCCGGTATCATTTTTTGCATCTCATCGTGGAACTTGTCGCCCCCCCGGAGGGACGGAAACGACACGTGCTCTTCGACGGTGATTGAGAATGACGGAGGCATTTTTTAAGTGTTTAGATAGTGCGAAGTCGTGGCGTAGTAAATAGAAACGTTAGGTAGATATATATAAATATTATTGAATCTTTATATCCACGGAATTGAGTCTCCGTCTTTCAATCCCTTATGCCGTGTCGCCCGTTTGGCCCGCTCACGTCAGTAGATTAGGACGGAGATAAAGGAGATCCAGGCTGTTACTTCCTAGTCTCTTGTCGATGTTACCAACGGTGTTACTTCATACTTATGCATCAGTACGCAATCCCCTCGTCATCACACAGCAGTTTGTCTCACTTATTTTACCCACCGCCTCGGGTCGGACGTCAGGACGTATACAAAATCCGAGAAATACATAGTCCCTCCTGCTAACATAAGATGCTCGTAACACGTAACCCTCATCACTGAAACGATATGCATCACAATCACTGCATACTCGTAAATCATACGTGCTAGGTCTCAGGTAGCCACCAGAAATTATACTCTGGTCATCTATATTCTAGCATAAGCAAATCTAGGCCGTATGTACAATCAGTACTCCTGTGGGTTTCGCGCGGCCATGATGGCGCTGATATCCTCCGCCAGACTAGTTGGTAGCGGATCTCTTACAGACGCCGTTTCTAGCGCCGAGAATATTGCCTTGACACCTATGCCAACATCCTGGGTTCCTGTGATACTCTGTAGCTCGTTAAGAGCTTCATTGATATCAGTCTGTCCATTGAACTTTCCTGAAGCCGCCAAAATGGACTGAAGCTCGCGGTGGTTCTTGACAGCAGGCACGGCAATCTCTCTATCCCAAGCGAATACGCCGTGCTGATCGAGCATAGACCGCTGACTTGTTGTAGCAATGATAAGAAGCCTACGATTCTACACGCCATGTGTTAGTAATGATAGTAATAATCGGGTGCAAAATTGCATACCTTGGGTGGTCGAGTCTCGAGCACAGCGCCCAAGTACTGTACGACGGCGTTAGAGTATCTCATTCCAATAGGGTTCCAATCAATGATCTTCTCAACGCTGTCAAGAATCACAATGGATAGAGCGGATTTGTAAGCATCGGAGAACGCGCGTCGTAGAAATTCGAGCTTAGCACCTTCGGTGGTACCCACGTCGATAGGTCTGATGAGTTTCACAAAAGGAAACTCGGATTTCAGTCCAATCTCAGCCGCCAAAGCAGTCTTTCCAGCTCCGTGGGGACCGTGAACTAAGACAGAAAATAGGGGTGACTTTTCCGAAGTGCGAACTGCTTGAACGAAGCTGAGACCCGTAGAAAGAATTGATTGAATATGTGGGCTGAAATCCGTGATCCCATATGGTGCTGCGTTATTCAACTCTTCCTCAGAAATACCAAAGGCCGGCTTGACGTCTTCGAGTGCTCTCATGAAATCGGCTCGCGTCAGCATAACATCTTGAGGGTTACCGCTAACGCCAGTGACATCTCCGAGCTTCGTGTGTCGGGTAAAAGCATAGGATAGAGCCGCTTTTACAAGACCGGCAATCTCTGCACCTGAATAGTTTTTGGTCAAATGCGCCAGTTCATCCAAGCTAACATCGTCACCAAGCTTGTTGATGGCCCGGATTTTGGAGGTGTGGATCTATAACAAGTCAATCACTGTTAAAGCTAAGGGGTTGTGTAGGGTCAGAGGAAGCATGTAATGTATACTCACGTTTAGGATTTGTATGCGGCCGTGTTCGTCGGGCAAGGAAATCTCCACGTGCACTTCAAGACGTCCTGGTCGTAATAATGCGTCGTCAATCATGTCCTTCCGGTTGGTCATGCCAATAAGCAAGATGTTGTTGAGTTGATCCACTCCGTCAAGCTTAGATAGAAGCTGGTTGACTACACTGTCACCCACACCTGTACCCCCTGATCCGCTGCCTCTCTGCTTGCAGACAGCATCCAGCTCGTCAAAAATAATGATGTGTAAGCCACTCTCTTCTCCCTTCTCCTTATATTCCTTCTCCGCGTCCGCAAACATTTTTCTGACGTTCTCCTCTGACTGACCAACATACTTGTTCAAAATTTCCGGACCGTTGATAATCTTGGGTTCCCTGGCATTCAGCATCTTGCCGATTTGTCTAGCAATCAACGTTTTGCCTGTTCCCGGAGGACCGTAAAGAAGGACACCCTTGACGTGGGATATTCCCATCTGCTCTACTAAGCCTGGAGGGAAAACTCGAGATGCAAAGGCACGTCGGAAAATGGTGCTAAATTCGTCATCTAAGCCTCCAATGCCCATGTCGGCAAACTTGAAATCCGGTCGAAGGATAGCATTAGTAGCAGGTCGTTTCGTTGAACCTTTTAGCTTGATGGGGGATTTGGCGTCTTTGAAAAAGTTAATCTCGGATGTGTTGGCGACCAGTAGACCTCGGGCATCCGGCCTCGAAGACGCTTCCGTAGCATGATCCTTCTCGCTTCCAAGGAGCTCGAGCAACTGAACTGTCTTGACGATAAACATCAACGGTATCCCCTTATAATCCATCAATAGTCTTTGGCCCGGCGCAAAGATTTGACCCTGGAACATCTTGATGAAATAGTCTGCGAGCTCATCTTGATCATATGGGACGTCGGTTATCTTGCGCGAGGATGCGAATCCAGCTTCAATGTCCATCGCGCTCAGGGGGACCTTCTCGCCAAATCGTTCACCCACCACAACGTCTGTCATGCTAATACCACACCATGTTCGCTGAGGATCGGACAGGCTGATACATCCAGGTGGAATATACTCGGTCGGGCGGGCGGTTACGACAAATTTTCCATTCAAGAGTATGTGTACGTCCCTTCCCTGTGGATCAGGAGGAAAATCTTGGGGGGAAACGGCGCAAAGGTTGCTGAAGATGTATTGTTGTGCTAAATCACCCTTATCCAATTTTGCCAATCGAAGTTGGACCGCTCGACCCGGAGGAGCACTCGGTCGGGTGTTTCTTTGTTGGGGCGGCATGTTGCTTCCTCCATAACCTGGCGATGGCGCACCGTAGGCACCTCTCGGATCATATTCGGGAGGGCCGTTATAATCCCGGGGTGGTGGTGGTCGGTTCTGAGGGACTTGGCTGTAGCCACCTTGTTCTTGACCCTGGCGGGCGGGCAGACCAGAACGGGGGCCTCTGCCAAAGAGGTTGTTTCGTAAATCCATAACTCCAGGACTCTATTCAAAGAATTCTATAAAGAATTCTATGGTGAAATTCAGATCAGAGTATTTTATTAGGATGTGAATTCGGTCAGTACCTATGTAGGTACGTAATAGGTAAGTAATAGGTAAGTAAAGAACAGATTGCGTCAGCGAAGCCCACCTAAACGACGTGAATTCACAGCTAGGTTTTCTATAGGTGTCAAGTGTCGAGTGTGGCGTGTGGAAAGTCGGAATTCCAGATTCTACGACATGTTTCTTTGTTATAGTGTTTAGGGGCCAATTTCAAGTTGTAAAGTGCAGCTTTCGTAAAAGTAGCTGTCGTGGTAGGGCTGTGACTTTGAAATATGAAGTAAAGAGAATAAGTAGGTAGAGAGGGTAAAGAGCTGAAGTCGGTGCCACTTGATCGGTTACGTCGCAATGCCTGTTTCAAACCTAGATCCACTCAATTTAGCACTAAGATGGTTAGTACGTCGTAGCTTTCCGTCTTTACGCTAGAGTGGCGGGGTGTATTTCGCTACCTTTTATTGGCTAAAAAGGGTAACCATATGTACCTAGTTAGAGGTGAAAGAAAGGGGCGTCAACTTTGAAGGCATCGTCGTGTTTTATGGAATGTCAATAGTTATCCTATTCACCGTGATAATACAATGTGATATAAATCATATATGCTGAATTCTGCATCTGTTCTTGGTATTACCTCGCTGAGAATCTAACTGTCCCTAATCATAACTGCAATATATTCAATGATACCTAACTGACTATATATGTACCTATAGGTTAGGTAAGTAGTAATTATGTACTGGTAAGGCTCAAACATTCCCTCATTTACCCCATATTTGGTAGTGGCATCATCCATAGCTATGAGACATCACCTTCATGGTCTACAGCATTATTGTTGTCTTTATATTCCTGTCATCTGGATATCACCTTCGTGGTCTATGCCATCATTGTCGTCGTCGTCGTATTCATCGTCGGCAGCTTCATCTATTAGGGAATCATCCTCATCCTCGGCTCGCTCTTCTGTTTCGGCATTGAATGCTAATGCGTGCATTCTGTCGCGAACAGCCTTGCGTGATTCCCTGGGGTCATCAAGAGGGGGTTCTTTCTCTATCTTGGCACGGGCATACATGGCTACTTCTACGAGGTTGGGCTGTTTGTTCACGTCAAATGCTAGGCAATAGAAAACCGTGGCCAAAAGATCGGGATCTACAGCTCGGGATGTAAGCTCGTCAAATGACAATGCCAACGGGGTAGCTCCCCAAGTATCAAAGGTATCCCACCTTACAGTGACAGTGTGCTTGGTTGGATAAGTTATGGGATCGTATGGGTTTTGTAATATACACATCTGCATAACCTGGAAAGGGTGTCAGTGATTTGCGCCTTGGGATACTGAATTATGACTTACCATTGCAATGTCAGCGAGATTGAGTCGGGAGCCATCACGGCCCTGAGGGCCCCCGTCACCCCAGAAATCGCTATAGTAAAGTATTAGTAACGTGTCACTGAACAGAGCTCAAGGCGTAACGGTTTATGGTACTTACTCATCAGGTGAAATTTCTTCAGCTTGGCCAAAGTCTATCAGTTGCAGCAAAGGCGTTACATTGTGCTCGGGGTCATTCAGATCGGGGTTCCAATCTGGTATCATAAGATTTTCGCCACGGAGACTATTATGGGCCAGTAGGCCGGGAGGTATTTGCTTCAAGGTTTCCAAAGAAGTTCTTTCTAGGGCTATTGGCTTGTTGTCTATCTCAGCATTGAAAAAGGCCATCTCAACACAAGCTCTAAGTACTGTGATGACACCTCGCAGTTAGTTTTGAGAGAAAAGGAGACAAAATGGCAAGGAGTTTGACTTACAACACAGGAAGATTCCCCAGAGGATACGGTTGGGTAATGGTTCACCCCCATACATAATTCTATGCTTTAATACCATGAGGTTTAGGCTCACGTCCCCGGCATGCTCCATATAAATCCAATCCTGTATTTGGTGTTCCATAATTCTACCAGTGAGCGGATCAACGTCGGGGGATAGATTCAGTATCTGTATGATATGAGGACAACTACGAAGTTTCTATCATCAAAATGTCAATGCCAAACACTAGCTGTTAGATAGAAGAGGCACACTTACCTTGAGCCACGCCTTTTCATTACTTAGTAACTCTCCTGCGTCCGGTTCGTCGTAGCTGTAGTCGTCGTCGTCGTCGTCGTAGCCCTCGTAGTCCTCGTAGTCGCCGTCGTAATAGTAAGACGTGCCTCTATTGCCTCTTCCAGCATTGACATCTTGTACACAAAACTTGAGGGCCACCTCGGAGCCGTCAAAATATTGAAAGAGATGTATTTGGCCGGTAGGATTACCTGCCATCATCCTCTTCCATTTCCAATGAAAATCCCCCTCAAAGAATTTTTTGACCCATTCCTTAGTAATGACTGGTCCATTTTCGCTAAATATCGCCATAATTACGACTCTATCGGACCAATAGGCCAGAAAGTTTTGCCATCCATATCACGACACCTTGCGTATGCCTTTATGCGAGCAGTCTGACAAAGATGGACAACCCATTGTCACCGAGAAGGCATTTCAAACATACTCGAATACAATACCTCTTGTTAAACAATGTGCCTTGGTTTAGGGCATTTGTCAAGGAGAAATGGACGTAAAACTAGATGCGAACCTTCAGAACGCCCTGTTTCAGAGAAGCTATCAAATCAAAGAGTACGAAGGAAATAGAAGAGCTAGCAGCATGAACCGGTTCTTTTTCGACTTACTCCTAGTCATGAAGCATTGGGTTGATTAAAAAAAAAGGGGGGTGTATGTCTCGGTAGGTTGTACCTTTCAAGGGTCGAAGTACCGATACGGCGCCGATTATACGTCGATGTTGTATGTTTAGTTCTAGTTTGACTGCAATGACGTAATTTGGCGTTAGCAACCCGAAATGGAACAAACACAATTAAACTCACCAAATCCTTGATCATCCCGACTTGCCACACCTTACCTTACCTAGGTAGTAGGTAGTTACCTTGCAATACTATTTTACATTCCATCATTCCGAGTTTCCAGGTGATTTTCAATTTTGCGACAAACGTCAAACTTACCTACCCTTTGTGACATTCTCCCCCACTTCATTGCACCACCACCACCACCAAACCCCCATCCACCCCTCCAAAAATGGCGCCCGCCAAAACTCAGGAACCAGTCATCACCAAAATATCAGAGCTGCCCGTCTCCGAGGCTCGCTGGGTGACTCTCAAGCGCGTGGAGTACACCGACCAGGTAGGGCAGGCGCGGACGTGGGAGGTGGCGACGCGGAAGACACGGGGCAAGGCCGGCGTCGACGCCGTCGCCATGGGCAACATCCTGCTGCACCCGTCGCGGCCGGCCTCGACCTTGCTCGTCATCCAGTACCGCCCCCCCTTGGACGCCTACACCATCGAGTGGCCCGCGGGTCTCGTCGACGCCGACGAGACGGCCGAGCAGGCCGCCGTGCGCGAGTTCAAGGAGGAGACGGGCTACGACTGTCGCGTGCTGAGCATCAGCCCCGTCCAGTCCGCCGACCCGGGAATGAGCGACGCCAACATGCAGCTCGTCATGGTGGAGGTGCAGCTGCAGGAAGGGGATGAGGAACCGGAGCAACGACTAGAGGACGGCGAGCACATCGAGCGCGTTGTCGTTCCGCTTAGTGAACTATATGATCGCTTGCTGGAGTACTCTAAAGCCGAGCGCACTGTCGTGGCTGCAAAGTTATTTCACTTTGCTGCCGGTATGCAATTCGCGCAGACACAGAAATACTTTTAGTGCTGCTTTTAGCACTGCCTAGTCTGAAAGGGGGATTTCTATTAAAAGTCATTGCCTTTCAGTGCTGCCTGGCTTGAAAGCCACTGCCACTGCCACCGTCGCTGTCAAACTTGGCGCTTAGGTATGGAGCTCTCAGCTTACCCAGTGCTAGGTTCTTAGTAGGCATCTAAATTACCAACATAAGATCGCCGGGCGGGATAGCCCAGGCATCTACAGGTACATACCTTAGTTGCATAGCTACTACTATACACTACATAGTATGCAGCTGGTGGAGCTAATCGAAAGTTGCATGATGCATCGATCTACCCTACTATTTTTAACCAGTTAGCAAAGACTTTGGGAAAACGTGCCAAGCCAAGCCATACTGTACCACACCGTAATCCACATTCAATATTGTGTCCTCCATGCCATTGTTAGTTCATTAATACCAATACCTACCAACATAACAGGCAGCAAAGAAGAGACAAGGTTAGGATCCATTCTGATATACCTATTACACAGTACCTACCAGGTTACCTAGTAGGTACCTGTGTTGGTTGCACTAGTATTCTTGATGATCCCCATCACGTGGGGATAGGAGGAACTTCGTTCGGTCGATGTCTAGTTGCAGGCCATTCATTTATATATGACTATGCCAGTCCAGAAACGACAAGCCCCGAGTCATGTTTCGATTTTAGTTTTTGTAGGTTATGTATTTGCAGGACTGCTCTGTTCTGCCATCCTCGTTCAAGCCTTGCCGTTTACTGTCATCATGGGGTCATGGCCAATCAGAGTGTGGTCCACGATGGTACTGTCGTCCGTTATACCGACGGCGTTTAGTCAGGAGGTTGATTTAGGATGGTATCCTCCGAGGAACACGTCTATCAACAACTTGGATGATGTCCTCGCCGGTGAAGGGGTCTACGGCTTCATATTTAATACCTCGGAGACTTCCGATGCCGAGTACGGGACGTATAACTGGTGTAACATGCCTCACGTTCGAAAGACAGAATATATCAAGCCGCCAGCCGAGTACGAACTCAAATATGTTGAAGTGGTTGGTCTCATCCCCTTACCAAGTGATTCAGATACGTTTTGGCTAAGATCTGCTAGATTCAAAGACATCACAAGCGAACACCGTATGAAAGCAACGCTTTCCCAGTAGAGTCTTATCGCTGGGATTGTGACGATCAAGGCCTTTATTATTATGGGCGTGCTTTCGATAGCGACAAGCAGCCCGTGGAAGGTTACTGGAAAGGTTACATATCGCCAGTTAACCCTTATACCCCCTCTGGTTGGATCGGAAGTTGCCAATTTCCTCAAATAACCTCTGCCGGACTTGAAGACTCCTGGACTCATGGTCGAGATATTTACGGCGTATACCATGATCTACTTGGGTTCCTTCCCGGAAAAGACGAGGATTGGCGATCTCAGGTGTTGTATCGCGTTACACATAATGTAATTACAAGCCAAGTGGCTGGCATGTTGATCAACGGGATGTGGGGGACGACTGAATCCGTACCATTGATGATCCAAGGAGACGAAATCGACAGTCTCGAACCGCAGTATACTTGTGACGTGGGCAGTGATCTATTCGATACCATCAAGTCGTCCTCCACCGCCGCTTGGAAAGCCCATCTGGACGCTGCGTCGGACTTGTTCAACACCTTGGATGATATATCTGGGGTACCTCCGAGTGATTCCGGCTTCCATGCAAGTTTCGACCATTATTTCGATAACCTTTCCGCACGACAGTGTCACGCAAAGCCGTTGCCATGCAAATTAGAAAATAGCGTGAATTCCACCACGTGTGTCGACCAGTCTTTAGCTGACGCAGTATATCGTATGGGGCAATGGGAATATTCGCAAATATACCGCGACGCCCCTACTTCACTTGCTGCCTCTTCTACCACCTACGGCGTATGGATCGCTGAGCTGAGCCAACATCTGCGAGATGTGGTAGCCGATAAAGGGGGTCCCATCTACTTTCACAACTTTGCGCACGACGGTTCCGTGAGTCGAGTCTTGGGTATATTGCAAATCGATACTATGGTGGTAAGTAGACCTAACTCCTGTCCTACTAGAAGGTCTCCCCTATCGAGGAGAGCACGCCCTGAGTTCCTCGAATTATTGGTAAAATACTAACACAAGCTGCAGTGGCCAGGGATGGGAAGTGAGGTGGTATTCGAAATATATCGGCGAACTGGAAATGAGACGGCATTGTCAAGCCCAGGGAGTGACAAAGGACGAACAAAGAGAGCAAATCAGGGCTATTTCGTAAGGGTATTGTTTGGCGGCAAGCCCCTGAAATCCTCGAATCCTAGCCTTGGTTTGTTAGATATGGTGCCGGTTGAAACCTTGCTGACGTACTTTGATGGTCTAGTTGGGATGAATGCTAGTTTAGTCGTAGGCAAATGTAACGGGACAATATCTGTCTAGAGTAAAATAGAGGAGTCTCTTTTAACACGCTGTTTTCAGTCGCAAGTCATGCTGCTCAATGCTGATTCGATCCTAATTGCTTCTCTATATCGTTCCATCTGCCCGCTCTCATCGGATCTAGTGCTCGGACTTTTGCCAACCATTGCTTGGGATCTTCGACGTCAAGCTCTTCACCTTCATTCTGTCCGAGGTGCTTTAGCGCTATGGTATATTCGAGCAAGGCCTCATAAATCCATTTTGTATCCGCGTAATCTTCTAGGAGATCCTTAATGTTATCAATTTCACCCCTCACATAAGCAATTCTATCCGAGGTAGTCAGAGCTGGTGCGATGGTAGACTTTTCGCTGGGTTGGACAATTTGCGACATCATGTATTGATGATAATACCAAAGACTCTGATCGTCTGGGCCAACGTTGAGCGCGTCTTGAATCAAGCCAAGTTCCTCGTCGAGAAAAGCCTTTCTTGCGGCGTCGTCGGCACCACGCTCTTCTAACAAACGTAAAAGTAGCTGACTTCGACTATGCCAAGCCGAGAAGTTGGATAAGTCGCCACGAATCATCTTAGTGGTGTAGGCAAATTCGTCCTCAACCATGCTCCGGCCCCCTAGCAAAGGATTTTCGAGTGCTGCTACCACATATCTTCTATAGCCCCAGGCATGAAAGTTACGGCGATCCTTGGCTAGCATCTTGGATGCCAACCCTAGCTCGGTCTCCCATATAGAACGAGCAGCTTTGGGGGGTAGTCGTGTGTTGGCTTGCTCGAGAAGCCACTTACGATACTTCCAAATCCAATAACACTTGGGAAACTCGACGAGAAGGGGAATAGTGAAGGAGAGCTCATTCTGAATGGTATCAATATGGGCTTCGACGTTGTCCTCGACGTTGCCCTCGACACTGTCAACTGTAATACCATTCTTCCCAGCTATCTGGGAGTCTTGGGACTGCGGGATCGTATCCAATGATGTAGGAGAGGACGAGTCGGAACAAGGATTCGTAATGCATTGTGGAGAAGTACTCAGCGACTCCTTCGAGGGCGAGGACCCATGCGAGGGTGCGGAGGATAATCCATAAATTAGACAACGACGACGGACGTTCCATATGGTATAGTATTCGGGGTTTAGACGAAGAAGCTTAGAGGTGAGTTGGAAGAGATTGTCGTCGTATTTTTGAGCGTCAGCCTGGAGACGAATAGATGCTTCCAGCTCACGATACTTGTTTATTTTATCAGTGTCTTGCCGGCGATGCTCTTCGGTTCGGGCGATTCGACTGGTGCGAGGTGCGCCGTGCTATTCTCATTGTCTATTAGTGACTATAATTTAAAGATGGGATGATAGTTGGGTGATATCTAGCATACACTATCCATATCGAAACTCCTTCTTCTTTTCCCTTCCCTTCCCTTCTCTTCTTGTCTCTTGGTAAAAATTAGAATTTGTTGGGTACCTATTATTTCCTCTTTTCTCCTTGAAAGTTAAAAGGTCCCGATATTCAATTAATGATAACTAAATAGTTAAATGGCAAGACGAATGAGGGACAATGCTCTATAATTGAATAAAAGAAGATATATGCACTAAACGAGTATTATATTCCTAAACCTTTCGGACTCATTTTCGTCACATTTTCTTTTCATCCTTCTTTTCATCCTTCTTCTTCATCCCAAGTAGAAGAAACCTTCACGATCTTACTTTTCATAAATCAACAAAGGAAGTTTAAAAATGGGTTGTTCGAAGGTTAAATGTTCAGTAACTACACCTTTCAGAGACCTCAAACCAATACTAAAACCAATATATCCCTTCCTGCCTACCTAAACATGAACAACTACCTACATATAGTAGTATGTACGCAGCTGCTACGCTGTAGCCATGGATTGTTATGACTTCCGTACTCTGGAAAGTCCAAATAATGGTTTGAAGTTTGCCGTATACCTTCCCCTGATCCTCTTGTGCCTTCCCCTTTCCGACTTTCCACTATGGAGGAACGTTGTTAGATCCCCAGTGAGCACCTGTTCTCCTAATCCGCGACGTAATTCATAGAATACCTAGGTATATACATCCATCCTATTAGTTCCTATCCTCTTCTCCCCTTTTCTACCTAAATAATGGCATCTTGAATAGCTTTTTCATTCTTTCTTTCTGCTTATTCAACATGCCTATCGCGTCACCCGACCGATTTGTGCCTCTTCGCGTACCCCTTCAAGATCGCTTCCGCGCTACCAAACAAGTTCACGAGCTATCACCATCTGAGCGACTGCATCGTACTGACGAAGCTTCATCCGATGTCTTTTGCTTCACGCCAAAACGCTCTAACCCCGTATCTCCTCGCCAGGCTTCTCGGTCTGATGGCCATGAGCGTCGTCTCGGCACCGTCATAGGCCTAACTAGCTCAGATCGGCAGGTCAGCAATGGCGCCGTCTGGTCTGTGGGTGGTTTAGCCCCTGGAGGCATTGACGACGGACGCGGCCGACGGGTGAGCTCCGGCACGAATGCTCGCCTTTACACCACTTCATTCTCCAGCATTCGGCCCAAGTCTGAGGAGGAGCAAGAGAAACATGAAGGCCGACTCGCTCATGCGTTGAAGATTAACCGCGTCCAACGGATCTTGGACTTTGATGGATTTTCTACATTCCCCCGTTGCAAGCCTAAACAGAGACCGTCATTGCGGGAAACAAAAACCATTTGGACCGGAAGCGAATGGAGTAATGACTGTCACGTAACGAGTAGGTGGATTCATTGGATCTTTATGGATCTTTACAGCCTACTCAGCCTACCCAGGTACTCAGACTAACAGCACGAAAACAGAGATTCGGAAAGAAGAGCGGTCTTTGCCCAATGCTCCGTTCAAGTGCGTGTAGGTCTCTAAAGCAAGCCAGCTTCATGCTAACCAAACAAAAACTACTAGAGTTTTAGATGCTCCCGGCCTTCGAGATGATTTCTACTGCTCGATTATGGCTTATTCTCGCAGTTCCAACACATTAGCCGTGGGCTTGGGTAACCTGCTGTATGGGTGGTCTGAATCTTCGGGCGTGACCCTTTTAAATGCTGGGCTCAAGGATGGATCGTGGCTAACGTCGGTAGCATTCTCATCTGATCAAGGCGGTAAATCTATACTGGCATTCGGACGTTCGAGTGGTCTGCTTTCTTTGGTATCGCTATTCGACAGTCTACTGCCTCGCTTCGAAGCGTATCATCCCGCACCGATTGCTTGTCTGGCCTGGCGTCCGGTGACTACTCCTCGGCCTTCCCGCAACCATTTTAACCCCAATGTCGTAGTAAAAACGGAAGACCTGTTGGTAGGCGATGATATTAGTGATGTCTACTACTATTCTGTCGAGTGGCCCGAATCTTAGGAAGTGGCTCGGGAAAATTGGCGCGGCTCCATGACTCTTCTCGTTCGCATCAAGGTACATTCTCAGCAGATATGCGGTTTGGCGTGGTCTCCCAGTGGTGAAGATTTCGCTACAGGTGGCAATGACAATCTATGCTGTCTCTTCAATTACGACACTGTCATCGACATGGAGTCAAGTCCGACAACCGCTTTAGGTGTTCCAGGCTATTCAGCTTTCAACTCCCCTTGCAGTGAAGAAGGGCCAATTCTATCATATGCCGTGAACCCAGGGGACTTCGCCTAGAACTCATTTCCCGAATTTGGGTCCGAGTCTCCTAATCCACTGGCTGCTATGAAATGTCTCCAACTCGGTTCCGAGAAACACCGGTGGCGTCACGGCGCAGCCGTCAAAGCCATCGCATTCTGTCCGTGGCGTCAGGGTTTGGTAGCCACTGGTGGAGGATCTAATGACAAATGCATTCACTTTTATCACACTACTTCGGGCGCCGCGCTTGCCACCATTTCCGTGGCTGCCCAGGTGACGTCTCTCATATGGAGTACCACTCGTCGGGAGATCGCCGCGACCTTTGGATACGCACAGCCTGATCATCCATACCGCATCGCCGTGTTCAGTTGGCCAGATTGCCGACAGGTCGCTGCCGTGCCGTAGGACGGCGAGCATCGTGCACTATATGCCATCGCCTACCCGGGAGGTCCGAGTGACACATACCGTACAAAAGAGAGACTGAAGAGCCGTACTGCTGAGGAAGGCTGCATTGTAGTGGCGAGTAGCGACGAGAGTGTCAAGTTTCACGAGGTATGGATGGCAGGCCGCAAGGCTACGACTTTTGGTAGCGGTGTTCTAGCGGGCAGTGATATCTTGGAGATGGGCGAGGGCATTGACAAGGAGGGTGACGTGATTCGCTGAGAAGGACAGAAGAAGTAACCATTCGAAGCATACTATGTAGTATTGTTCCAGAGTCGATTAAACCAGGCAGGTCATATGAAAATATGAAAGTAATAACATAAACCCGATGCTCTTGGGCCGAAATGGTGTTTATTTGCATTTGGCATTGCACAGGTTTGGCCAACTCAAGCTATGATACGAAGGCGATGTTTCGAAGCATGCGGTAACTGAGGCTATGCCGGTAACGGGATTTACCCTGTGGTGAGAACCCGCAGACTAGAATCAGAAGCCCCCTTCACAAGTACCTTACCTACTTACTGGGTGTCTCGAGTCTCGACTAGGAGCCAAAGCAGGCACTCACACAGTCACCTGAACCGCCTACTACGCCGATTAGCAGTCACAGCACCCTGGCTAACAACGAAGTGCTGCCTAGACATCTGACAAGCCATCTATATTGTACCAAGTGCAGGTAGGCAAGGTCAAATAATCAATCCGTAGGTGTAGGCAATAGTTAATATCTAGTAACTTCATGAATAACGGATAATCTCAATGTCTCTTGATTAGGGGTTGGAAAGATTGATTTCAGCTTCCTTGAAAGCCATTTCCCTCAGTTTGATCAGTAGTGGTCAAGTAAATAGGTAGGTAATCATAAAAGTGTAGCAGTACCTTGGAACTGGCTTAAAAGTACTGCATATGACTTCAATTATTATATTAATAATACAAGTTGTATGTATGTACATGAGCATTGAAGGGAAAAGAAGCGGGAAAAGGAGGCAAAGAAAGGAGTAAGCCAAAATGAGTTCGAAAGCCTTGACCACCAATTAGGTACCGACTATCTTTTTTAAAGTTTGCTCTTTATAAGACCGCTAATACGTTTTCAGTTCGGTCACGTTCCTCTAGTGTAGTCACTTGCCCGCCATTGAATACATACATGTATGTAGCGTACGTATTGTACCTAGTACTATGTACTAGGTACTAACTATGTATTGTACTGTAGAGAAACCAGCCCCGCCTTGGACCCGTCCCGCTCCTCCTCTCCTTCTCTTTTTCTACATGTTTAATGTATGTACTAAAACTATGTATGTGGTTGTGGTGCATGCGGAATGTAAGGAAGGTACTTTGACTTACATGTAGGCATAGTAGTGGTACATGTATCTGTACCTAGTACCTTGTAGTAACCTCAGTTACCTCACCGTAGGCTACCAACCTACGTATTTGTACCTACCTACTAAGTATTTCATACATACATCATATGTGAAGGCATTGATCGGTGACTGTATCGGTCAAGTCAGTCAGTCAAATCAAAAGTCACTTGAGTTCTTGGTCATCCATCAAAGAGTTCCATTTGATTCATTTGATAATCCTAATCCTACAGGTATATACATACATTGCTCTTATTTTATTTCAGTTCATTTCGCTCACCAGACACTACCTACATATGTACACTTTATTCATCTCTATTCTCGTACCTGGTACATTCACCCCCCCACCCCACGTAATAAACCCGCCTAAAGCACTTACCTAAAAATCACCTGGAAGCCTATGCCCTGCGCCCTGTGTCCTTCAACCTAAACCTCGACACCTTTCCAACCAAACCCAGCACTTCCTCCAGGTCTAAACCAAACCAAACCAAACCAAACCAAATCATCCTCCATCTCTACTACTACACCATCGTCATCTTTTCGTCTTCGTCTACTGTACTTTCAACCCTCTTCCATTTTTAAACAGAACTTGTCCTTATCATTCGTACGTTTCTTCTTCTTATTTACCTTTTCCAACTTGCTATCGTCAACCACTCAACCAACCAACAAGCAAACTAGTTACCGTGAAGATGCGATCCAAGTTCAAGGACGAGCATCCCTTCGAGAAGCGCAAGGCCGAGGCCGAGCGCATCCGACAGAAGTACGCCGACCGCATCCCGGTATGTCCTTACAATTTCTATCATTTTCATCGCCCACGCCATCTTCATTCATTTATCTGCTGTAGCTGCTATTTATGATCTATACATGATCGTTATCGTCATGGTCATTTTCATGTCTTTGTGTAGGAGTTATTAGCAGCTCTGTCAGATTAGCCATCGGCCATCATCATCACAACTCTTGTCACCGCTGTCGTCATCAGCATCAACATTCCCCTTTACCCCACGTTGTACCCATCTACCATCTCACCGCTTTATCCCTACTCTCCTGGTTCATTTCGTCATCAAGAACGCAAATGCTAATAGATTTGCTTCTATAGGTCATTTGCGAGAAGGTCGAGAAGTCGGATATCGCGACTATTGACAAGAAGAAGTACCTGGTGCCCGCCGATCTCACTGTAGGCCAGTTCGTCTACGTCATCCGAAAGCGCATCAAGTTGTCACCCGAGAAGGCCATCTTCATCTTCGTTGACGAGGTTCTGCCTCCCACTGCCGCTCTCATGAGCAGCATCTACGAGGAACACAAGGACGAAGATGGGTATGTTTGCTTATTTGCTTATCTTTCCTGACCTATGTAACCGTTGTCGCAAGCTAACAGGCTCTCTTCCTAGGTTCCTTTACATAACCTACTCGGGCGAGAACACATTCGGCGAGGCTATCTAAAGGTCCTCTTCCCCATGTTTCGAATATCTCTACCTCCCCCCCAACGGCGTTATGGTTTCATCTGGGCTGGACGACAACGATGTGTGTGTTTAATCGCGGCAATGAATTATGGATAGGGCAGGAATAGTCACGGCAGATAATTGATGGAGAGTAGCGTCTTTCCTTGTCGTCTCGTCTCGTCTCGTCACATCACAGTCCGTCCGTCCTGCAGGCGTAGGTGACGCGTTAGATGCGCTTTTGCCTTAATATCATCAATACAAGTGACCTCTTGTCTACTACTCTACCATGTCTTTGCCAAAGGGAAGCCTGGCGTGAAGCGGTATCTTGTGACATCCGTAGCTTCATTTATAGCATCATCTCGTTCTTCTATGACTTACACGTAATAGCTCCGCTGCTTATAAACACAGAGCGCAAAAGCCTAATTTCGGTGATGATGTCACCTCCCATCCCTTATCTCGAAGCTCTTCTCTAGGGATCCTAGTTCTTGACTACCTACCTACGCTTGTCATATTTTTTAAACAGAAAAAAAAGGGGGGGACCACGGATGTAACTCGAACACGACACCGTTGGCATGGCTTGGGGATATCGGACATGATGACTGATGGATTGTGGATACTGATGTCGGCCGTTTGTTTCTTCGGCTACACAGTAATAACTATGTACATACATACAAGCCTACAAGCCTACAAGGGTAGCAAAGTGTCGTTGATATATTATGTATACAATATGCACACATGCCTACCTCTATGTACTATTTGCCTGTTCACTCGACTACCCCTTAGCCTTGTCCTGCTAGCAAACCAGACTTCACGGTACTGCCGGTACCTACATATCTATCAAGATTCAAACCCTCACTCAGGCTCTTCGTACTACATTCAACTTGAAATATGAAATATATCATTATAGCAACTGCCTCGTCTATGCTAAAATGGCTAAAACGATATAAGCCAACTATTGATCTCGTGCTACTGAGAAAAGGTAGCCCAATACAACAATACTCCAGACCCCGTCACGAACACATCATATGGCACTTTCGAAATCGGATAACCCGTTCTCATGATCATCTTTATTTCTTGCCTTCAAGAACAAAATAGCCTCGGCTTGTGTCGCTCTACCCGTGTCCCCTTCCCCTGGTACTACTCCTCTCATCCGATAGCCTTTTTGGGGGGGTTCAAAGGGACGATAGTAGAAAAATTGAACAAGTGCGGCTCCGGCGTGGAGCGGCTATGCAACGGATGGTGAATGGGAAATATCGTACAAGTGGTGAACATTTCAAAGATCTGCTCGCAACCGGCGGAATTAATAGTAATTCCTTTTAACAAAAATACCACCCAGGCATGGCCCCGTACGAGTGTAAAAGAACCCAATAGGGAGCAACCATTGCACCAACGCCGAATTTTCTTTGCTTCCACTGGGGAAACAGATGGGTTCAAAGTGGAGAGAAAATCAAGATAATTAATCCGGCGCTTTCAAACAAAAAAACGTCAATCGTGGGGTGGGAATCACTGAGAGCCTCCAAAACCTTCCGAGTCCCCTTCCCAAAAATGATGCAAATCCTGAACGTCCA